TACTTCCTCGAGGGCCCTGAAATAAAGGCAACATATTGAAGACATTATGTAAATCACTTCTGCATCAGTAATCTTTTGTGGCACAACATTTGAAATCATTTTGCATGACAAAGGCGTTTTTAACCCATCCCCACAGAACGCTCTGGCTCCAGAACCTTGTCCTGCTCTGCTGATTGAACATCCCAGCCTGAAATATGCAACGACTCGCTCTGTGGCAAAACATCCTGTTGGTAAATAGCAAACCTAAAGGCTCTTGCAATGATTTGGAAATATCTGTTTTCAGATGTGCTCACTGCCTCACGCAGAGTGCTCTGAGCACCAGGAGCTGCTTGCTTGGCAATATTTACCAAAATGAATGGATGTGATTATCCATTCTTCTGAAGAGTTCTGATTTACACAATCATTACATAACACAGAAATCCTTCAACTCAACTAACCCACTTCTTGCAGAAAATATTTATAATATACGACAAGGACTTGCTTGCCTTAAAACCCCACATAATGCTGTGCTTTACAATCCCTCTTAAACATTAAATACTGACCCAGCAGACATTTATTTTTGCTGTGCAGTGGAAGCAGCTGATGTGTGGTGGTGACATTAAGTGACATTAATGATCTCCCTCATCTCCAAACAGGTGTGGAGGTGGGGCCCCAGCCACAAGGTGTTGCTCGAGCTGATGTTTTGGACAAAATGAGGAAGATTGTTAAACATGGCCTTGATTTTGTGCAACTTTTTAATGAAGGTAATGAGAGGTTACAGCATCCTGTGTCATGTCAGTGGACTATTTTAGGAGAATATTTTAAAAAATGACATTTTACATTTAAACAGGTAAAAGGTGGGGGGAGAATTAAAAAATTAAAGTCAGGCCTGTGCACTACCTAAAATACACGCTGACAAAATAAGTGTTTTTAATTATTTCAGAGTACATTTTGTCAAGGGTTGTTTTGTTTTTAAATAGAAAGAAAATAATACAGTTATGTAAGTCAGAATTTCCATTATTGTGCTGGAATAATAAAGATTAAATACCACTGATAGCACTCTGTGCTGTGCAACACTAGCAAACAGACTTTCATTGATTTCCTCATCTACAAAATAGGTCTTTTTATGTGAAAAGTAACATTTCAGTAGCAAATTTAGACTTGAACTTCATATGCCCCAATACATGACTGGACTATCTTTCTACAACTTGGCTTTGAGGGGACAACCTGATGATTTGAACCATTCTGCAGAGAATAAATAATGCAATGTTCTTTTTAACGGGAGATTTTTCACCTTGACATTAGATTACATTTATTCTTTCTAGGCAAGGAATTTCCACCATGCACAATCGAGGTTTTTAAAATAATGGAGAAAGTAGATTATCCCAGGAATAAGAATGGTGAAATTATTGCAATAATTCATCCTAAACTACAGGTAAATTCTAGAATAGTTTCCTTCTGTGACATTTCCTACTTATTCCTGTGTTGCTTTTGCTACATTGTTGTATATTTTAGTAATAAATATTTAAAATGCCAATATTACCAAAGGATTTTATTGAATATTTTAGGCCTCCCCTAGGGTTAAGTCCTCTCAGTAGAGGTCATACATTCATTATTGCAGGAAGTGTCTTGGGAATAACTGAACCTAAAATCACTACAAAGAAAAAGCCAATAGGATAGCTTATACTTTAAAATATAAACCTAATTTTAATTCTAAAATGAATGTCTGTTTTCAATCAATTGTGAGCATCTGCAGATTCCTTCTAGTTCACTTCACCAGTGAATCCTGAAAACGAGGGCCAGACACACAAAATTATATATACAAAATTATGTATTAAAATGAAACCAAATTATTTTAAAAGCTTATGCCATAAACTGCAGAAATTTGCATAATTAGCATTAACTCAAGAATCACATAAAATATACAGAAACCTGAAAGTAAATATATTCTATTTATTCTCTTTCCCTAAGGATCAAGACTGGCAGCCACTAAAGAATGGTGATCCTCAATTTTTGACTCTTGATGGAGAAGTAATTCCATATCAGGGGAACTGTACAGTCTATCCAACATTTATTAACGAAGCTGCATATTATGAAAAGAAACAAGCTTTTGTAAAAACAGAGAAAATCAAACTTACTGCAAAACACCTCAGGTTGTCAGTCTCAGAGCACAGCACTTCTTAAGAGCTTTTTTCATATAAAAAGTGGGTTTCCTTGTGAAGTCCAGGGTTATTCAGTAGTAACTTGTGGGATAAATGCAGGATCTAATTTTAAATTGTAATTTAATTAACCTTGCTGAGCACTTTGAGATCTATTGTGATAATGCTGATTATGAGTCTGTTTATTGTTAATTAGACTCCTGTAGATGTAGAATTTATAAATATTTTTATGAAGTTTTTATGAAGAAGCTCATCCAACAGTACTACATTATATACAAAAATTACAGCTTTTCTACTTCATAACCCAAAACTTCAATAACCAACACTTCTTACAATGCGTTAATACTTTAAATTAATTCCTCAGGTAAACAGGGAATTAAATGTGAGACAAAGGAGAAGCTTGGCAGAGAGAAACGGGGGTAGGGTGTGAAAAAAAAAGAAAATAAAAGCAAAAGGGAACGAAACCCAACGGGCCGAAAGGGAAACCCTGGGGGTTAATTTGGTTTTTTTACTTACAAACATAAAAACAAGCTAAAAACAGGATTTCAAAGATATATTCTAAAGAGCTTTATATTTTATTTTAGTGTATTTCACAGTTAATTCAAGCTGTTTCTGATTTAAGGCAAGATTTAGGCAGTTACTCTGGTTTTGATGAAGAGCAATGCACAAACCATACCTGAGTATTCCAGAATGGAAATTAAGAAGAATTCCATATGTGGAGACTTATTCTGTATCTGTAGAGACAAAGCCTGTCATAACATCTTAAAAAGAGAAAAAAATGGGGGTTTAATTAATTTTCTAAAGTTTTTTACATATTTGACAAGTAGGTGATAAACATTATGAACTTTGCATAAGGATACATTAATTATTCACTGAAAAACTAATTGTCCAGATAACTCCTATATTCTACCTTTGAAAAGTTATGTCATCCTCATTTACTACTAAATTTAAACTATTTCTTCCTTGCCTTTGTGTAACTCCTATGGCAATAAAATAAAAAAAAAAACAAGGGACAGAATGTTGATTGAATGACAAGTTTTATTTCCTTAATTTAAATAAACATGGTATAAAAAGCACAGAATTACCTGCTCTAGCCATTATCCAGAGTGTCCTGGAGACAGCACGTGGTTGATGTGAGGTGGCCAAGCTCTGTGGCCACACAAGGAGGGATTTCCTCAGTGAGAGGTTTCAGAAGCAGCCCCCAGCTGGTTCCTGAGTTCACCCCCAGGTTTTGTGCCTGGGCAGGGGCACAGCACATTCCTGTAGGGATTTTTGTGCTTTTTTCACAGCCCAGGGCAGCCTCAGCACAGCACAGAGGCCTCGTTGTGTCTCCAGTGGCCTCATGGCCCAGCCTGGTTCCTGAGTGTGTGTGAAGAGGTATTTTTTTTTTTTTCCTTTATACAAAAACTGGCACAGAAAGGATCCAAGCAGAGCTGAGCAGCCCCGAGGCAATGTCCTTCCTTGGCAGCTTTGGTGCAAAATCAACAATCAAAGATTCCGAGACCGCAGGAATTCTTCTCATCCTCACATCTCCTTCTGAGAAAGCCAAACAGCGCTGGGGTGTGACGTGGTCTGTGGGTGCACAAATGTCCTTCCCCTCAAATTCCTGTGCCCAGAACACAGCCCAAGGTTCCTGTGGATCCCATCCATCCATCCAGGATCCCATCCATCCATCCAGGATCCCATCCATCCATCCAGGCCGTGGTTGGAACCTCAGGACACGGCGTCTGCTGGGGGCCAGTTGGGCAGCAGGACCCACGCTCACCATCCCTGTAAATATTTTGCATTATCCTTCCCACTGCAGGCTTCCCTCACGCTCTCTTCTGTCTTAAGAAAGTCTTTTGGATCATTTTGCCCACAGCTGCAAAATCCAATGCAATTCTCATTATCATTCAAACACAGAACTGAGTTCCCCTGAGTCTCACCTAAAATAGCACCTTTAAAACTGGCACCACATGAATAATTCTGATGAAAAGCCATGACACTGGAGACACATGTTAATTGAAATTTAAAAGTACACAGAACAAATGTTTCTCCTTATATGTACACATAAAATGGAAAACTAAAAACATAATTAATAGTACTTGGTCATCACAGGTAATGAAATAAGAGCTACAGAAATGCATTACAGAGTCCTCTGAATAAAAAATAGTCTGGAATTGCATTGCACTGAACTAATTTTATTCACCTTGGGAAGAAATACTGACTTCTGATTTTTCTGAAGTGGTTGAATGAAAAAAATACTTCAGAAGAACTTCCAGTGTGGTAACTCTTTATGTAGGAAGATGCAACAGCATGGAAAAGCCAAGGAGGAAAAGTAATGTTGTGACTGGAGCAAAAATCCTCCATCAGGAATTCTACATCTGCCCTGCTATTTCATGGGGAGGCACAGACACGCAGTAATAAATAAACAGCAATAAACTCCAGTTATACCCTGGGGACTGCACAGAGGAAAACAGATCAGGCAAAGCCACTGGGATCTGATTTTCCAGCTTATGGGACCAAGCCCCCAGTAACACTGACAGTCAATGCAAAAGCTGCAAATGTACCCAGAACCTCGTGATTTCAGAATGACATACTTCATTTAGTCATCTTCAGAACTGAAATGCTTTGCTTTTCTCCACAACAAGAACTTTTTTGTTTCAGTGTACAAAATGAGTTTCTTATGAGTTAGGGATTCCAAAAACCAGCAGATTGGGATCACGATGACCTTAGTTTTCCACAAAAGGAAGCAATATCTCACATTTGACCTTTTTTATCCAATGAAACATCTCGAGCCAAGTTTGAGGAGCATCAGGCAAACTTGGACAGCAACAGTTTGAGAGGCTCAGAACTGACCCAGTGAAATAATCCCATTTATTTCAGCTCAGCTGCTCTGAATAAATGGGTTCAAGCCATCAGACTGTGTCACTGAAAGTTTGTGTTCCAGCTGGCTACAGCTGCCCAAAACAACCACAAAGCTTTCAGCACCCACTGCTGATGCTCTTAACCTTCAGAAGAGCCACACGTCAAGCACAGCACAACTAAACAGAAGTTTCAGGCAAATCATCCGTTTCTTCAAATGTATTCAGGGTGTTTTTGCTATTAGTTCTTGAATTATCTTGAATTTTGCTCGGATCTGCAAAAAAATGCATTGTAAACAAAACAGGATATGGTAGAAACTGTATAGGCAAGATCAGAGTTTTGCACTTTTTTTGGTTGTTTTTTTTTGTTAAACACAAAAAAAATGAAAAAATGTATTATTTAAACAGCAAGCTCTCAGTTTGCTACCATATCTTCTACAGAAATTTTTCACCCCAGAGGGAGCTCATTTCTCCAGGACACTCGTGCCCTGGCAGCAGATGGATGGCTTGGATTTCTTGGCCAACATTTATGTCATCCAATATATGTCACAAAACTTGTTTGTCACCAACCCTCTCTCCAAGTCTCTTAAAGTAATTTAACATCACTGCCATATTAACCATTAGTTTCTCTAGCAATAATGTGTGGTTTAATATAAGAGTTTATGTTTTTAAAGGTATAAAACTGTAACAAAAAGCATTTCTAAGAAGAAAAGATTCTGCAAATAGGATGTGATAAAATTCCACAGTACCTGTTGGCCCTGGATCTTCATTAATAAATGAAACATGGGTTTTCCACTCAGTCCATTTCACTTCATTAATCCTGTTTACATTGTACATAAATTGTGTTATCACCATGCATTTTCCCCCATCTATATCACTGATCTTCCCCCTTTATTCCTTCCTGGGAATGTCACACTTGACCACCTGCTTTGCTGGCACTAAAGCCTGAATGTCTTTTGCACCATGTGAAGGTGAGAATAATATCAAGACTACTTCATAATTTCACAAATTGTTAGTACAGTCTTGAAATATTTAAGTACTTTTCATTAAACAGCAAAGTTCTTTAATATGGTAATCATCAATTACCAATCAACTTAACTGTGATTGCTTTTAAGCTGACATTCAAAGGAGATTATGATAAAGTGACATTTACTGCAAACAGATTTGATGCTTCTACAGTCAAAACATATGAAGATGAAAATCTTTTCTTACCAAAAGATTACCTACATAAAAATTTATACATTTTCCCTATTTAAAGAACTGGTTACAACTGAAAAAAAAAACAAAACCCCAAATTAGATTTTTGTGCATCTAGCATAATTTGTAGAGATAATAGAAATATTTTAAAGAGGGTTTTGAGGAGAAATAACCTTGAAGCAGCATAAAGAGAGCAGAATTGATAGCACATGATTCCAGTTTTGCTTTACCTTAAACACACCCTGGTGTCATTTTCAGCCACTTTACACCGTTCTCCCAGCTGGAATTTTTTCCTCAGGCATTTTGGTAAGAATTTTTCAAATTCCAAAATAGTCCTGGCTCTCTATTGGCAGTAAATAGTAAAATTAGTAAGGTTATCCATGGTCTGATTTCACAGCATGCAGTTTGCAGTTTGTAACAGGTCAAGCCTCCACCCACAGCTAACACCAAAACCAGCAAATCACTGACAATTTGTGCAAACAGGGATTCAGATTCGTGGAAAAATAGTGAAACACATCATCCTGTGACATATTCAGGGGATTGAAAGTCATGACAGGGCATGGGTTGGAAATCCAAACCATGATATCACCTTTAGGATTGTTAATTCCAAAGTTCCTACGGTTCTCTAATACTGGAATTATTTATTTCTATTATTCACACACAAAACCAAATGAGTATTATCTTTAACACTTAACCTGCTGTGTCAGCATGAGGGTTTTAACCCAAGCACCTCCCAAATTCCCAAACAAACCTGGAGTTTCCAGATGTGCTCACTCTCCTTAGAAATATCCTCCACCGTTTCTCCCATTAACGCAATCAGCATGTTCAAGAGAAGAACAAAAGTCAGCACAACAAAAGTTATGAGGAGCAGGAGAAACAGCACGGGGTACTTGGAGTTCTGCTGGATCTCCAGGTCACCCAGACCCAGGGTGAGCTTGAAGAGATCCATCAGGACAGGTCCCAGGCTGCTGTTGGCATGGCATTCCCCACCCTCCTGGCACGTCTCAATCAGGGCAGCCAGAGCTGAGAAGAAAGCACAAGGAAGTTTCAGTCACAATCACTATTTAGGAATACAGGACACTTCATCCCAAAGAATTCAAACTGCTGTAGAGAGCCAGAGCTGCCCAGCCACACAGAGCAGCTAGGTGACAGCTCCAGGAGCAGAAAGTGCCCACTTCCAAATGAGATTCCAGGGATTTGAGACCAGGAGACAAACCTGTTCACACCTAAACTTAACATCCAGAAGAAACCCCAACATGAGCTCTCATGAAAACAGGGTTCTTATCCATAACAATGCTAACATTTCTACTCACACTGAGCATCAGTGCTTTTCTGCAGGAACACTTACCTACACCAAATCCCAGCAAAAACACAATGTAGACAACTAAAAACTTGATCACATCTTGCAGGATGACCTGAAAATAGAATGAAACAGTTGCCTGAAATTAAAATTCAGAACTAGCTTTGTGCTTTTGAATTCTGCAGGGGTACAGGTGAGGCACACACTAAAGCATCAGACTACTTTCCTTGAGCAAACAAACCCAAAGGTCTCATTTTTTTTATCTCAAGCCTCATGTGCTCTCTGAGAGTGACTAATTCTGTACAATACAGACATTACAGATTGTGATGCAATTAAACTGCAGAACTATATTAGCTGGAAAAAGCACAAGCTACTCACATATTTAATGTAATAAAAATGTCATTATTAAGGTACAAACTAGTTCCTGCTGTTGAAGAAGAACAAATAGTGTGTTCCGCTGAAATAATGCATAAAAACTGGAAAGAAGATATTTTAAAATGAACTATAAAATACAAATAATTGCTAAATATACTTGATTTGGATTGCAGAACAATGGAGTATCATCAGGCAGGTAAAAGAAAAGAAAAACTTGCCTTTTGAATCATCACACTGTAAATGCCCATGGACTGGAAGCCTCTGGTGAAATAGAGCATATTGGCCCAGCCAAGGGCCATTGCCAAAACAAGACACACCAGGTGTTCTTTGTAGGAAAACAAGTACAAAAAGACAGAGAAGATCACAAGCAAAGCTTGTATAAAACTGTTAAAAAACAAACATATATGTAAAAGAGAAATTACTAGCACAAAACCAACAACAGAATGGAAAAATACGAAAACAAGATTTCATTGCTCTTTAGGCTTAATTTGTAATTTCATGCTGCTTTTTTATTCTCCCCATGAAACTGGCATTGTAGTTTAATGATAAAATAGTTCAGTGCAAGCAGTGTATTAACATATAAGGATTATATTTATTAAATTTATTAATTTAGGTAAATTATTCTCCCCAAAACAGCTGCTCAATGAAGATACTGCTGACAGAATTGTAAGAAACCTTATAATACTTAGAAGCCATTTAATTGCAGCTTTAGCTTAATGAATTGATAGAATCATTACAGATTTTCCACAAACAGGGAAGACATTGGCAGGTGGGAAAAATCCACTCCATGCACATCAGCCCTGGTATTGTCACTGACAGTGCAAACAAGAGTTTTTTACAGAAAAGCTGCAGGCAAACTTACATCCATCCCTCTAAAACTGATAATTTTGAGGGGAAAAAGTAAATATCTGATAGAGAAGCACATTCTCTGTAACCATGAGATAGAAAAAAATATATACACATCAGACTTACAATGCAAAGTGGAACCAGGCATCAGAGAGAATGGACTGCAGGTCTGAGGGCCTGAGCAGGAAGATGGCCACACTCTGTGCAGGCAGAAACAGAAAATGCAGGCATAGTGAAGAGAAAGGAGACCTCAAAACCTGTTTTTCAAAATAACTAGTGCTCCAAACCAATCCATCTACTGACAAGAGGTGGTAATCTTTAGAATGATTTTTTTTATAGAGCTGTGTCCTAGGGTGATGTTATGATGTTTGTATCCCCAGCTGTCTGTCCTGTTGATGCTGGATGTTATGTTTGTGCCTTCAAGACTGGCTCTGAAAAACCAGGTTTGGTTTTGTTATCACCCTGCTCACTCCCCCACGGGCTGCTGGATACAGACATAGTGCATAGTGCTGCTTTTGCTTTTGGCTTTTGACTTTGTTCTTCCTCTTTGCTCTTGCCCCTGCTTGCCTTTGTTTTTGCTTGTTAGTTAAGTTTAGCTGGGCAGTCTGAATTTTCCCCTGGACTGTCTTTCTTTCCCCTTTTTTTTTTGGAACCATTTGAACCTGCTCTGGGCTGGGACCTGGAAAACACCAGGAGTTTGCACTCTGTGGGCTGCAGCAGCAGGGACTGATAACAGAGCAACCACTCCCAGGAGAGACTTTCTGAATTTGTCATCACCTCAGAGTGGTGAAAAAGTTTTGTCATCTGGTGTTGTTCATTTTTTTTTGTGCTGGGGAGTGCTTTGCCTGTTAAACAAACACATTTTTTCCACTTCTCTCTGAGGAAATTCTTCTCAAACCAGGTTGGGGAAGGGGCTGTGGGGGTTTGCTTTCTGGGAGCTCCTTCCAGAGGTTTTCTCCCAAATTTGCCCTAAACCAGGACAGGCTGTAAATTCAGAAGCTCAAATTCTGTCATCTCTGGAATAATTTAAGTTACTGGTTTTAATTACTTACAGTACATGGCAAAATTATACCACAGGATTTGTTTTTCATTACATTTTGCAATTATTTTGTCCTTAAAGCCAATAATTTGACAACACTGATATTATACAAAGATCTCTGCACTAGCAATTTGAAAAGCAAACATCCTTATATTTATTTCACAGTTGTAATCAAATATATAATCAGGGTCATAAGTGATTGTGCCAAAGATTTGAAAATTACACATGCCAGAGACACTACATGTGTATTGCCAATATCAGCAGCAGCATATTCATAAATTTAGAGAAGTTCTTTACAAATTAGCTGTATATTTGTTTCCAAAAAAAAAATCTTACCTCTTTTATGGCTAAAAATATTGCTCCTAACATAACCATCACCTGTCCTGACAACTGCAGCCACCCCACTCCTTGAGTCAGAGCCAGTGGATAAGGAGGAGCCTGCAAAGAAATCCAGAAGGAAAATTTCAGCTCCATCCCTGAAGGGTAAAAGGCAAAGCAAGAGAAACCCTCACACCTGTAACTCTCTAAGTTCACAATTTCTTTCCCTCCAGGGAGAATTTTCTTTATGTATTTACACAATGAGCCCCCTAACAGAAGTGTTTGAAATATCAGAAGTTTCTTTCTTAAAGGAAAAAAAAAAAAAAACCAACCTTTTCCTACCTTCAGAAATTCCACAGTCTTTGTATCATTTACTTGTATTTTAGGTCACTTCCACAAAATGCAAATCTGATGTGGGAGAACATGGTCTCTCTATACCCAGATACTCCAATATGTAGCCTTGCTTTAGCATTTTAAATACAATTCAGGAAATACCATTGTCTTTTAAATCAGTACAATTTGGTGAGGCTCAGCTGCTGCACTCACTTCGTTTGTATTGGGCCTGTGGTAGGAAACCAATGTTAATGTTACATTGTACAGGAAATAAAAGCAGCAGGACATGAAGAACATGTGCCTTGCAAACTTCTTCCATTTCATCCTCAGCAGTGAGTTCAGAGGCTCCAAAGTCAGCATCTCGTGACGATTCTGAGGAGAAAAATAAAATACATGCAAAATTTAAATATTTCAACTTCCTGCCTGTAAGGGAACTGAGTTTTAGGTGTGAATTTTGTGTATTTTATTCCATGCTATCCTTGCTGCTCTAGGAACACCTCTGTGCTCAGGGATGTGCCAGACCTTTCTGGGATGGGAGAAAGAGACAATTCCTCCTCCTACTGGGATAATTCCCAGCCTAGTGAATTATTTCTGAGTTAAACTCTCCTGGGAACTCCTGGTCCTGCTTCCTTCTGGAAGTTTTGGAAGAATTTGAATTCAGCAAATATAAAATCTTGGCTTTGTAAATCAAACACTCCTAAACACCTAAAATACAAACCTGTTAAGTAAAGTTTATTTGGTCTGACCAGCTTGGCCATATTTATGTTCCTAAGTCAAATTAATGCTTCAAATGTAGGAAAAGACACTCCCAAAATAACTAACCTGTGTTGTAGGAGCTAAATGCATATTTGCTTACAGCTGACATTATGCAGCATAAAATTTATCCTGCTCCTGATACAATAACTGAGAAACATGAATTACTGTTCACAAGCAAGGCTGACACTTCTAAAATGGGGGTACTGCTAGAAAAAAAATATTTTTACTATATATTATTGTAATTATTATATTTATTATATAAAAATATTTTATTTATTTAATAGTATATTGCTTTATATTTTTATTTAAATAATATTTAAATAATAATTTAGATTTAGTAATTTAAGTAATGTTTAAATATTTAAAAGAATTTAATCATTTTTATCGTATTTTTAATAATATAGATGTTTGGTTTATATAAATAGGCAACTTACACCAATATTTGTATTATAGACAATGATTTCCAGCACTGAGTTGTCAGCAGTGGTGTCCAGCTCTGTCAGGTCATACAGAGAAGATTGAACAGGACCATAAGCCCAGTCTGTGAATTTTCTTGACAGGCTCCTGTTTGGCTTCTCTCTGATCTCTCTGCTCAGGATGTACTTCAGAATCTAAAACATGAACAGATCATTTGTCAGCAGCTGTGCTGTTCATGGGAAAGAAGAAACACATGAATACACTTGCCCAAACTCCACCTTTTATCTTTAACATTTTGTACAGTTGTTCAATTTAACATATTTGTAATTTTGTTATTCAGTGAGGGGTGCTGGAGGTGAAAAACCTCTAAGAAATAAGTTTAGTGGTTTTAATACCTTCAGATTTTCTGTCAGAGATATTTTTCTAAAGGATGAAAGTACAATTTTCCATGTGTTCATTTATGCCTTCCTTAAGGACTTAATTCCTTTCTAAATCATCTTACTGCCAATTCTTTACACTACAGTTGATTTATGCAAACCAAACTCTACAGCAATACAACAGAGCAGTTCTAGTGAGATTTCTGAAATTGTCTGGTGGTAAATGCAAAATTTCTCTACTACAGAAGCCTGGTTCTAAACAGCTTGTGTAGTTTGTACAGAGGGAGGGAGTTACTGAGAAACCCTGAAGCATTTAAACAACACTGCAATGGAAATATCTGTGTTTTGAACAACATTAGCTCACTAATACTGATACAAAACAGCATAACCAACCTGGAATGAGATGTGCCAGAGCACAAGTTTCTCCTAGATGCTACTGAAATCACACCCACCTCTAATTTCCCAGTTTTTGCAGCTAATTGCAGCGGTGTCAAACCCTCCTTATTCTTGGTTGTTTCCAGAGTTCTGTCTTTACTTTTCAGCAGGATCATGTCATACATTCTGATCACAAAATCATTCTGTGTTTTGGAGTCCTCTGCCACGGTCACTAATGCATGGAGGATGTTGTTTCCTCTGGAATCCTGAGAGGAAATATTGGTCCTGGCATTGTCCATTAACAGCTCAATTATGTCTGGCTGGTTGGTACATGCTGCCAAAGCCAGGGCAGTCTCACCTGCAGAATCACAAAATGCAACAAGTGGTCATGGCTCATTCCAAGCATTCAAATCAGAAAAGAAAATATTGTGTTAAATATCTTAATATGTGAAAGCACATTTATATATTGACTGCACTGGATTAAGCTCTTGTTTTATGGAGGTTTTGGTTATTCCTTCTTAACTTTTCCAGAAAAATCTCAATTCCACTTACCAAAATAAAAGCCTTCATGCTTGTGCTTGGGATTAAAGAAAATACCCTGGGCATGAGCATTGACATCTGCTCCTTTCTCTATGAGGCTCTGGGTGATTTCATACTGTCTCCTCTCAATGGCAATATTTAGAGCTGTCTGGCCTGAAAAGCAGACACAGGAATTTAGGGCTGAGTCTCTCAAGTACACTCTGAAACATAAATGATGTTTCACAAAAGATGGCACCAGTGATAATGAATAAAAGTTGGTTCAAGGGATTTAAACCATCATTATTTTATTGAGGTTATGTTTAACCATATAACTAAAACAGCTATCAGATGGCAATACCTTTATATGCCTCTTCTGTGTATGCTGCATTGATGAATCTCTCCAAAATGCCATTTTCCTCTGCAAAGGACAGGAGCATGTTCACTATCTCATTTGTGTTCTGGTTGATGTTCAGCAGAGCTTTCATCAGACAAGTTTTGCCAGTGTCTGCAGCTGTGAACTTCTTCATCAGGTAATCTACAAGAGTGAATTTTGAGTTCAGATCATTGTTATTTATGAAATTTCTATTCATTAAGGGTGAAACCTGAGGATACAGATGAACAAAAACTATGTGCCAAACCATGACTCCATCCTGTTCACTTTGTTCTTGAGCACCAAAGCAAACTTGGTGTTCCTGTTGGACATCCTGGTGCCATAACTGCCAAAGTCTCAGGGAAATAAAGATAATTCACAAGGAAATAAAGATAATTCACGGGTTTGGGCTGCACCTGAGCTGCCAGAAGAGCTGGCAGCCCACCCCTGGTGCCTTGAGAAGGCTGACCTAAAATGGAGGCTGGACAGAGTTAAACAAAGTAGGGATTTCTTAGAATCCTCAATGGATCCACCTTGGGCAGCACAAGAGCCCAGCCAGGGCTACAGCCAAGATCAACCAAAATGGTCACAAACTGGACACAAGGTCTCCATTTGCATATTGGAGTAAATTGTCCAATTACAGCCTAGGTTATGAAGTCCCATCCTGCTTGTTTTTCTCTCTTCAGCCCACGTGGTTTGTGCTCTTGGGCCTGAGATTTGGATCATTTGTCCTTGGTGCCCAGCTGGAGAAGGAATTGTTTTGTCTCCCTGCTCTGCGCAGAGAGCTCACCATCCCCTAATACGAAGCTCAGAAATGCAGAGTAAAGCAGCAGAGAATGTGCAAAACATAAAATCTAAGAGCTGAGGCACAGCCTGGGTGCCTCAGGGCTCACCTGGCACGGGCAGGGAGGTGCAGGAGCCCGAGCGCTCCCTCAGCTCGGCCAGCAGCCGCTGCAGCTCCTCCGCGTTCCCCTCGGACACTGCCCGGAACAGGTTCCTCTTCAGCTTCTTCCTGGCACTCCTCAGCTCAGGGTCTTGGCATGTGGTAGCACTGAATTGGAAGAAATCATCATGAAGTTGCTGGTGCAATTTATCCTGGTTTATTATTTTTTTTTTTAAGAAGAGTAAAACCGAATACAGTTGTTGGCCCCAGACTACATAAACTTGCCCCACTGCCATGTATAGCTCAGAGTATTTTTCATCTTGCTTATCTGAAGCTAAGTGGGGTGTTGAGAGGCTGCTTTATTATAAACAGCACATTTTCCAAGTATTTTGTGTTTTATTCAGTTTGCCCATCCTCCTAGGATAAAGGCTAAGGAACACTTCTTTGCTCTGCCACTACTGACTGCAGTGCTGAGGTGACTTTGGGCTGCTCTCACTGCAGAAGACAGATCTTAACCTCACATCTTAAACCACTTTCTGATCATCCTTTATTCATGAAACTTCTGGTGCAATTTATCCTGGTTTCTTTTATTTTTTAAAAAAGGGTAAAACCAAATATAGTTGTTGGCCCCAGACTACACAAATTTGCCCCTCTGCCATGTATAGCTCAGAATATTTTTCACATGGCTTATCTGCAGCTAAGGGGGCTGTTGAGAGGCTGCTTTATAATAAACAGCACATTTTTCAAGTATTTTGTGTTTTATTAATTTGATTATATTAATTTTTATTCATTCTCCAAGAATAAAGGCTAAGGAACACTTTACCACAGCTGACTGCAGTGCTGAGGTGACTTTGGGTTGCTCTCACTGCAGAATACAGATCTTAACCTCACATCTTACACCACTTTCTAATCATCCTTTATTCTGGAAAAAGAATGATTTCATATTTCCCCCAAGCAGAAATACTCCATGCCTGGTTGTGGTGTGTGGGTCCTGCATTGCCATCTAAAAAAAATCCATTTTATATAAAGAATCCTCACACTAAATATGAAAATTGAGAGATTAGAGTTGTTTATTTCAACATTTAATTATTAAAAGATCAGAAAGGCATGCACACATGAACTTTTATCCTAAAACTGGCAGGAAAAATAGGTAATATCTACCTTACTACATATTGAATCAGTTGAAAATGTGTTGAGAAATATTTGTGCCTTCACTCACCCACAGCTGTCCACATTAGGGCTGTACTCTGTGGCATCATCCTGAAGAGACTGAGGGGAATCCATGTCTTCCCCATTTGCAGATGCACTGCAGGAAAGAAAAACAAATGTGCCAAAATATTAGCAGGTATTTTGGCAAACTGAATGAAGAAACATTCAATGGTAGGATAGATTATCTGCACTAGAGCTTAAATTAGCCCAGTTTGACATTGGACTTTTAATTCTATCATTTTATCTCCCAAATGGATTTTAAAGTGAGTGATAAAAATTAAAAGACTCTCAGGATTTTATTATATTTAAAAAAAGACCACATTAGGAAAGCAATCTGCTTTGTGTTTTATTATTTCACTACAGATCCTGAAACCGTGGGAACTTTATTTATTTATTTTTTAATGATCATTGCTTTTTATACATCACCGTGAATGCTTGAAACTTGCATTCTTCCTTTTTACATGCTTAATTTGTCATCTGGCACAAAACAAGTGCTAAATCAGTGGCAGTGAGTAGGTTGCAAGCCCACAACGAAAGATTTACCTAAAGATTTACTACACAGAACACTGGAGGCAATTCAGGAGTGTTTTGTGGCTGACTTGAATGAAAGAAATTGAGGACTGGGCCCTAAACAGATGTGTAGGTGATATATTTAAAGGATTTTCAATGGCATGGATATTTTGTAATTGCTGTACATAATTTCCACACAGTCCCAAAAGCAGATCTGACTAAGAAAAATTAAGATAAATGAGTTTCTTACTTATATTTTTGTTTTCTCTAAGGTTCAGATTGGATGAACTACCTCAGGTTAATAATTTAGGGAACCTGAGCTATTAATTATTGGCAAAACAGATGCATGGACAGCATTGCTCTGCAGGTGTTCCCTTCCCTCTGAAATAAATCTGGGAGCTCTGAGTCCATTCCTAATCCATCTGTCTCCTCTGCAAAAAGCTGAGTAATGTGGTGACAAAGCACATGTGCAGGTCACTTCCTGACTGAGAGGGGGAAATTTGGACACCTCTCCTCTGAAACCAAAACCAGCCTGTCAGCCAATTCCTAAAAGCTGACCAGACATCCTCAGCCACAAAAGACTTTGGCCATTCTGGGCCTGTGCCAGATTTGTGACATATTTCCCTTACTCATAATTATTGGTTGTTAGTACCCCACACATTTTTTAAAATTAAATGTATTCTTCCCAGTCATAATTTTTCTCAATTCATTCAGCATAAATGGCTGCTTTAAATATTTCAGATTCAGCATTTCCACATTTGATTGTTAATGAGCAATAGAGAGAAGACGTCAGCAGCCAGCTGGGAACAGCTAAATTAGGCTGTGGTCTTCACACAGCAGAAAACACCCAAGTGAGAGCATGGAGTTTGTTCTAATAAGAGGCTAAGAGTAAAAAAAAAATATTGATTTTTAAATTTATTCAGATCTGAGGCCTGATTTATTCCATAGAAACTACAGCAGTAGATAAAACCAAAGATAAATCTCCAGTGAAGTTCTGTCTTTGAAGTGTCCAAAAGCTGTAAAAAGTCATGTGAAATCCTGGCACTGAGGCCCAAGGAGAATCAAGGGGAAGCTGCTGGCAAGAAAATAGCTATATTTGCAGCAGGACCATTGCTTGTGCATCTGGAACTTACCACGGGCGAATATTGGAATCCATGGGTTTGGAAAACACAGGGGGAGAGGTGTTATTGGGACTGGCATTGCTTTCAAAACCATCAATCTCCAGGAAAAAGTGGGAACTGTTGAAGACAGTGCATAAAAAAAAAATATCAGTGCTAAAGGCAAGCCCAACCATAAACCAAAAAAAGAACTACCAAGGGTAAGCTTGATCATTTATCTCTCCTGGCATTAAACCTGAGCTGGAGCTGAGGCTTATCTGCTTTCCCTGAGGGGATCCCAGCCTGTGCCCAGCTTTTCCAGGCTGGCAGATGGGCAAAATTCCCAAGGTATTTTTGGAACACATGGCATCAGATCCCGACGTGTGTGAGCAGAAATCTCTAAACCAGCCTTGCACCCAGCTCCTGTCACTGCCCAGCCACACAAAAATGATTTTTTAAAATCCCAGTCCCTGTTCTTCCAGCCAGGAGCCATCAGGATGGATCATTTCAAACCCATTAGCAGTGATAGTGATTAAATCAGAAAGTTTGAAAGGTCACACATTCAGTGACATCAGGGCTGAATGTGTCCCCTTGCCTGCATGACACTTAGTTTTTTTTCCCGATAAATAATCATATAAATATTGATAGTGAAAAGAAATAAAATTTAGAACAACACGGACAAAGTGATATGAAAAGAAAGATTTCACCTTTTAAAAGCCTGCAGAGTTGAGAGGCAAAAATCAATGGCTTGGTTTTACTGGATCTCAGTAAAACATTGCTACAGCTCCCACAGACTGAGGAGTTTTAGAAGTGGATGCAGCAATTCCCACAGGGGCTGTTGTTCAGAAACTGCCTTACATGTCTAAAACGTTGCAGTAGTCACCTGGAAAACCTTCCCAATTCACCTAATATTTATGGGTTTGTCCATAGGGCATTCCTTACCTAACTGCACTTCCAACAAGATTTTTTGGGGAAGATGTAGTTGTCGTATTGATGGCAAAATAGAAAAAAAAAAAGGTATTATTTAAAATTGTATTATTAGGACACCACTGATATTTGCTAAAAATACCATCTCTGCTGATATTTGCTAAAAATAGCAGTATCTAGTTCACCTCCTTTTCCAATGGCTCAATGATCCAGCTGTTAATTCTGGCATCCAACAGCTGTGCAGCAGCTGGGAAGGGAACCCTGCTTTGGGGGCTGACAGACCTCACCCCTCCTGGCTTGGGGGTTACCTGGGCATGTCATAGGAGGGCAAAACCACCCCCAAAGCCACCGTGCAAAGCAGGGTGCCATCAAATAGCCGGGTGCTGACGTGGCCAGGTGCTCTGCCCACAGGCATCAGCAGGCTCTGACAGCCTCCTCCCCCCCCACCCCTCGCATTTCCTGTGCTTAATTATAACTTGGAACCCCCAAATTCCAGGGGCTTCCAGCTGGGAATGCCACTGGCTTTCAAGAAAGTGAATACTGAGAGTGAGAAATGCCATCCTGGGAGTGCAGCAGCTCTGCTGGTGCAGGGGAGGGAGAGTTTGAAGGAACAGCATGAAGCAGCACTGGAACATGTAATTAATAGAATTCTCTACATTAAAATCCACGTGATGTGGGTGCTGTGTGTTGCAGGAATGCTGCCAGCCACACCCTGAGCTCTGGCTTGAGAGGTGGGATAAACCCCAGGGTTCCTGTTCCTGAGGCCACAAGGAGTGTGAGATTGGGGTTCAGTAATTGAGGGTTTGGCTTTGGCAATGCTCCTATAACTCCATAAACTGCCAGGGAATTGCCCTTTTTTGAAGTGCTGGGTGTATCATGAGCTGTTCAGACACTTTGTCTCCCCCCATATGCCACCAAAGAGCTTCTCTTCTTGAATTGAATGACAAAAAGACAAATTGGACCACCCAGGCAGTGGATCTCAAATAACTAATGGCACCGTTCCTGTGAAAAGTGATTCCTCTGATTATTGGGAATTATAAATGTCAGAACAGCCACAATTGGCCAGGCCTTCAGAGTTTCAGAAATTGCCATAATAACCAGTAATTTTTCAGAATGAAAAGTTTATTAATGAAAATTCATCCTCACTCTACAGTGACTTAGTTGACTTCATAGTATCAGGCAGGAATTACATCTCATATTTCCCCATTCATATTAAATACAAACCCTTTATTAATTCTCAAACCCTCAATCCCTTTATTAATTCTCTAATATCAATTATGAATGAAAGTGAATATTTTATAAAGCAGAAAAAAAGTCTCATTAACTGGACTAATGAAAAAGAGAGTGAATTTAGGTTTCTGTTTGTCATAGGACTTTTCACACCCCCTGCTCTCCCTGCCCTCAGCCTCCATAGGCTCACATGGAAATGTGACAGATTAAGTTTGAAATGCTTCCTTTTTTCAGGCCAAGATCTCTCATATAAAACCTGGTGTGTTCTTCCATGTGATCTCTTAAAAAGATCACTTTATACCAAACATTATCCATCATTAGATCGAATTCTTGTGAGGTCACAGAGAACAAAGATGTTGGTGGTATTTCAGTGCAAAGATCTCCCAAAGGAGATAAAGCAGGGAGTTTTTGTGGTTTAAAGCTTAGCTGGAGTCCTACCTTTTCTTGGTGGGAGTGCCTTCAGTCACCTTTTTCTCTTGCTGGTTTGCAGGGGGATTTCCAGGCAGGTTTGTTTTCTTGCCCATTAGTGGAACAATTTCGTTGTTATCTTTAATCATGTTTCTGCAGTAGAGGAACAGCAGTTACTTGGCTCCTGTTCCTTTGAAGGAAATGTGGTGACCAAATTACCATTTACAGTCTCTTCACGTGTAAATACACAAATATCGATTCTTTTTTCCCCAAAATTTCTAATTTTTCAGACACTAAGCACACACCTCCACCATTTCATGTGTCAAATCTGGAGGGCTCCACACATGACTCATTAAACTGCAGTCTATGACAAGTGCCATTAAAAGTGGCACCAGGAGAACCATAAATTCAAGCCTGTGCCTAAATTAGACTGAAGGGATCCTGTCAGTCCCAGTGACAGTGTGTGTTATTTAGAGAAAAAGAAAGATGACTTTTATAAGTAGCCCCCAAGTTAGGCATCTTTTCAGTTAATCTGTGCAGTCTGCTCTTGATAAAGATAATTTCAGAAAAGTGATAAATCCCAGGAAGATGTGTGCAACAGCAAACAGATAAAGGAAGGTTCCAGATGTGAAAAGAACAAAGAAAAATCCCTGAAAGTTTTCACTGCATTGGAACAGCAGAAGCAGCAGACTGAAAACGATGCCCAAGGTGAGCTTAGCTAAATTATCACATGGATAACATCCAGGATTTGTGTCCTGGTGATTTCCCAACATTTCCTCAGGAAAAAGAAAAACAACCCCATGATTCTGCTGGAGGGAAATGACCACCAGTACCTGACACAAAAGGATCTTGATGCAGTTACCTGCTTGGGAACAGCCACAGCATGAATTCTGCAAGGAATAATGAACTATCTCCCTGTTTCTCAATCTAATACTCAAGGGCATCATTTTAAATGGCCCAGGATAATTTGAAAGCAAGAAGGTGAATTCAGGATACATTAAAATTCACTGAAGGTACACTCAGGAAGATTTATGAGGTCAGGGATCCATTCCCAAGGAAATCAGGGGAGTGGCCTCCAAACCCAAGGACAAATGGTAAAAATAATTTGCCTGCAAAGTTTGAACAAAATCAACCACACATTTTTTCCCCCTCCTACTCCACTTTCCTTAATGTGACAAATGTACACACACAATTTTTCTGCTCCTGTCACAGCACTGTCAGTGTGCCTTAGCACCAGGATCCCTTCATTCTGGGAGTATCAAGATACAGAAAGCAGATTGTTCAGAGTGTTTGAGAAGACATGACACCTGGTATGAGAGAGGAGCCAGGAATATCAAATACACTGGTATTGGAGTGAAAGTCTATTAATGCATAAACAACAAATGTTTAATTATGGCAATTTTCAATCCCAAGTACAGAGAGCTGAGAATTTACAGGGTCCAAACAATCCTAAGTGCAGCTGTAATCTCTTGGCACTCTGTGGAATAGGAACTTGAAACATTGGAAGAGACTCCTTACCTTGCAAAGGCTGGCTGAAGAAACAGGCATGGAAAGAAATTTTTATCATGTTTTTTACCATTGGCAGGTGTGCTCACACTAGGAAACATTCCTAGTTTGGATAAATTTCCTAAGAATTCATGTCACAGCTTTCAGAGAAATAATTTATAAAGGGAAAAATATTTTTACTTGCATACAAAGTACACCACAGCTTCTAGTAAATGCAGTGAAGAGCTGAATTTGGAGATTATACAGGAGAGGTGGGAGAAGGGGGTTTGTCTGTGCCACTGGAAATGCCATTCACAAAGTCCCCAGACACATGTTGTGTCACTGAACACACTGATAAACTTTTAGTCTAAACACAGCACAAACAAATGACTGTTGTCCTGCTTAGTTCATAAATAATTCTGCTATGTACTTCTTACCAAGTACTTAAAGAATACAAAGCAGTGTGTGGGCAAAGACACCCCATCCTGAGGAAGAGGCAAATGGGATACTTGACATAAATCAAATAAAAGGGGACCATGGCGGGGGATGGACATTAAACAGCTTCACAAAATAAAGGCTTTAAAGGAAGAGAATAGTTGGAAAGTCCAAAAGTCAACAAAAGGAGTTGCCAAGTTGAGAAGGGCTCAGCTGGGTGGGGTGTGAAGTCAGAGGGGTGAGAGAGCAGAATGAAGAGCTGGAGGAATAAAGATGGAGTTAAATTCCTAAATTCCTCTTGTTTGTGAGTGATGCTGGAGCTGCTCAGAGATGGCAACACCTCCCTGCAAGGGCTGCAGCTCCAAGCCCCATTTTGCAGTCAGTTTTCAGCACAGAGATTTTAGGAGTGGCTCGAGAACAGGCTGCGCCTCTGAGGAGAGGTGGGGAATAACCAAAATAGCCCTGGAGTTGTGTTGGATGATGAAGGACTGCTGAACAACCAGTGATGTAAGGAAGCAGTTTGGCAAGGAAAAAGAGGACAGATTTCCTTAAGTACAGAGGGACTCCACTTTCAAAAGCACAGAGATGTGACTGTATCCCAGCCAAAAAGTCTATTTAAAATGAGATTTTAATCAGCCTGCCCAAGTAAATAACTGTAGGCACCATAGCAGAAGTACCTTGCTACAGTGCTGAGGCAGCGTCTGCCTCATTTTTAATCACAATTAACTGTGTGCTGAGATGAAAATTAAGCTGGGCTCTCAGCAGCTTCCAGTGCACTATCATTTCCTGTAATCTATGACAGAAAGAGGAAAATAGTGCAGCAGCCTGAAAAGTGTCAGATCTAAGCAGTGTAGCTTCCCTAACCTGATACAAAATGTTGTCTTTGGTTGTAACAATTTTCTACTCCCATTATCTCCCTAATTGTCACTTACAGGCCACCAGAGAAGTGGCTTATTTGAAGTGGCCAGCAAGACAAAAACCCTGCATTGATTTATAGTATCAAGAATTACTTTGAAAGGTATCTGAGGATTTGGTATCTGACCTCCAGTGTGCTGGGGGGTAAGAAAAGGGAATTTATCTGTGATGGTGAATGGCATTCTGCTATTGCTACACATTATCACAGACTCACCTTCTGCTTATCTTAGAACAGGAAAAATCACACATATTTGTATATCTCAGTAACAGTTTCTACAACATGGCTAAAGAGAGAATCCTATAAATCAGAAGAAAGACTCAGCTGTGATGTTGTGGCACAAAGGTCTCCCCTTCCCTGGGGGCAAGGAGGGGAAGTGACTCCCAAGAGCCTCAGAACAGACCATGGCCCTTCCCAGCACCCACCACCTAATTCCTACTGGCCATAAAAATTAAATCCCCTCTTCGAGGGGAAAGCTGATAAAACTTCATTTTGACTTTTCATAAATAATCATAAATATGATTATTTATGAGTCATATCAACAGAAAGTTACACTCAGTAGGAAGAGCTGCATCTTCCTGTAAGGTTTTTAAACTTTTGAGGGGCATTAATTGGCTTCAGGTGCTACCAAGAATGCTCTTCTTGGTAAGAAATTTTCACCTTCCTATGAAGATTCTTCCTAATAGAAATTTTTAATAAACTCTGAAAAGCAATATTTTTTTCCCTGAAGAAAAGTGATTTGAAATTATTTACCCGCCTATTTCTGAATTAAATAAAAATAAGAGTTTTTCTGAGTTGAAAGAACTTATTCTATACCTTATAGTTGACTTTCAGTGGTCACTACAGTAGCTGAAATTTTTGGTGGAAGATGATGAAGGTATTAAAGTTCTGATATTATGTTTTGGATCCCCTTGGCACAGGAATTAGGAAGTGCAACAGTGTCCAGGCTGACAAACACAAATTAAACCAGGCCTGTCCTTCTTCACTCCTGAATACCCAAGGAAATAGCACAGCTCAGGAGAGCCATTCACAGACTAGAAAAACAGAAACAAGCACAACAGAAACACATTTTCTCTGTGAAGGATGGCTTCCACCTCTGTCTCTGGCAGATTTCCCTCTCTCCAAAGCATCACCCCAAACACCCCTGGAGCACTCACCCCGCTCACAGCACCTCCATGTCGGCGTGGACGGATCTGGGCGGCGAAAACCAAAGCAAAGCCCCGCTGACAACATCCAAAACTCATCTGCCAAAGGAACAAAACCACACTCAGGCTCCAGACTATCCCAAAAACACAAAAGTACCCTGCTCCAGGCATCTGGTGTGCTCAGCTGGGGAGCAGAGCCAGGGGAGCGCCGAGGAACCGCGGCCGCACGGAGTTTGCTCCATCTGAAATTAGGGAGCAGGGAGAAACTGGCCAGGCAACAACTCTTGACTTCAGAGCTGCTAAAGTGGGATGACACACAGGCAGTAATTACACACTGGAGTGTTACCAAAGCTGAGTTGCTCACAGGTGACTTCACGGCAGCAGTGGAGTATCTCAGGTGATTGCTGCTCTGCAGTTTACACGCTCTTTGCAAAGGGAAATGGTCATGCAGCTGCATTTGGGTTGTAAATGACACCTTTATGTCATGCTCAGTTTGTTACATAGCAAGGACCGACTCAGAATGCAGAAAGCAAAAACAAGGAAGTGATCCTAAGTGCTCCAGCAAGCAGAAATTTTTGCTGTTACTTCAAAAATTCACAAACTACATTAAAAAATCTTATAATTGCACAGTGCTGTCAGGGAAAACATGGGGGGTATGTTTACATTTTTCTCTACCTGTAAAAGTTTTTAATGAATATGTCCCCACAGGGGCTGTGGGAACATAACCAGTTGGGCTTCACATCCCTGTGACAGGCAATGACTTTTCTCAGCTTTTCTATTTTGGAGCTGTTGAGCAATGGTGAATGCAGAATTCTGGTCTGGCACATACCAAAAGAGTGACCATAAGTTCCTCTGCTCTTTTTATAGAGTCTTTGCATTATCACCAGAAATAGGATGTGAAAAACTCCTATGTCTTTGTAGTCAGACCTGCAAGGTGTATTTACAGCTGCTGGTCTTGAGTTAATTATTAGATAGGCAGCAAAACAGGAATCTTTTTTCAGCTGTAGACAAGGGCAAAAAAAAGTCAAGTTTGGGTGGTGTTTTTTGGTAGGACATAGGGCAAATTTTGGAAGTAAAAACAAAATATCTTTGGCTACTACAACACAGACATTTTTAATCCAAAGACAATGGCATTAAAATACATCTACAAACTTAAGGTAAGCTCCTCCTGTTCATAAATTATTTTTAAAAACAGGTCTGCTGGGTGTTACATTTGCCTCAGACCTTGTGTGAAATGCCAGGAGCACTGCACAGCTCCTGCTAATGAATCAGCTCCCAGCAGCTGCGTGGGGAAAGGGGCTCTGCCTGGGCTGGTTGTGTTTGGCACTGGGGATCCCTTTGGTTGGAGGTGCTGAGCACACAACCAACTCTGCCTGACAAATTCCTGCTCTGTTCCAAACCCCGTGCCAGGAGATGTTGTTCACATCTTGCCAAATGCCTGAACAGAGCTCTGACAACCCAGAGGCAGCTGCTTTGATGGTCTTTTAGTGTAAGAACCTGGAATAAAGATTGGGTCCTGCCATTCCCTCCTGCCTGGGACAGCACCAGCTTGGTTCTCAACACAAACTGCAAGGAACTGTTTAATTGAAGTCACTCTGAGGATGGAAATGGGAAAAGGCATATGAAATCTGGGTGAAGGTGCATTTGAGGACTCTTGCTTTACCTCTGATCAACCACAGTAACAGAAATCCTTTTGCTAAGGAGGGAAAATGAATTTGGCAGCAAGCAGGACTTTGAATTTGGAAAGCAGCTATATCTGAAAGCAGCCAGATCTGTGGGGTTTAGCAGAACACGGCACCTAGCAGCAAGGTCTATTTATAATGTTGTGGCAGTTATCCAGAGAGGAAAAACCAGGACAAGCAGCAGCAAGAGAGGCAGAGCCCTGCTGCCCACAGAGAGATGCAGGGACTGCAGGAGCTGAGAGCAGCTCACAGCAGCTCCACTCCACCCTGCCTGCTCTGTGAGCTGCTCCTTGCCCTGCCAGGGCAGCCTTGACCCCCTGAACCCCAGTGTGGCCTTTCCTCTCACATCTGGGGAGCAGGAGCCCTGCCTGCTTCTGGCTGATGTCCCTGAAAACAGAATTTTGGGGTGCTGTGAGCCTGAGCTGGGCTGCTTGTGAGGACAGACTTGAGGGGCAGGAAGTGAGAGGCAGAGCTACAGCCAGTCACATCTGTGCAAACATTTTCTTCCAGTTTTAATCATCAACCTGCTCAGCCTTTTTGTCCCCTGCTCCACCCCGCTGTTTCTGACAAGGGCAGCAATTTCAGGAGCCATGGAGGGTTTTCCAAGAGGCTCTGTCCATGACCATTTTATAGAGTTTTACAGCAGTCACCAGCTGCTGCTCCAGCTACTGAAGAGATGCCATAAGGGTTGAGAACATTAATAACATGCATTTCCTATTAAAAATTACTTGAAAATTTCAGCTTTGGACAGTCTGCACAGCACAAATAAGTAGCAGAAGCCCTACGTGGCATTATTTTGTTTTCCTAGCAAGTGTTAGACTCAGTAGAAACCAAAGTGAACAAGATGAAGGAAACCCCAGATGGGGAAGAATGAGCACTTGGAGATTTTCCATCTGACATCAGCAAGTCAGAGCAGCGTTTGCTCTTCTGCTGATACAGGACACTGTCCCAGGCAAACTCACATTAGAAGCTATTCAGATTTTATATTTAATTCTCTGATTTTTAGTACCCCAGCAGATTCACTTATGGGAAAAGCCACTATCTAAATACATTTTTGACCTTGAGTAACATCAAGAATAATTGTAATTTACTTATTGTCATCATTCCATCCCCCAAGCTCCTTAAAAATAATCCAAAATATGAGAATTAAAAGCATACCAGTAGCATCCCACTTCCCCTGAGCATAGTGTTTAACTGGTTCACAGGAGTCTCCCATGATTTTTCACTGTGCTCTCCTCACCCCTCCCCTCAGAGTTAAACTTGTCCTGGGATCACCTCTGTGCGCTGCTCTACTAAGAGCTTTTCACACCTCTCCAAACAACTGATAAGCGCTTGCAAATATTTACACATTAGGCTCGTAAATTGCAAGATAAGAGGCTGCTTTATGCAGCTGAGCAACAGGAACATGAATTAGCCTGCAAGTGTGTGACTGTCACCTACCAGGAGACAGCCTTGTGGGAAGTCATTCCAGGAAAATACTGGGATATATCACTTACCAGTTGGTGCAGTCTGGGCTGCAGGGACAAGTCGGCCTCTTTAGCAATTCTATGATGCATTTTTGCACTGGAGAGCTGATTCCCAAAGATCCCTGCCAGAGAACAGTCTCATGCATGAGGGGATGAGAAGGGTTGCTGGAACCTCCATCACAAATATATTCCCTGCAACTGTGGCACTGTGCAGTTTATTCTTTCTGCTTGGGCAAAAGAATTGTTATCCTAATTATTTTCTGTTCTTCCAAGCTACACATCCTGGACCTGATTCCAGCAGCTGCCCTGAGAGTCCTGCTCAGCACAGGAAGGAACTCCAGTCATGGCACTCCTCAGTCTGTCCCTGCTGTTTTCTTCCTTTCTGCAGCAGGGAAAAACATTTTTATTCTGCATTTGAGCCGTGCCCTGATGCATCATAGCCAGGGCTCATATAAAGAGAGCAGAAGAGCAAAGAAAAGCCTGACCCTATATCTCAGCTTCTACCCACTCCCTCCAGCCAAAAACCCAAAGCTGCCTCCCTTCCCCCCTTATTATACCCTCTCCCCAGCTGACAGACTGCTCACTTCCACCTGCATCTCCCTAATTCCCACATCTGTGGCCAATTCCCTATGCAGGCATGGGCTCAGTAATTATTAAGTTGAAATAAGTGCAGTAAAAACCCACTTTATGTTAGTGGCATCAATATTTGACTTCAGGCCACAGATATCCCTCTTGGCAAAGTGTCAGGGCTACCTAAGCATGAGATCATGATAAGCAGTGGCAAGAATGGATTTGTTACTTTTTTTCCAGTGTGTTTTCCTGCATTTGTGCTGTTCTCAGTGTCTCCTGGCACTCCTGAGCCAAAACCTAACAGCCCAAACTTTGCCAGCCCTCTGTGTACAGATGTGCATGTCCAGATGTGCAGGGCGGTGGCTCTTGTCCCTATCCTGTGAGCATGTCCTGCTGCTGATACTGTGTGTCACAGGCTGGGCACACAGTGGGGAGGCTCACCAGGCCATAAGACCTTTGGAAGAAAAAATAAAACCAGTTTTAAAAGCAGCAGAGAGGCATCTTTTCCTGCAATTGCCTCTTGGCTGAGGGAGCCAAGCCTGTGTGACACATCCCAGCTCAGAGAGGTCTCCCAAAGCACAGACCTCTCTTGGCTGCTGAGCCTCACACTCCCAACTAGGTCAGGGTTGTTCTGCAGCTGTTTCAGGCTGAGTTTGAGACTCTTCAGTTGTGGTGCAGAGTTTCTGGTAATGCTGAGCAGCGCTGGGGAATGAGGCAACATGAAAATGCCTCAAGGAATGCACAGTGAGGAAAGCGTGGCCCCACCTAAATGCTGCATTTTTTTTGGCTCAAGCTTGTGCTGCCACTGCTTGACTCAAATAGTTTTTGGAGGGTGAGCACCAAACCTGGGGAGGAACTTTCATGTTCTAAGAAATTCAGGTTGAACTAATGGTTCAGTCATTTGATTTTTAAAAACACCAATATCCCTTCCTAAAATTGGGATATTTGAATCTGTCTTATCCATCTAAATCTGGGGGATTGTTTATTTCCATTCCTTCTCCAAAAATCTCTTTAGACTTGTAAGACACAGGAGAGAAACAAAAATTCACCCACTATCAGGCCTTAAACTGAGAGACAAAATTTGTATCAGCTGCAGCAGCATATGAAACTCTCAGGAGCTATAACAAACTGAAGTCCCTGCAGGCCCCTTCCACTTTTTGTCAAGTTCTTTCTGGCAAATAAATGAAGAATTGAAGGTGATCATCTACCAGCTGAAATAAGCCCTCAGATGCTTTGGGTCCCCAAAACAAGAGCTCTAAATCCTGCAGGTTCCTTGTTGCTGCAGTCAGGAGGGCACTGGATAAATCTGATGTTTGAAACTTCCAGGGATTCCAAAGGGAATTCTTTGGGTAGACACGTATCATATGTGCCCCAGCATCTTTTCAGGATATGTTTTCCGTGCCTCAGTTTCGACCCATTATTCTAATTAAAACCTCTTTCCGTATGCAAATCATCTCCTCCCTCAGTTTTAGGTTATTCTGTGCATATTTCAAAACCAGCTGTTTCTATCTGTCCCTGCAATCATCCTCTAGAGAAAACTTCACCTATTTCCAGCCCTAAACTCCTGTGATGAGGGATGTTGTGTTCCTCTTTGCCCCTAAAGCTGTCTAGGCTTTCCTTCTCTAACAGGAGTTGAGACTCCCTTTTCCCTGGCTGGTTCATCACCCACATTCTCCTCTGGAAAAAGAGGAACTGCCTGGCTTAAACCTCCTCTGTCAGCTTGGAAAGAAGTGACTTGGACTTGGTGACATGGTTGGAAACTGCTCTTTCTGGCCCAGTGAGTCAGACACTTCCTCCAGTTCCTGGAACTGGGAGCTGCTCCCACTGCTTGACATGGCAATTCCACCTTTCATACCAACATCCAGGTGACTAAAATGTTGATTTTAGAGGCTGATTATAGCAATGACTGCAGAACACAGCTCTGGGTGGTGATGGAGCCTGAAAAACCTCGATGATCCTGTGAGTGTTGGCGTCTCCTCGTGCCCACTCATGCCCTGCCCACAGGAACTGGGAATGTTACAAATGGAGATGGAGCCACAGCACCACCAGCACAGAAAGAGGGGAGAAGCCCAGTGAGCTCAGCTGTTTGATTTCTCCTCCTTCCCAGAGAAATAAGTGTTCCCTACTACATGTTTTGAAGATTAATATCTGCTGTAGGAGAAACTGGATCTAGATTTCCTCTGTGGAAGCTATTTCAGAGTGAGAAGGAATCCCAGCCTGCATGGTGTGGCTAATGGGAAGCACTTCAGAGCCCTAGAACCACATCAAGAAGACCCAGGGTGTCTGTGCTGATTCTGGCAGCATCAATTAAATCCTCTTCCTCCTCAGGCCAGGTAAATCCATGCCTGTGCCCAATGGAGCAGACATGGAGACTTGTAAGAAGTATCTTTCACTGCAACAGGGTTTTCTCTGAGGCCTGAAAGCTGCTCTCAAATACTCAAGACACTGCCTGATCCCCAGCTTGCCTGGGATTTTTAATGATTTTTTTTTTTGAGTTTGGAAGATTTACCACAACATTTTGAACAAAAACACCATAAAATTCCTATTACTGTGGTTCTGAAAACTTGAAGCCTCAGAAGCTGAGAGCAGTGGCTTTATCCCTTAAAGCTGGAGTTGGCAGGATCCTGTGTTTTGTAGCACAGCAGCACCTGCTGAGCAAACCCTGTGAGGTTTTAAGTTGAGGGCTCCAGCAAAGATCCTTGAGTGAGTCTGATATCCAGGCCACAGAAGAGTGACAGAATGAGCTGATGTTTGGCAAAAAAATCTGATTGTGTGCCATGAATTTGAGCAGAGGCAGCAAAGCAGGGCAGTGGCACCAGAGGGAGAGGGGCTGTCCCAGGGGAAGAGCAGCAGTCCCACCCTTGGTGTAGAACCCCTCTTGTGGGCCCTGCCCTGCCACAGACCCCACTAAAAGCTGCCTCAGAAGGGATTAACATTGGTGTTTAATTAGGACAGGGGATATTCACACTCTGGTGCAGCTGTGGCAGGGGGCACATGAACAGCAGGATGTGTTGCTCCAAGGTTTTCAGGCAGGGTGTGTGTTTTTCTCAATAATTCAGGAATTACTGGAGTTTGAAAAGCAGCTGTTTTCATGGCTGACTCGACCACTTGCAGCTCAGGTATGGAAATGCTGTCAATACTGAGATTGTGGTTTTGTTTTTCCACATGTTCATGGATCCCTTTTCACCTCCCAGGGAAGCTGAGGCCAGCTCACCCCTTCCTGCTATCTCCATCCACACACATATGCAGTTATTGTTAATTACAGCTGCCATCCTCTATTTGTTTTGCTCCAGGTCCACCGTGGTTATTAGGAGCTGGGGGTTATATATAGATATTTATTTGTTTATTTATATATATACAGTTTTCCAACCTGATTATCTCCTATTAAGTGTAGACACAAATGAATGTAATTAATAACGGCGAGAAGACAGATTTTTACCCCCTGCAAGCCCCAAAGAACAGCACAGGGCCCATGTGCCGTTTCTAACCATGTTCCGTGTGAAATAATTACAAAAACTTCAAACTAAAAGACTTTTTCAAGACCTGCAAAATATGTCAAGGTAAGCAGAACCTCCACAAAACAACCCAATTAAAGATCATTTATTGCAAGGCCATGCTCCTCCTCAGTGCAGGTGTCAGCAGTAGGAACAGAAAGGTGCTATTCCTTAAGGACAAACACTTCCTGAATTGAAGTTACTGCCAAGCTGAACCTCCCCATCTGTGGGAAATAAATATAAATCTGTGTCCATTGCAGGAACTGAAGTCATGATTTAGCTGGAAATTCTGAGAGCTTGGTAATAACTCCCTCTAGAAAAGTGTACTTTGCCTCCCAGAGAAGATTAAGGGATTTTAGAAATGCAACCAAAAACCCCACCAGCACCACCCTATCCCACAAATATAAGGCATTTACATTCTTAACCACAGCATCATTCTGATGTATGTTTTCAGCCTAAATTTCGGCCTTTCTGGTTTTAAGAAGTCCTTTGCAGTCTCTGTGATCTTTTGGAGCAGGAAGGCAGAGTGTAGGATGTGTTCAGGTTACCCAGGGCAGTGACCAACCCTTCTGGACAGGCTCTTGATGGAAATCAGGATGGATTTTGAGCAGTGAATTAGGTCTCTACCCAGGCTGATGAAAAATGAATTCCTCCCAGGGAAAACAGAAATGTAATGAATGCTATATCATAATCCTGGTGTCCCTCCAAGCATAAATTTGCCGTGGCACACAAAGCATGGAGACAACCAACTGTGTTTTTCTGGTCACCTCCTTTCTATGTTTATTCTTAGTAGTTTGAATAATAAATCATTTCACTGTCTCAGCTTGTCTGGCCCACTCAGCTGTAAGAGAGACATGGATTGTCTCTTGCCATGCTCAGAGTGGGGCATAATGAAGCTTTGAGTGGCATCTAGAGACTGCTACCAAGGGTTTAGATACAAAACTGAACACACCTACTTTAAACATCTTCTGTAGCTTCCTTGTTCACCAGAGACACTGAATTCTGATTATTTCCAGTTCAAATTCTGACTTTCTTCAAGTAATTATTTCAAATCCTTTGTCAGTTTTCTCTGGTTATACCCTACAAACTGTGAAAATAAAATTACATTTGTCCTAAGTGATGCTAACCAAAGAAACAAGAATTATTAGTCCTCTAGATGGTGCTACTATTTCAAATAAAGCAGCTGGATGTTAGAAGATTTCCTTGAAATATATTCTATAGTGCCCCAAGAGAAAGGACCATGGTGAGAAATCCTGACTCCAGTAAAAGAAGTGATGTCACACAACCCAAAATTTCATCTCACAGGGCAGCCTGTGCATAAACACATTGTCTGCTTCTCTTTAAAAGCAGTGGATGTCCCAGTATTTTAGTAAATGCTGCAAAATTACATTTACTGATGAAAATGATCTGTACTTCAGGTGAAGCCCCAGGAGCAGCTGAAGGCCCTGGTTAAACACCTAGCTGACTCAGAGAGTTGTGTGTGCACTCTGTTAAAGGCTGTTTACTCCAAGTGCTTTAGGGATATAAGGAAAGAAGGTAAAATCATTTACCTTTTCTTGCCCAGCACAGCTGCACTATGGCCCAGCACTGAAATATGGAGCCAGCTGTCAATAAAACAAATTTTCTTGTCCTTAGCTCCTATATACGCACTCACTTTTCAAGAAGATGCCAAGTTCCTCTTATTCATTCCTCCTTCCAAGGCTCCCATCTGTATTTTCAGAATATCTGCCTATTTTCCCTCTGATATTTTTCCTTATTCTCTTTATAGATCCAGACAGATGGATTTTCAGCACCAGATTTTTTCCCTGCTGCTGTCAAAATCAAGAACAAAAACTTTCTAATTTCAAGATTATTATTGTTGTCCATTGTTATACATCTGACCTTTGAAACATATATTCTCTATAACCACTATCTCTTACTTTGTGCAAAGTTCATCTGTTATCTAAATAAATGTCAAATTTGGGATTTTGTTAAGCTTTTAACTTCAGTAAAATAACTGTGAATTTCTGGAGTTTACTCAGACAGTGTAAAAGAAACATTTATTTCATTGATTTTGACTATTCAACCTTTAAAATTTCAGAGTGTATTTGTTCTTGTGTTATGAGAAAATGATTTTTTAATTCTTTCCATGTCCCCATTTATTTATCTGCTTTCCAAGAAACCTTCCCCACAGGAACATCTATCTGGGCCCTTGGTGACTTTTACTGCTCTTTTATGAGTGCTTTTCAAGTGTCATAATAATTTGGTTGGTTGGGTTTTGAGGCAGCAAAGCCACAAAATCAGGGCCTGTGCATGCTCACAAAAATCATTTTTTAATACAAGAGACTCTAAAAACAGACAGAAGGTTGCATTAAAAAATAATCATGAAGACATGAGCTTAAACAACAAATACTTTATGTAGCACACTAGTGTAATAAATAAATCCATGCACATGGTAATTCCCTAAGTCCTCTGACCTTTTCCCAGAAGTCCCTGTTCCTGTAAATGAAGTGCTCTATTGTCCTGCTTGAGGACCAGCACAGGCAATCAAAATTAGGCTGACTTTGGAATTGACTCTTTCAATTCCTCAGAATCTTCTGGCTCAAAATAAGGTTCCAAAACAGGTTGTAATTTGACTTCTTCTGGTGGCTTGTGAGGTTCTTCTCTCCTCTTCTCTCCATCTTTTAGAAGTGGAACCAATGTTTTCCAGTTCTTTCCTGAAACTAAAAAGGAAAGGAATGGTTAATTTTTTTCCCCTCCACAGAAACAGAAGAAAATATACAAGTAATTTTAACAAGAAGCTACTGAAGGAAGAAGAGAGAAACAGGAAAGAGGACTTTGTGGTTTTCTTCCCCATCCTGTTCCACAAGTTTTCCATATTTCAGCTGGCAAGTACTGACTGCACAGTTAAATGCTTTGGTGCTGGATGCTGAGCTCCCAGACTCTGGGGCTTGGGATCTCCAAGACAGTTCCTTGGTTTTTACTCCAGAGAATCAAACTGCGAGCAATGAGCCCATTTCATCCTTTGTATTTTGTGCTGGTTGAAAACGCCATCAACTCAATCACTGCATTATCAGTAAGTGCACAACACTGACTGCCCTCCATCAGTTAATCCATGCTGCTGCTATCACCAGAGTGCAGGATTTGGGTCTCTGAAAGCCTCACCTCTGCCAGGCTTAATGGAGAAACTCAGATTTCGTCTGAGGTCCCCAGAGTACCCAGGGTCTTCGTTGATGATGCCCAGATTAGTGTTCCACGTGGACCAGTTCACTTCGTCAACCCTGGGGAGACAACAACAAACCCAAGATCTATTCTGAGGCTCACCAGACAACTCCAGGATCAGTTTTACCACAAAATGTCACCTCTCAAGCCTCAGATCTGACCCAAAACCAAGATTTAACTGACCATTGCAGACACTATTAGTGCTCTATTCTACAGAGTGCTCCAGGGGGAAAGTTCTGCTTCCCACCACCAGATACTTGAAGTTGTCTACAAAGGCTTGTTGGCTTGATACACAAACAAGCTTTTACCTGAAGCACCACCTGTAATCATCTTGGCCATCAGGTGTGATCCCCACCAGGACTTGCTTCCCAGAGCGGAACGAGTGCCTCAGACAGTTCAAGTAGCTGTTCTCAATGTCCAGGATTGTGATGGCTCTCTGCCAGGTAAAAAAAAGCAGAGCACTGAAGGGCTGCTGGTCAAAGTCAAATACATCCTGAATTGTGTCTTTGTTTTAGAAACCCTGAGTTTTTATCATTGTCAACATCTTAGAGCAGACACTGTAACTCTGCAGCATCACCCTTTGTTAATATGTCACTGAAAATGCTGAATTACTGCCTTGTGAATAAAACTATGCAGTTCCCTTTCTTACCTCAAACAGAAACTGATTCTGGTAAAGATTGGTTTTCCCCTTGTATAATCTCTCTCTTCATAGTCTAATCAGGTTTTTCTATCATACAGAGCCCAAACAATTTTGTCCAATTACAAAAATACTTCTTTTCTTGTATTCTGAACATCCATGGAACACTGGGAATGTCTGCTTGGGCAAAACATCAAATATACATGGGAAAGGAGCTAATACTCTTGTTTTTTAGGAGCTGTTCAGGTGAATCAGAAAGAAGCAGTGACCTGTTACTTAGATACATGCCAGCTCCTAAGGATTCTTTCTGATATCTCTTATGATTCCCCATGTCTTTATTTTTGGACAGCAGCCTCACAGAACCAACACACCTGGAGTTTCCAGATGCTCTTGCTCTCCTGTGCAATTTTGTTGACAGTCTCCCCCATCAGTGCAATGAGCATGTTGAGCAGGAGGATGTAGGTGAGGATGACATAGAGCACCAGCAGGATGACAAACACAGACTTGAACCTGTAATTCTCTGTGAACTCCAGGTCCCCCATGCCAATGGTGAACTTGAAGAGCTCCAGGCAGGTGTAGTAGAGGCTGTTGTAGGAGGTGCGGCCTCGTTTCACGTGGCAGCACCTGCCATAGTCAGAGATATTTGTGTCCTGCCCCTCGTTGTCATCTTCAATCAAAGTCACCACAGCTGTGGCAAGAAGAGAATCACATTCACACAATGGGAACAGAGTTTGAGATCATAACTTCATTGCAAGCAATGAAAAGGAGCAGAGAGATAACACACGTTCCCTCCACGGCACACTGACCCCAGGGAAATTGCCCTATAAAACATTCCCCAGATCTGACACCCTCTTAGCAGTTGCTGGCTCAGTTTTCTCCACATATGACTGGTTTTCTGTTTTCTATTCAGCTTTACAACCCAGAGGTGAAAATCTATATGAAATTACTGCAAATAATGGCTATTCTGAAGAGATTTGGTTTTTTAAATTAGGTTAATTTGTTAGTCTTTAGTTGGGAACAAAAAAAATCTAAGCAACTTAAAAAAAAAATCTGAAATTCTTTAAGGTAAAAAAAGTAAATTCAAGTAGAATATATTACCTGTAGAAAATCCCAAGAGGAATACGAGATAGACAAACATGAAGCGACACAAATCTCTAAGGATCATCTGTAATATAGAAACAGAGGAAAAAAATTTAAAACTTGAATGTAAACTGCAACAAAAACTGGTAGAAAATGCTGCTTTGGCTCAAACATGCATTTGCTCCGAACTGGCTGTTCATGCATTAAACTGTTGTTTATCCAGCTGAGATAATAAACATTAATACAGAAAATGTTTTTCTCTTATCCATGGAACAATTTACACACAAATGCAACACATACACATGGGAACAGTTTCCACTTTGTGAGAACAAACCACATAAAGGCAGTTACATCTTTCTTGCCCTCTTGGGCTGGCTGGCTACATCACAGAGAGGTTTATTAGCCAGCTACTGCCTCTTAGCTAATTGCTCTGTTTGGAAATATTTTATCCATACCTGGAGAAATTTCCAGCTGGTAGAAAGCTGGGCCACCTTACACCAGAACAGCCTGCACTGTTCTCAGCCTCCTTGCATCCATGCTTACCCAATTATAGTTATTTTGAAGCATGGCAGATAATTTAAAAAAAAAAATCATCATCCTTTCAAGACTGCTATAAAACATATGGACGAAGAGCAAGGGGTTTTTTTTACATCACTTACATTTTATTACTTCACTCAGAAAATAATAACAAAGGCTAGCAGAGTCATATGAGAGGCAGACATGGCCTGGAAATGGGGCTGTTGGCAGAAGCTCTGAGCCTCTGCTGCCCCCTCAGGCACTCCCTGCACTGACCTTGGCGATCATGACGGAGTAAATTCCCATCTGCTGGAAGCCCCGGGTGTAGTAGAGCATGTTGGTCCAGCCCAGGGCCAAGGAGAACACCATGGAAGCCACGTAGAGCTCCTGGCCACAGAAGTACAGCACCACAGAGCTCAGCAGGAGCAGGGAGTGGACAAAGCTGGAAGACAAGAGTGGTGTGAATGCAGAGAGCTGAGCTGGCCACAGGTGCTGGGAACAGAGCAGAACAAGAGATTGTCCAGCTAGGAACAAAAAGGGCCTTGGAGTGGCAAAGCTCCCTCAGCAATGAGAGGATTTCTGCATAAACAATGTGTAAATCCCACTTGGAAATCTTCCTAACTCCTGCACGACACACTGAACATTCAGACACTTAATTTCCTTTACCTCCACAGGAAGTCACTGATCCAGACCCATTTGTTCAACAATATCCACTGGCAACTCTGCTGTAAAGAACCAAGGAATTATAGCAAAGTTCTTATCACAGGTGGCTTCAGCCTCAACTACAGATTCCCCACACTGAGATGCAATCAAAGATATTGGAGCTTACAAAAGAACCTCACTGTAGCCATCCACTATTAGTGTCCTGAGTGATGGGCGCCTCTGCACGAAATACTGGATCTGAAAAGGGAACAAAGACCAGGCTTGTATCAAGGAAATATTAATATCTCCTGTGAATTAATTAGCTAACCACTCACCCCTGTATCAGGGAGATGGTACTCATAAAACACCTCACAAGAACAGCTCAAAACCAACACTGGTGCAAGAGCTAGGGAGCACCCTTCCAGCAACATCAGGTCAAGGAAAATCACTTGCTCCTCTTGACTACAACATGGATTCTCTAAGCAGCCAATGCTCATTAATAGGAAAAGCATGTTTGATTCTCTCCTACACCCACCCAAACAGCAAAAGGAAAATTTTCAAATATCTTACCCCTCTGAAAAAAAAATAAAGACCTCCCAGTACACTCAGGATCTCTCCAGTTACTCGAAAATATTCCCCAGTGCTGTAACCAAAGGTGAAGGGAGGCTGTAGAAGACAGAAAAATAACTACGTTCAGCAGAACTGGAAGCCAACTCCATTTCTGGGAGAACAGGAAATAGTTAAGTTTCTCAGTGAGCTGCAGCAAGAGGGCAAGACTGGAAAGTAAGCAGGGTCAAAACTCTCTCCTGCCTTTAGGAAAGGGGAAAATTTGGATGCTAAGGGCACACATTCAAACTGGGATATCATGCAGTGGGTGGTCCTCCTGACACAAGACGGGGGTAATGTACCTTTTCATTCTTCTGTACAGGTCTGTAGTAAGCAGCTGCAGTGAGGATGGTGATGTGCATGGTGTAGACAAAGAAGTTGAAGTAAAACAAGTGCTTGACAAAGCGGTCCCACTTGTCTTGCAGCAGCCTGTTAAGGGGTTCCACCAGCAGCATCTCGTGGCGGTTCTGTGCAGGAGCAAAAGGAGAATTTTGCTAGAACCAGAATATACGGGACTTTGAAAAACCCATATTCTATAAATGTTCAGCAAATGACCCCTCTAGCTCCCTTAAGTTCAGGGTGGGAGGTCACTGTTTCATGGAAATGAAAAAAAAGATGCTCTGTGTGGAACATGAAGCTCTCCCCAGCCAAGGAGGTGCAGTACTCACTGGTGTCTCACTGCTGTAGGCAAGGATCTCAAGCACTGAGTTTTTCTCACAGGTGTCTATACAGGACAGGTCATAAAGAGAGGAGTGGACAGGTCCATAGGCCCATTCAGTGAACTTCCTGGACAAGTGTCTGCACTCAGGGTCTTTGATCTCCCGTCTGAGGATGTAAGCGAAAATCTAATTGCAAAAGAACAATACAACCAACATTTCAGTGCTAATGGACTCCTCATTCCTCAGCCTCTCCACAACACAGGAAGGGTAATTTCTCCCTAGTTCAACTGAAGCCAAACCACTGGAGCACTGCAGAGATCACAGTCTGAAATAAACAGTTTATTTTCTCACTGTGTGATGGGAGACGGGAAATAAGAACACCTCTTACAACTTGGAATTATCTGTTTCAAAACTGCAAGAGAAAAGCAGAGATGTTACACATCTCTGAGCAGTCACTTTGAATGGGAACTGCCAGAAGGTGAGTTACATCAACCAATCTGAAATAAAAGAGCTCCAGTGGTTCAGATGATATCAGAGACCCACTTTCTGTTTCCTCTGGGGCTGCCTTGCATACCAGTGAATAAACCAGCTGAGAACAGACACACTCACACTTTGTAGCCTTTAAGGACTGTGCAGTTAAACTACAGCATCAGTTCCTCTTAACTAAAAAGCTTCAATAATGAAGTCCTAAAATCCATTCTGCGTCAATGTTTTACATGTTCTCTCTATAATATGATACAGCAATGGGGCAGTCAAACACCTTTGTTCACCTACCCCTATCTTCCCTGTTTTGGCTGCCAGAGTTAAAGGAGTCAGCCCTTTCTTGTTGGTGAGTTCTTCCAGCTTGAGGATGGGATTAATTTTGGCACCAAGGATCAAGATGTTATTATACATCTTGGTTACAAACTTGGTGTTATCCTTGGTGTTATCTGCAATCTCCACCAGTGTGTGCAGGACCATGTTGCCCATGGAATCTTCAGCAGTGATGTTGGCTGCCTGGTAGGGATTCTCCAGGAGGAATTTCACAATGCAGAGCTGGTTGGTGCAGGCAGCCAGGGACAAAGGCAGCTCTCCTGTGGCAAGCAATGGGAAGGAGTGGTCAGAAAGCCCAGTACTAGAGGTGCATAAACAGAAACATCACATTGTTTTCATCTTTCACCATGAGAAAATATTAATTTCTCAGTCTGGAACAGCACCAGTTCTTGTGATAGCTGTTAAAACAGGCTTTCTTTAGTTTAACTACATCACAGAAACACAGATGCTTAAAAAAAAAACCTGCCAGGACAGGAGCAGGTTACAAAGGATACAGTGCTCAGAGAACAAAGGAAAGCTGACACCAGGCTCCCACTGAACACCATCAGCTACCAACTGTTTCTTTATAAGCTCAGTCTTTGGGAGGAACTATTTGGCCTAAAGGTGGAACAGCCCATCTGGTACTTCTAAGCCTCCAGTCCCACATAAACAGGATTATTTAACAGCTTGTATCTGGGATGCTGCTAGGACAACTCAATCAATAAAGACCACACTGTGCTCACTCCTACCAAAATAAAAGCCAGATTTCCCTTTGATTTTCCTGAAGAACTCCCCACAGGCTCTGGCATGAACATCTGCTCCATTCTGGACCAGGAGCTTCACCAGGTACATGTTCCTCCTCTCGATGGCAATGTGAAGAGCAGTCTGGCCTACAGAGACACTCATCAGAGAGAAATCCTCAGCATTTACTACAGACTGAGAGCTTCCAGCACTGCAATTCCCTCAGCTCCATGTAAGATGCTGGAACTGAGAGCTCTGCAGGCTAAAAAGCTCTACAACTGAACAGGAAAAGAACCCACACAAACAGCAAATGCAAGTCATTAAATCACTGTATATCAAAAATGGCAGAATATTGTACCTAACGGGGCACAGCCCCAGCACAAATCCACAGACTGGCAATCACACACCAGAACTTTGGGGTGCATAAGGCCTCATGCACAGGACTTTGAGAACCCTGCCTGACCCCATTTCAGTCTGAGCACCCTAAGCATTCACTGCAGCAGCTGTTTCCTCTTACCCTTGTAGTAGTTGTCAGTATATTCTGCATTGACAAACTCTTTCAGAGTTCCAGTTTTCCTTGCAATATCCAGCAGCAAGGGAATGGTATCATTTTTCCCATCATGCAGATTCAGCATGGCTTTCAGTAAACAGGTTTTGCCAGTTTCAGGCTCTGTAAAACAAAAAATTGCAGGTATATAGAAGTCATTACAAACCCACCATCTATACCCAGACAAGCAGGAATTAATGAGGTTCTTTTCAAAAGACAAGAAACCTCATTTAGTGTTTCACAGAAAATTTCAGCTCCTGTAACCTTCCAATCAATGGGTTGCCCAATCAATAGGGCTATTAAAGGACCTCCTGCAGACATGTAACATAATCATCATTTTTTATTTTCATCTCAGGAGGACTACTGGAGGAAGAAGAAGGCAACTCAAAGTATGTGACACTAAAGGATACCTTTGAACTCCTCATCTGTGAGATGCTTGAAGGTTCTATTAAGGTAGAGAAGTAGGTCACTGAGGTCCTTTGTGTTGCCTTGGGCTACAGCATCAAAGATCCTTCTGCGGTCGTAAAATCTGAAAGCTTTTTCTGAGCAGCCTGTGATGGAATCTGTAGATAGGAGCCTAGCAAGGGGAAATGTCAGTTACCTAAAGTCAGATCAACTACCAGAACACTGTTCTTCGTTTGCTCAGGTGAAGTAGTAAACACTGCAGATTAGAATAGGTACATCTGCAAAGACTAAAAGAACAAAGTGTGCAAGCAACTCTCCTGATAAAATTACAATTCTGTTGCTGAAAAGCTGAGAACAAGTGATCAAAGAGGCATTGAAGCTTGGCAGTGTAAGTGCAAGCCTGGAGCCAGGCAATCCCTTGTTCTCACTCTGAACTATGTCCATTCACTGAACAGCCTCAAGCAAGTGAACTGAGGCCTACTGCCAATTTTGGGCATAATATCCATGGAGATAGAGATTTTTAGAGATGCCAAGAGACAATAATACTTGTCACTTTCAGTTTAAACACTCCTTAATTTGGCATAGAAAACACTGAAACTGAAAAAATGGTCATACTCAAGTGGAGAAAACAAATGCTGCTCTAAGAACCATGGCCTGCAGTTGTCAAACTACTCATTACAACCAAATCCCACCAGGCTAACTTACTTGTGAAGCTTGCCTCGCTCCAAATTCACATGGAATTTGATGACAGACGGAGCTGTCAGGTGATCCATCTGGCAGAAGGAATCCATGGGAGCCATGTCCTTGTCACTGTCCCCCATCACAAAGCGGCCCCGTCTTGCAAAAATGTTGCTTTTGGGTGGCTGCACCCTGGAGCTGAGTGGGCCCTGGGGGTTGTCAGAGGTTTCCTGGACAGAGTCCTCCCCATCCGTGTGTTCATCCGTCACTTCAGACTCCTCCATGTCAAAACTGCCAAACTTCTTCATCTTCCCAAGAATGGAGGACATGATGAGCCAGCAGCCTGTGAGGAAAGACACAAACAAATCAAGTCAGCACTTACAAGGCCATGAGTCCCTTTAGCCTAGGAATACTTTCCAGAAAGAGCAGGGAGTGGATTAGTTGCTCTCATCCCAGAAATGAGGCAGATGGACACATTCTCACTGTGCCCACAGCCAGAACAGTTTAATAGGGTCTTTATTCCATTTGCTCCTGTTCCCACTGCCCTTACCCATTCCAGAATTGAAAAAGCAAACCAGAGCATCCCAGAGCTTCCTGTTCATTTCACTGCAGAGCTGAACCTCAGCTACCTCTGCTTAAAACCACTGCCTCATCCTCCAGTCATTGCTAAAGCCTGAACAACCTCAAACCCCAAAAATCTCTATTTCTCTTCTCTACTTTCTGACTGGTTTGTGCCACAAACCATTCTCATGATTCTATCAGGGATGTGAAAAAGCCCTGCTTGTGCCATAACCTGATCTCTGACATGCTGAGCACAGAGGGCTTCCTGCACCCAGGAAAATGATCCTTAAGGGCTTTGCCAGAGTTATGGCAGTGCCTGATGGAAAGTGGAGTGTGTGATCCTTGAGAGGTGAGTGTCACCTCAGCCATGAGGCACAAAAACAGAGAGAAGAGGTTACCACAGATAAGAACAACCACACAGCTGATCTTGTCTGATTCACAAGCACACAGAACCTGACACAAGCAATAAATAACACAATCAGAGAATGCTTTAGGTGGGAAGAAACCTTAAAACTCATCTCATTCCACCCCTCTGCCATAGCCAGGGACACCTTCCACTATCCCAAGTTGCTCCAAGCCCTGGCCAACCTGGCCTTAGACGCTTCCAGGGATGGGGCAGCCACAGCTTCTCTGGGCACCCTGTGCCAGGGCCTCCCCACCCTCACAGATAACACACTCTGCTGAAGATAGCACAGGTCGCCTTTTTTGGTTTGGTTTCTTATCAACCTGTTTTAATCAGACAAATATTATCTTCATGCCACTGAATGCAAAATATCCTGGAATTCCAGCAGTGGAGACAGGAACACATCACATCTAAACTGCTGCACAGCTGGCTTAGAGACACGCTCTGAAACCCTACATTGCTTGGAAATCCTACAGCTCTGAGCACAGGAATGTCACTAAATCTTTAAAAAGCCTCAAATTATAAACCACATTAGAGTGGTCACTAATTTTCTCTGTACAGTCAGTGTGAAAACAACATTGTGAACACACTTCAAGGTTGTTTCTTGTTTCTCTTCACAAGAGAAACATTCTAAGGGTTGTGTGCAAACCTGCATTAAAGCTAGATTTTCAGTTCTGTGGGAATAATTAATAGTTACATCATGGGTCACTTACATTTTTCTGTGAAAGCAGGACAGGAAAATTATCCTTTGCATTTTCTATAATTTTGTAAAATATACACGTAAAGAAAATATCAATTTGCAAACTGGCATCTTTAGGGTTCCTGGAAGCAAACCAGAATAGCACAGATAAAATACTAATGACTACAATTTAACTTGCTCACCCTTCAAGTTCTTTGTCTCCTTAGAATCACCCTGAAAGAATAACATAATATCTTATTAACTCAATTGTCCTATAAATAAGAAATAAAAATATTTATATTTGGAACAAGACATTAAAATTATAGAAGAACTCTTACTACAGTGAAAAAGGAATAAAAACAGTTCTATAAAATGTAGAAAAAATACAGTGGGAATATAGTCATGTATAATTTTAATTTTTTGTCTGTTTAAACTCATGTAGATTGAGCCAAAAGCATAAATGAGTGGCTACAGAACACACAAACAATTATCTTCCACAAAATAAATACAAATGTGCAGAATAAGCTCAATCCTGTCTCCCTGGCAATTGCTCAAACCTACTTCATACATGCTTTCCTTTTTAAACCCTGGTAATATATTTGATAATGAAGACAAAGCTGCATTTCCTCATGACAATGAATTTGCAAGGGAAAGAGCCTTCACAAATCTGTGGAAGGATTATAAAAAAAAACCCAATAAGCCTTATCTAGTTTTAAAAATGCACAACATACTTGACCTCTTTGAAACCCACAGAAGTTTGATACAACAAACAAGGAAATATTTTTGATAGAATGCCTTGCCACATCACAAATAACAGTTTTAAAATAACCAGCCATGCTTTTCAAATATACATGCAGCACTTACAAATATTGACAAAAGTCCTGTCTTCTGAAAAATAGTCCAGTCTCAGTAAACACCCACTGATCTACACAAATTTGGTGCCAGATATTCCTCCTCCAAGGTGCCTGGACTGCAAAGCCCTCAGAGTCTGCTTCTCCACTTCATTTGTCGCAAAATGTGATGATTTTTAGAACCAAGGGAAGTTCACTGGAAAAACAGAGAATACAGCAATAAAATAATTAAGAACAATTCTGGAAACAGAAGCATCAGTGGCTTCTATTCCCAGAGGTTTAGCAAAGCTCTTTACAAGAATTGCAGTAAGTTGCTGTTGTTTTTCCCTCCCCTTTAATTGCATTTAGTAATGGATATTCTTCTCCAGATTTCCTCTTCATAAATACACTCAAGTTTGCAAAAAAAAAAAACAAAACCAAAAAACAACAGTATCCAAACCACCAGATAGCAATTGTTTCTGGGGGTCACTGTTTCAATTCTTGAATTTCAATTCAATTTACAAAACTTTGTAAAATATGCCACAATCACCTTTCTGGACACCTTTCTTGGGTGGTTGATTTAAAGATAAATATTTCAACAATAAGCTGATTCAGAACAGAGTTGACGAAGAACCAGCAAATCCTAAAGCTTTTTTATTGTTTCACGTCTCTCCTATGTTTTACTTAAATTACACATATATGTAACAGTGAGACTCTAAGTATTAGTGTTCTGAGGAAAAAAAACCCAACTTATCTAATCCTGGATGGATCTAACACCCTCAGAAATTCAGAGCTGTGTCATATATTGCTAAATATATAATTTACATAAGATCTTTTTGACAGAAATTAGTATACAGAAACAGCTTTTCCAGAGGCTGTTAGGCTGTGAGCAACCCCCCAACTTCCTGAGATTATCAGTCTTTGGTTTTGTAAAAGGTGACTGTCTCTCTAGTCTTGCCATCTATCCATGAACACATAAAAGAATTATGTATTTACCTATTTAATAGCAAACTAATTATACTCCTTAGATCTCTGGTACTCAAAGTAACAAGGCTCTTTATTAATGCATAAATATAGATTACCAATAGGTAGATCCTCAGCAGCACCTGAAATTCTGCAAAGGCTTTTGATGCAACAGCATCATCAGCTCTTGCCTGTTATTCAATAAAAATGAAAGCAGATTTGCTGATAAAAATATATTTATAATAATGCAAGAGGGAAAACAACACATAACAAATTCAGTCTTTTTCCAGCACCTTTCGTCTACATTTTCTCTGTAACATGCCAACAGTTCCCTAAACATGACAAGAATGGAAATGAAGCCATTTCTGTAATTAAGATCTCAGAACTCAGCACAGCTTTCTCACCATAAAAATGTCAATCCTGATGTTGCTAATGAGCAAGAGAGGATTCCATGTCCATATCCCAGTGGAAAGATGTACTTCCTAGGAATGAAACTGCATGCAGATAACATGAACCATCTTACTTGCTTCCCAATGTCATTTGAGCAAAATAAACATACATGTAGACAGAAAAGTATAAATGTTTTACCATTACAATATTTATATGTTTTAATAAAAAATAAAATAAAGACTAGCAGAATAAAGAATTTTTAAGAGCATAGATTAGGGGATAAAACTTGGAAAATTAAGGGAGTGCACAAAAGCATCAGACCAAGTTACAGACAGCAGCTCATTTCTCCCAACCCTTTCCAACATATTTCCTACCAGGAAAATGAGCCTTGCAAGAAGTGTCTTTTTATGCAGAAAGTTAATGGATCTTTCCCAGTCACTCAGATAAATTTAATGTGATAATTACTTCTCATTTCACAAATGGGAATGACAGAGCAACAAAATGTGCAGACCCAGGAGAAGCAGACATTAAATGCAGGGGTTTTGTCCCACCGTTAACGAGCGAGAGTGCTTGTGGAATAAAGTGAAAAAAAACAGAAGCTGCATCTCAGGCCATTCCAAATAATGACTTTATTTACTATGGAACATCACCATAGCTGCCCCCACAGCAGCATCCACATCCTTCCCGTAAACCACAGGGAATGGAAAAATCCTCTCCACTTCCTGCCTCAGCACCTCGTTCCTGGCAAGGGCACTGCCACTGCCCAGGACCCTCCTGACCCCCAGCTCCTCCAGGTGCTGCACAGGTAACATGGAGCACAGGTTCTCCACGAGGCCACGGCACAGGGCTCTGGTGACATGGCCCAGGGACAGCTCAGAGGCACCAATGCTGCTCACTGATGCCAGCAGCTCAGGAAGGTGTCTCTCTCCAAATATGGTTGGGTGGACTGAGAGCTTGCTGTGCTTTTGGGCCAAGGCTGCTTGGATTATCCTTGGGTAGATGGCAGATTCCTGCACCTGAAATCCTGCAGATGGGAAATATCTTGTTACCAATGTGAAAGGGTCTGGTGTATCTCACATGTGGACACTCACAACAGATAACTGATACACCTGTTCAGCAAATTATTGGGTATCTTTTTCTGTGCCCCAAAGGTAATTGTGTGTCCAAGATTATGAACCATAATTCTCCCATCCAACTGGATCCAGAATGTGCAATAGCAGAAATGTTTTCTGATTACAGCAACTGCCTTTCCTGACAGTAACAGCTACCCCTCATTGCCTGTTCTGTTCCACAAAACAATGTCTTTAAAGGGACTAACAGCAGGGCTCAACTTCAGTGGCTGGATTCCATGTGAATGCAACATTCTCCTCGAGCACTTAATGAAAGAACAATTTCAGAGCTGATTTCTGTAGTGCAAAACCCAAGAGATTATTAAAAAACCTGTCAACACTATCTTAAAGCACTTAAAAGATATTCCATGAGTTTGAGCCTTAAAATCCATTAGTGCTTCAACATATGCACCAAAAGGACTCCTTTGGACTGCAGTCACACAGAATTATAGGCTGCTGCCCTCAAATCTGCCAACCTTGCCTTTTGAAAACCAACTTGCACCAAATAATTCTGTGCTTGAAACTAAAGAAGGCCTAGAGGGAATATGAATGTGGAGTCCAAGCATGAATGTCCCAGCATGTTCAAAAGCTTCAGCAGGAAATTCCAGAGATCTGGGAAGCATGACCCAGGAATTACAACTTTGTTCCCATTATGGCATGATGGAACAGCTCTAGGCTTGTCCCTTTGATTCAGCTTCCTTTTACCTTGATGATCAACCTCAGTTTTGTGCTTCAACTCTCCTTGAAATGACTTACCCAGCTCTTGTGCCCACTGTGCCACCATTCCCACAAAAGTTGCAAGCACATTCCCTCCATTGAGTGATGCTGCCACTGCCAAGTAGTCACCATTGAAGTAGGGAAAATAAGTGACAGCTGAGGAAGGATCTGGTGCTTCTGGAGGCTGGAAACCCAGGGGCATTGAGATGGTCAGCTGAGCAGAGGTGCTGATATTAAGAACTAAAACATGCACCAAAAAAAAAAAAAAAAATCAGTGTTTTACTAAGCTACCCTGAAGGAGAACAATGAGAAAAACAAATTAGATACCAAAATGACCATACCTGCATCAGTCCTCTCAGTCAGACAGGAATAAACAGAGCACTGGAAATCTCCCAGAGCAATTCCCACTTTTGCTCCTTTGGGTATTCCATGCCATGCACAGGTTGTCCTGCCTGCAATACTGCCCGAGTCTCCCACCTCTGGAAGCAAGTGGACAGGAAAGCTGGACTTTTTCAATCTGGAAGCAGAACAACATTATTGGAATAAAGCAGTTTGAGAATGTGTGGCATTACTACAAAAAAAGTCTTTGAAGTCACAGATGAACCTGGCCACACATTTGTGGCTGCTGGATTTATGGATGCTTTCACCAGTTTGGAAAGCTTCGTCTTGCACAGGGGCAGCATTCCAATCCAGTGGGCTGGGTAAACCAGTCTGGAAGAATGAAGAGGTTTTCCTTCTAGGCAATCTGAGCACTGAGATTATACATTGCATGTTCAGCAAGTTTAACCTACTGATGCCATATGGACAACCAGGTCCAGGGTGAAGGGACAATCACAAAACCAGCAAAAAATGCAGCTAAGTGTCACAGAACTTCAGTTGTCATGCAATTAGTAGTTCACAACAAAACCATGAAGAGTTAAGTTTAACAAACTCCTTACACAATCAGCTGCAGATGCTACAGCAACACCACCACATTAGTAACAGTTCAGTTCAGTCAGCAAAATGCAAATTTCTGTCACTCTTTCATACCTTGATGAGAAGGTCTTTCAACTTGGAGTCCTGGCCTAACCTAAGCCCTGAAATATATAAGGCCTTAGCAATCAGCCCTGAAAGAGCAAATCATTAAAATAAATAAGTAAATAAATAAACTGATTCTTTCTAAGATTTCCTGTAGCTTAATAGCTCTTAAGTGTTATCACAAGTAAGTCTTTAGAAGTTATGAAGCTCAGCTCAGAGAACTAGAGAGTGGTAACTTTACCATGGCACAGGTAATGCTGTGGCTGCACTTGTCCATCCCACCCCACCACAGAAAGGGAGAGAACAGCTTGGAATCCCTGATAATTCTCTCAGCTCTGCTGTTTGTAGGTATTTTTAAAAATACTGGGCTAGATTTTATCAGATTAAACAGAGCAAACTCTCAATAACTCTTCAGTACAGGCCACAATTGATCAGGAGTAACTTTCAATCCCTTTTTATCTGTAGCACATCAACAGTCAGGGCCCAAAGAGGTGCTCACACTGCCTGACACAGGCAGTGCACAAACCCCACTGAATGGCCTTAGCACTTACATGTCAGTATTCCAGCTCTTGTTTCTGCAGTTAAAATATCCCCAGCTGGCAGCATTCTGGACAGACATGAGTGGCTTCTTCAGGTCACACAACATGGCAACCACGTAGTCCTGGATGGTGCCAGCTGCATCATAAGCCTTCAGAAAATCTGGACTTTTAACCAACATGTTTTAAAAATAACAAAAAAAAAAAAAAAAAAAAAAAAAAGATTTTTAATGTTTATAGAGGAGAATTTATCCACAACTTTTTTGACAGCCACAAGTCCTAAGTAAAATAAAAATTAATGATAAAAAAAAAAATATAAAAAAAAAAAAAAAAAAAAAAAAAGAGGTATTTTTGCTTTAAGGCAGTGAAAGAAGACAACTTTCATTATTAGGGGGAACTTCAGACATGTGGGTCCATTTAAATATCAAACAGCCACCTCAGTGATCAACCTGAATTTTATTGGTTTGGTTTTTTAAAATGGAATTTGTTATCCAAGCTGCAGCAATACTTATCTGCAGATGGAAGATGGAGAGAGGGCAGCTTTAAGGAATGGGTTGTCTAGGTTCAAAAGCACAGCATTGAAAAAATTACCAGGAAAGTAGTAACTGTTTATGTGAAATAAAACAGCATTTTGTTGATCCTGGAGCATTGCTGAAAAATAGGTAAATTCCCACTTGCTCTGGGATCCCCAAATTACATAAATGAAAATGTAACAAATGCGAAGTAAAACAAAGCAGCTGGACTCATGATTTATGCAGCTCTAAAGATCACACCATGCTCCATATATCTGCTGGACACACAGTGGAAAAAAACAGGATCTAATAGAATTTTCCCCATTTATTGAACCTGAACTCATTGCAGAGAAAGAGCCTGGCTCTTTGAGAAGGATGAAACTGAAGAGCAAATCTCTGATGCCAAATCATACGTGAAAAATTGTATCTTCTGCAAACGCAGCACAACAAAGCAGAGCATGTGTCACCCCATGAGGATCTGCCTCAGTGTCTGAGGAAGGAAGGAACTGAAATTAATTTAGAGACTCTGTTTTGGCATCTGGCAGCAACCAGACCAAGCAACTCTGCTACTGTTTTAGGCATGTCTGTACTTTCCACAAAGTAGCACAAGGCAAAATGACAGTGCTCAAACTGCACTAGCAGAGCTCCTCTGAGCCATAGTTCAGACTAGAATTATTCTATGATTTTTAAAGCTTCTCTTCCTATATGGTCAAAAGCTTATCCTTTTATTAGTGATCTGTAGTATTTTTACGAGGTCAGAGACTCTTGCATGCTTAATTGCATATAATTTATATTAAATACTGCCATTTTCAATATTCTTTGACTACTTAATTAAGATTATGATTACAGAGAAGCACAGCCCTCAGCCTGCAGCAGCATGAACGTGCTACAAGAATACAAATTGTCACATAAATTCAAGATGAGATACAGCCTTTGGAGCAGCAATGTACCTGTTCTTTGAATACCAGAAGACTGTGGCACATCCAAATCCTGTAGCCAGGCTCACATGTGACTGAGGCAGAGGAAGGGAAGTGAGGAAGGTGGGGCTGCAGCGCCCATCCTGCCAGGTGACCAGGTGGCTGACCTTGTCTGGCTCAAAGGCAGGGCCTGTGCCACTCTCTGACCACTTGCAGCCTGAAATCAAAACACAATCCAAGACATCCAGTGACTACCTGCAGCACAGCCTGTCTGGCATTCCTCATCTCTGGACACACCTGATGATTTGTTAAATCTATCAGAAACAGAGCCAGTAGAGACTGTAATCAAATTAGTCTTTGTTTCTAGCCCTAGATAATATCATAATGCAAATTATCCTTTGGAACACAGAGAATGGTATCCAAAACCTTCCTTCTCTTGAAGAGAGATATTAAAGATACAACTTAAATAACAGATAAGCCTCAAAAAAACCATGGAAAAAAAAAAACAAAACAACCACAGTCTGCTATGGTGAGGAGCTGGCATGGCAGATCTCACATAAAAACCTCAGCCGGGATGTGCCACATCACCACCTGGAGAATGCTGCCTCAGTAATGAACTGCTCAGGATGGACACCACAAAGCTGCATCACCTCTGGAGCCCAAGCAACAAGAAACCTGCATCTGTGAGTATTAAGCAGTGCACTGCAAAATGCTTAAGAGTAAAATCCTCATGTAATACACAACAAAGCTTCACCAAAGGTAGGACAGGGTTTAATTCAGAGTTTAATTCAGTTTCCCAGCCCAGCACGCTCCTTTTGAGCAGAGAACACCACACCTTTGAGGAAACCTTCACATTCTTTCATTGAAGAGGAGAGGCTGGGCTCAAGCACTGTTTGCCTGCACATTCCAGGACACAGCTCTGACCTCTCCCAGGCCATCTCTGGACACAGGGCAGGGACAGGACAGGTCACTCACTCTGCAACTGAGGCAAACTCTTGGGTTTTGGCCAGGGAGCAGAAAGCCAAGAGAAGATAATCAGCTTCCTGACTCACACAAGTATGGCAAAAAATTGTAATTCTTGGGTTGGATACAGGGCTTGGAAGTCACACTCACACAGTAAAAAGCAGCCCTGAAGGCTGGGAGGTGTCATGAGAAACATGCAAAATAAAGCACATACTTTTGCTTGTTTCCTCAATTCCCTGTTCTATCAAATCTGTTTGAACTGAATTTCTAATTGGCTTGCTTTTCTTGTTTTAAATGGATTCTAAGAAATATTATTAGTCATAAATCAAACCCTAAAGGACACTGTTAAAATTTTTATTTGTATCCCAAAGGTCCTGGATTCACTTAGTCCACTCAAAACAAATGAGAGCAAACACCCTCTTTCACTTGATAGAAATGAAACTAAAGTAGCATGTGGCTTTAGAACATAAAATATTTACCACTATGACATAAGAATCTGTGCCCACAAATACACAAGGCTTTGTTATGCAGCTCCTGGGACAGCTGGAAAGCAACAACAGCTCCTCCAGCCCATCAGCCTTTGGATTTCTTTCTTTCTAATCATTTTTAGTATTTAATGTAAAATTATAGCCAGTAATGAATAGTACAGTGCCTCTTCAAGCAATTAAGACCTTGACAACTTCTGACCAGCAGTGACCAGCACTTTTGGGAAATCTGCTCTGTGGTTTACAATACATCTTTACTTCATCTGCATAACTCCTGCTATAATAAGGCTTGTACAATTGTCCAGATGATCACATGACAGGGTTAAGTGAAAGAAAACATGGACCCACATTCTGGAAGCCTTAGACTTCAGGAGGTCTATAAAGCATTAGCCAAGAAGATAATCCATCCCTATCTCACAGGGCTGGCAATCCAAGGCCTGGATTCTTCAAATATCCTCACTATCACAAGGATTATCTGGGTGTTTGCACAACCAAGCCCCACATGACTACCTCACTGCAGCTGACTTGTTTCTGAGATCTTGGCAAGTAGTTGAGCATCCACAATCCTGACCACATCCTTTCTCAGCTCCTAATAACAGAAGCATAAGCAACAAAATGAATGCAGCATGACATCTATGCATGACTTGCTGGGAAAAAAAAAAAAAAAGTCTTGGGATTTTGGGGAAAAAAAACAGAGTTATTGAGATGCTGGACAGCATCTAGGTAAGGGTTTTATGAGGTGAATAAAATCCCCTTGCAAGTTGTTCACGTGATGAGGAAGTTCTTTCAAAGGACAGCAGATAGCATGTGATGGAGAAACAATTAACAAGGCACAAATATGCTATTCCTCCTTTATATTAATAATTCTGCTGAATCTGCAGGGATGCCATTAGGCTAAATCCTTTATCATTAACTATAGTGAGTAGCTGAAATTTCAGTTAAAAAAAAAAAAAAAAAGGAAAATTCCCATAAGAGATCTTCTGTTAATTCTGTTTTAGAGAAGACCAAAGTGAAGCAGCAGTTTAATCACAGAATCACTTCCCTGTTACAATTTAAATTTCTGCATCATAATACTCTGAGCAGGAATGTTAAAGAATGAATGTTACCTTTATCACTTTTCCAAAACACAACCCCATGCATTTGTCCAGAAATACCAATGTGGGTGACTTGCTGAAGCTGCTGCTGAGGCAGTGCAGCAAGGCATTCATTCAATGCTCTTACGATTTTCTGGACATCCTGCTCCATTCCCTGCAATCACAAAGCACTATCCTGAGCATGAAGCCATTAGGATGCACTCAGTGTGTTTATTAAACAAGGCTGCTTTAGTCAGAAGTGAAGCACAGAATTCATTTATTTTAATAGCATTTATTAGAGTAATATTCACTACTAAAGTCTAACAAGAAAAGAAAAATTGCAAAAAAAACCCGCAAACCCACAAAAACTAAAAATCAATACCATCAAGTTGAACCTCTTAAACTGAAGGCCAAATAATTTTAAATTTCCTTAATAACCACACTCAATAATTAAAAAAAAAATCCATGACTTCTCACTACAAGCTTTCATTAATTCACCTTATCTACTGCTCTTCATTTTCCTCACAAAGAGAATTATCCATGTGTTCTGACACGTGTGCAGTCTCCCCTGCCTCTCCTAAAGCTCCTCCCTGTTTACTCAGTGATGATTTTGATGATGCTGATACTTCATTTCTCGATGTTCTATTCCGAGAACCGCCCAGCAAATTGACCTAACTGTTCCCCAGGAGAAGCTTTCACACTTTCAAAGGTTCAGGTTACTTTGTGCCAGACCAGTATGAAGATTACAGAACTATTGCAACAGAGTCTACAAATAAATGTGAACTTTGCGCATAGGTACTTCAGGCTGCATAAATTGGCAGGAAGAGGGTTGGCCTGTTTGGTATCCTTGGTATCAGAAACGGTGCACATTTTTTATGATTTTGATTAATCTTTTTTTAGATTGACCAACACAATGGATGTAAAGATCTTTAACAGGAGTACTTGTTCCTGGTTATTTCCACGGGGAGTTTCCAGTTATGATTCCACCTCACCATGAAGTGCAAAAAAAAATACCCTTCCAGTTGGCAAGTGGTAGCTGTTTCCTGACTGGGAGTGTCAAAAATAAGGTGGTGGCTCATGGGAGAATAGTTTCAGAGCATCTTAGGCCATTTTTCAAAACCTAGGTCCTTCTTAAGTCGAGCAGCTCTGCTTGACTTCATTGAATGTTGAGCCGGGCGTGTTTTAATTCCGCTTTTTGATATCCTGACACATGCTGCCAATCTAGGCACCAAAAACAATCCAGGAAAGCCACCGCACCCTGCCCAACGTACCAAACAACCAAACCACTGCAAGGCAATGCCAGTGTCCTGCAATTTCCCTCGGCACTCCCTGGCAGCCCTTACCTGCGGTGCAGCTCCCGGGCTATCGCTGTGTGCCTGCGTCTCCCTGGAGCAGCTGTGCGCCAGCGCCAGCCCTCGCTCTGTCCCTGTCACCAGCGCTGCCTTCACCGACGTCGTGCCCAGGTCAATGCCCAGCACACAGGTGGGCCCCGCCGAGGCCATCAGGGGATGGCTGTCACCCTGAGGGCACAGACAGGCGGAACAACACCCACCAAGCCGAGCCCCACACGGCTCCCGGTGCCGCGCTGCGAGCTCGCAGGGACGGGGCAGCAGCGCGACCTGCACTTCGCCCTCAGGCTGAAGGTGCTTCCCTGCCCTCAGCGCTGCCCGGCCACTCTCCCTCCACTGTGACAGCGACAATCCGCCCCTTCCCCGGCTGACCTGCGCTGCTTTAAGCCACGCTTTCTATCAAAACCAAACCAGCGCGGCGCCGAGTCCGCCCTGTCCCGTCACAGCTCTGCCCCCCTCACGGACCCGCTCCGCCACACCCAAGATGGCCCTGGGGGCGGACGCAGCGACGCGGTGGGCGCTGGGCGGGGAGTCCACAGGCCATCGCCTCACGTGAGAGCTGAAAAGGGAAGAACCGGGACGGCGCGGGCACTGAACGGGGTGGGTTGCCACCCGCTCCCCGGTACCGCCGCCTCGGCAGCGGCACGTTCCAAAGCACCGCGTACCCCGCTCCGCCGGAGCGCCGGAGGAAAGGGCGGCAGGACTACAAGTCCCAGCGTGCACCGCGGTGCGCCGCCAGCGCCGAGGGTCTGGGGGGGGCGCGGGGGCTGCCGAGATTTGTAGTCCCGCGCGTTGGGGTGGGGCGGGTTCGTCGCGGGAGCGGCGCTGAGGTAAAGATGTGCCCGGGCGGGGAGATCGGCGCCCTCCGAGGGGAGCTGAGGGTCCCTCGGCCGGGCTGGGGATCGCGGTGCTGTTTGCCGCGGCTTCCAGCGGAGGGGATGGGCTGTGTGGCCGTGTGGGTGCTGAGGAAAGCTTCTCTCTGCTTTTTCCGTAGTTTTTCCACCATGAGGACGCGATACCTGCTCCCCGCCCTGCTGAGCGTCTCGCTGGCGCTGCTGGGGCCTGGCGGTGAGTGTTTGGTCAGCCCAGCTTGGGCCCACAGGGCTCCAGACCAGAAAGAGATGGAAAAGGGCAGCTCTTTAGTTATCCCATGACATCTCTCCAGGGATACCTGTGCCACGCTTCCCATCAGCTCTTCTCTCACGCCTTAGCTCGGCTTCGTGTGCTTCTACACTGTACTACACTGGCTGTGCACCTCGTGCTCCAAAATCACTTCTGCAGATTGAATATTGCCTGGGGTGCAGTCAGTGATGAACTGGGGAGCTCTTCTGCACTTAGCTTCTCACAGACACTGTGTAATATGTGGCAACAGACAAAAAAGATGTCCAGGCCAACCTGTGCAACCTGTATCTCTCTGTTTCTGTAAATTTACATTCTCTTGAATGTACTTGGATTGAATTTGTAGCCCAAGAAACAATTTTTATATTAAATTTGGGGCATTTATGACTCCTAGATCACCAGGATCACATCAAGATCTAGGATGAGTTTTCAGTACCCTATAACCTTACCTTGGCATGAGCTTTTGTTACACTTCAAGCATTTAAATTACTTGCAACATGTTCAAGCGACAGTTATTTACTTCTCTTTTTAAGTTGTTTGGTTGGCTTGAAATAAGCTGTACTCCCCCTTTGCTTTTTATCATGTGTACTTATCTGATTGATCTGATACTGCAGGGACCAAGGGGTAAAATATCTATGGCACAAAAAAAAAAAGAGTAGGTTGTTCTTCTGAAGGAGCTGTTCATATTAATTGAGATTTGTGGGGGTGTTTTTTTCCCCCCCACAGATGGAACCATTGTGTTGTCAGTCCCTGAAGTGGTTTCTCTAGAAAGTGGAAGTTCAACAAATGTCACTATCTCTCTGAGGTAACATCATGATTGAAGCTTTACTTTCCCTTTGCAACATGGGCTGTCCTCCATAAGTGAATTTGCAGTTCCTCCCTTTCTAAAAATTGATGCTTAAGAAAAACTTGCATTTCCTAGAAGGATTACATCCTGGATAAATGCTCAGTGGAGTTCTTCAGGAAAGCTGTGCAGAACTGTGTCACTTTGAAAGGTTTTATTTGTTTTGTCTTTCTGCTGTAATTTCTGTCTTTCATCACCCCAAGTACATGGGTAATGAGCACCAGGATAGGATAGAACAGGATCTTTTGGTGACTTTGCCACTTGTGTGGAGAAAAGTACAGTGTGGCCATACAACCATCACTGGATCAGATAAAAGAACCAGTACAATACTCACACAGTTTGCTGCTGGTTCCTCTGAGTATGAGGCAGGTTCTGTTGTGTGTGGGCTGCTCATTGCTGAGAGGATTGAGCAGATGCTCCCTTGCAGACCCAAAGCAACCTCTGAGCTCAGGCACCAGCCTAACTTGTTTTTCTGCCTTCTCAGGGCTCCACTAAATGAGACACTGGTGATAACTCTTAATATTACACACTCCTCAAAGCACAGCACCATTGTTGAACTTCCTGATGAGGTGAGAGCACAGACTTGAAACCTTATGCAAAAAGCTCCTGCTATTTTGGTGCAACTCCTTTTTCTTCTCTCTGCTCTGCCTTGCAGGTACAGTTCCCTGCAGGTCACACTAAAGCAGCCTTCCAAGTGAAAGCAGATGATGTGGGACAAGTAACAGTTCACCTTTATCCAAATAATTCCAACTTAACCAGGTGAGAAACTGGTTTTTTTGTTCTACTATCCTGTAGCTTCCTAAAAGTTGGGGTAACTATTCCTAGGAGTTAAATGGGTGGGATGCAGTTAAGAAGATGTGGTAAACCCTGCAGCAAATCCCCAAGTACTCAGATAAATAGAGGGTACAGAAGCTGAGTGGTGTCGTAGATTTAATTACAAGATGACTGATTTCTCATGGCTCCTTAGTCTGGTTTTAATAGTGCCTCCCAAAAGTATGAAGATTACATGACAGCTTTACTCCTCTGGGAAGCATTTGGCTGTCAGTATCCAGTGGGATGCTGTTCTTACTGCGCAGGATTTGTTCTGGACTTCCTGGGGTGTGTCAGTTAGGGGAGCCCTCTCCTCACAGATGCCAGTTCTCCCTCCTGGGAAAATCCTAGCCAGATGGAGAAAGCTCGATTGCATTTGCCTATGGCTCAGATATTACTGAGCAACAGGGTACTCTTGTTTTACTTCCTTGTTTTGCTTCTGCTTTTGAGACTCGAGGTGAAGGCAGAGGCCAACACGTGGAACGCTCACAGGGCAGCACAATCACAAGGGTGAGGAGTGCAGCTCTGCTCTTGCCTCACAGACCCTGTGCTGAGAGAGTGGAAGCCACAGGTACAAAGTGACCTTTGGGAACATTCCCATGGTAAAAGGATGGAAAGGAAAGACTTGGGGAGTGGGAGATGTCCCAAACATAACAAGGTCACAAATGAAAAGGGGAGCAACTCAGCTGAACCCAACTGAATCTTTATTGTCGTGTCTCAACACCTGGACTCTCTTCTCTCAGAGAAGAATATGATAAAATCTCCTGAAAAAAGCATTAATTAACTTATTCTTCTTCCATTCACCATCAGGCCTAGGATTCAATTTCAAGTGATTCACAGCATCATAGTGAGATATGCTGATGAGGTGATTGGCTGGATCTATTTCATCGCCTGGTCCATCTCCTTTTATCCTCAACTCTTTGAGAACTGGCGAAGGAAAAGGTAAAGAGATGTGTTTGCAAGTCACTAAAGCACTTCTGCAAATCATGTTTCTAGCTTCAGTCTTGGTTATTTGGAATTTTCTGTGGAAAGGGGGGGGGGGAAAGGCAAAGGTAGGGTCTGAATAATTGCAGCCCTAGTGAGATTTTATGTAGGCAGGTTAGAGGGAAACCAAGTGCATCCTACAAACACCTGATCCTAAGATTTGGCATCTAATACGAATTTGTGATAGAGGAGACTTCCCCATTCCTTTTGGTGCTGTGTTGTAAATCACCTGGCTGAGGCAGCTGTGATAATCACTTTCAGAGATTACCAGCCTTGAGAGGTGTTTCTCAGACACCTCCTTATAGTGTCATCATTAGGCCAAGCTCCCCTTGAGCTAAGTGACTCGAGGTAGGAACATTATCATATATGAAAATGAAACCATTTGACCTGGCAATGATGCACTTGTGCTTTATGGATTCAGGCTGGAAGGGCTTTATCAGACAGGCTGAGCTCATGGAGCGCTGCAGTTAAAGAGCAAAGACAAAAATTGATCCATGTGAGCTCTGTTATTTCACCCCGAGTCCTGATGAACTCACAGTGTTGTCTGGTCACAATGCCTGAAGCTTTTGCTTTCACCACAAACTGCTTTAAATCAATACATTCCAGGGTCAATTTGTCCCTGGAACTGCCTGTAACTCTCTAATGCATGTTTCTCTTTTTTTTTCCCCCCCCTTCTCTAGTGTTGTTGGACTAAGCTTTGACTTCATAGCATTAAACCTCACTGGCTTTATAGCATACAGTGTGTTTAATGTTGGGCTCTTCTGGATTCCCTTAATTAAGGTAAGCATAATTGTGTCTTAGCATGTGGTGGGGGTGGGTATGTGCAGTAGGGAGTTAAGACACGTGGCTGGTTTTGCTTTCTCTTACCTTTAGGAGGAATTCCTGGTCAGTTATCCCAGCGGGGTGAACCCTGTGGCCATCAATGATGTTTTCTTCAGTCTCCACGCAGTAGCCCTGACCCTCCTCACCATCATCCAGTGCTGCATCTACGAGGTGGGTCTGGGTGCTGGGTTCACCTGTGGGCTCTGCCAGACCTCCCTCTGCCAGGCACCTCCCTGCTCCATTTGGGCTCCAAAATCCCAAATTCCCTGCACTTCCACTGGCCATCACAGGAGCCAACCTTCACAGTCTAGCTGCCTTCAGCTTTCCTGAGCAAATCTTATCTACTTCAGCCTCGTGGATGTTCTGAGCTCATAAGTAAACTCCTAAGGGACTCAAAATAACTGAGGCAAACAGCCAAGTTCATAAAGTTCCCAAATAGATCACTAGCCAGCACATAGATTACAGCTCTTCACAGCACAAATGCTTTGCTGTTTCTTTGGAGCATTCTTCAAGCTATGATAGGGCTTTAGATACTCCCTGCAATTCAAACAGTTTTTTCAACTGCTTTCCTAAAACAGCTGTAAATGCCCTTTCATAATTCTCACCTTTTCAAGTGAGACTGATTGTTACAGTCAAGTGATTCTTACTTAATCCCATTGATTGTTTCAGTCAGGTGGTTCTTTGTTTGATTTTCATTGTAAACGACTCTCATCTGAACAGGCCAATTTTCTCTAGATGGTAACTGTTTCCCTCTTGGGGTTCTTCCTCTGGTCATGCTAAATCTAAAACTGTAACAGCCCATCTGTCATCATTGACAGGTACTACAGAATTTTTCTATTGAAGAATTAGAAAGCAACCATAAATCTTTTACCATAATGGTATTATCAGCCTTTTGTGCCTACAGGAACTCTTGATCTCATCAGGTTGCATTTTGGAGATTTGTTACAGATTATGCACCATAAATACTCAAGAACACTGCTGCCCCTTGCTCAGGGACAGCAGTGTTTTAAATTATTGATATGAATATTGCTCTTCAGCTCTTGGAAGCCTCCAGCTGGCTGCTGTAGCACTTGCTTAATTTTAAAGTTCTCCTTGTGGTACCAGCCTGACTGGTAAAACAGGTTTGGAGTGTAGCATTGCATGATCCTGAGCAAACTGTATCTTTGTGTCTGGGGATGTGTGACCTGGCCAAAATGTATCTGTGTTTGTATTTCAGAGAGCAGGTCAGAAAGTATCCAAAGTTGTTGTTGGACTCCTGGCACTTGCATGGATCTTCACCTTCACAACGCTGTTCCTGGCTGCAGCTGAGGTGATGACATGGCTGCAGTTCTTGTTCTGCTTCTCCTACATTAAGTTAGCAGTCACACTCATAAAATACTTCCCACAGGTAAATCTGAATTATTCTGCTTGCATTCCATATCCCTGCCACCCTAAAGCTGCAGTGCATGCTCTTGAAAGTCTGAAGAGACTAAACCACCAATGATTATTTATTAACAGTGACAAACCAGTAGAATTGTACTGAAAGCTGCTTGAAATTCAATCCCAAATGCCTGTGCATGACACTCTGACTGACTTCTGTCACACTCCCAGGCCTACATGAATTTCCGTAGGAAGAGCACTGAGGGATGGAGTATTGGAAATGTGTTACTGGACTTCACTGGGGGAAGCTTCAGCCTTCTCCAAATGTTTCTGCAGTCATACAACAATGGTAAGCCTGGAACTGAGGTGCTTAATGGGGTGGGAAGTCCCACTGCAAAGCAGATATAAAGCAGAAGGTTATCTCAGAAGAATGATGTTTGTGCTCTGTGTGGGGAGCTGTTCTTATAGAAAGGATAAAGAATCTGTTCATATTCCCTCAAGATATAAATTGAAGTAGTCATCCTGAAGAAAACACAGGAACAGTTATTAATTAACTTTGCATAAGGTGTGCACTGCAGTTAGTTTTAGGTGTGTCTGAGCAGTCCAGGTAATAGACATGAACTTCTCTAAAGGGTCTGAAGACAAGACTACACTTGAGGAGTCAGACTTAACTCTAATTTTGTGTTTGACAGATGAGTGGAGGTTAATCTTTGGAGATCCAACCAAGTTTGGCCTGGGTGTCTTCTCCATTGTCTTTGATATTGTTTTCATGGCCCAGCACTACTGCCTGTACAGGAGACGAGGGTATGAACCTTGTGAATAACAAACATCACTTGTGGAGACTAAAACTTTAAACTGAACTTGGCCCTACCCTGTCTGAGGGCTTTCAAGATTCTTGCTGCCAGTTACCAGAAATACTGATTCTGATCTCTGTCACTTGATCCTCTCTGGGCTGGAACACAAAATGTTGCCTTGCCAAGCACTGGCTGCCAGATGCCTTAAGGACAGCAAGCTCTCAGCTGCACATGGGAGACTCGTGCCTGATGGAGCTGCACACACAGCTCAGAAGGAGCTGTCCAAGCAACACATGGCTCTTTTTTCACCAACCACAGGGAAGAGAAAGACCAAAGTGATGTCTTTCTGATTGGAGGTGAAGCACAAAGAGCAGAGTTCTGTCTTCCAAAAATCTGAATCATGTTTAAGCAACCACTTAATATCTTTAAGTAATGACTGAAGGCTGTCTGTGGATCCAAGTGCTGCTGCTGACCTTTCCCAGACAGCTCACAGTCCATCACCACTCAGGCTGGCCACAGCAGTACATCACAATAATGGGGTTGGTACAATTTGAACTCTTTATTAAAAAAAAATCCTAAAAAACCAGAAGCTGTATTCTTATTTCACTGAAAGCTCTTTCAAAGGTGCTAAGACAAGTAATTAGAAGGGAATCTGTGCATTTATACTTGAATGCTTGGAACCTTATGTGTCTTTCTAGGTGTCAACCTAAGGAAAACTAGATCTCAGATGAGGTTTGACAGTTCCCCATCAGTGAAACTAGACCTTACTGATCTCAGTAATTCCACAATCTACTCTTAAGCCAAAAAAGGTCACAGCTAGAGGCACCCAAGTCATATGGCACTCTCAAATATAAGGAAAAACAACTCAGGAAAACCAATTTTGTTTTATTGTGTGTAAAATCAAGTGAAAAAAGCAGTACAAATAGCAGTGTATCTTTATAGTAACAAAAATAACTCCAACTTGAAAGACTTAAAATTTACTACTGAATTCTTAAATTACAAAATTCCAAAGCAGAATTGTAGTAATTCCAGAGATATAAAATTGGTAAGTAGGCATCTGCTGCAGTGAGGTACTGAATAAATTAGTTGGCCACCTCCTCATGCTCTATTTACAACAGCTTACCTCAAGGCTGCTTAAAGAAACTATAGATATGTATAGATCAACTGAAAAGGATTAAAAACTCCAGGTTTTGGATAATTGTAAAGCTAACTGGCTAACAAACCACAGGATGCTAGATCATGGACTTAGAGTTGCAGCAAGACTCTTCAGTCCTGTGGCATGTTGATTTAAAACACTTAGTATCCTACTAGAAGTTTAAATTTGGTCAAGAGGCACTTCTGCAAATTACTGGCATAGTGATCTCTTCCATCCAATAAATCACTGATTTAAGCAGAAACTTCTAAAACACAAACCAAAATCCCTCCCATTTCAAGTCAGATAGAAGTGGAATGAAGGCCTGAAAACTCTACAGCTATGAGCAGCATTTCTGGTAGGTTCAGGAACATTGCTTTGTTTCCTGCTCAATTAAACTCAATTCAGCTGATGGTACAAACTGGGAGTAAGGAGAATTCAGGTTTTACCCTGCCAGTGAGGTTGAACTGTAGTGTCCATTAAATTGTAGTGTACTTCACAGGCATTGATCTAACACTTGTTTGTTACTCAGCTGTTTCTTGCCTCAAGAGGCTGCTTTGTCCAGGGAATCTTTGTAGGAAACTGTAATGCCCCAAACCTTTCAGCCACTCTCTATCTTGCACACAGTGAAGGATTAGTACAGTGCTCCTCCCCACAGCACTGTGCAGCTCTTAACTCTGGCATATGAATTTGGTAGCAATGTGGGGGACAGGACAGCTCCCTTCTAAAAGCTTAGGCACAGCAAACCCTCTGGTCTCCCATAGCAGAAACCACATTTCCTCCTAAAATAGGAGGCTTTTGTGCTACAGAAGAATCCTGTCCAAGTTAAGGCTTTTCCAGTTGCTCTTAGATAACTTGGGTCTGTCCTGTCCTGAAAGTCATGACTACAGAAGTCTTGCCATGTACCTGCAGGGCAGACTTTAGAGAAGCACTCTGCTGAGGGGAGTATTGTTTTACTACTGCCAGTTACACCAGAAGAAGTTAAAATAAAAAAGTAGTGTTTACCACAGGTAGGAACATGCACTCCTTCCAGACAACCTGTTCCAGTCTAATAGTTGCTTCTTTCTTTGATAGCAGTCTATACATCTCCCTTCCCACCCCCTCCCCAGCTGGATGATGGATTAGGACATCATGGATTGCTGCACAGCCTTCTGCAGGGACTGCCTGGTCACCAGCAGCCGTACCACCTCCTCATTCCTTTTGGTCAGCCTCTTCCTGGCCTGGTCATGGGTCACCATTGTCATATCCCAGCCATTCACCTGGGAAAAAAAAAAACATAAAATAAGGCAAATGCAAGGACTCACAGGTGTCCTGTAACTGTTCTATCAGAACCATGTAGTGGATATGGTTTTATGCCACAGCTCAGTTTATTTATAAACCCTACAAACTGTCCTGGTAAGTACCCAGAAGATTATTTTCCCCAGCAGATGCTTCTCTGCAGGGTGCAGCTGGTACTACATCACTACTGTCTTATCTTGGTGCTTACCTGCATGATCTTATCTCCAATCTGGAGTCCTGCAACTTCTGCCGGGCCTCCCTGTGTCACCCTTGTTACATAGATACCCTGGGAAAAAAATTAGTGTTCATTTACTAAATGTGGGAGGATTCAGTATTCAAGGGCCATTTGATTGACAACACAGAAAAACTCTAGTGTATTATGAGTTTTAGTTAAAAACAGGCTCATGCAATGTTGGAAAATAGAAAAGGTGTAGAAGTCACTTGAATAACTGGGTCTACAAGTGATAATGGGGCAAGAGAGTAGCTGTGGTAGAGGGCAGATGATAACTTGGGTCAGCCTTTGGGAGAGGGACTTGCTACAGAAAAAGATTATCTGACCTTGTCAGTCTTATCTTCAGAGAAAGGATTCTGAGTAGGGTCCTGATCAATGCCACCCCCAATGCTGAATCCCAGAATTAAATTGTCACCTTGACGAAGCTTATGTATTTCAATTCTTTGCTGGAAAGAGAAAGAGATCAAATAGCTGAGCATTGTGACAAGTGGAAGAAATCTCAAGTGCATTTCAGACGCTGATACTTCAGATCCAGTTAGACTGTTTTTCACAGAGATCCCACGACACAGCCCAGCCCCTCAATTACTCAGAGCTGTCCTGCCTGCCCAGGAATAGAAGGGAACAACACTAAAACCAGAGCAGGTCTCTTTAAACATGACTCATGCCTTGATAACCAGCAGTTACTCATGACCAGCCTCATCTTGCTCATTATCCACATGCCTTATGTTCCTGCTAGTCCTATCAGCAGAAATAACAACCTATTATTAGGATGGCTCTTTTTCAGGATAACTTTTGTAACCCGGGGCAGGTTCCTCACTGCCTGATGCACAAAGGCATCTGACCAGCTTTGTGCATTATGTCAGCATTGTAGAAATGCCAGCTGGTGCAATTAATTCCTGAGCCAGGGTGAAAAGCCACGGTCTTAACTGACACAGCAACCTCTCGAAAAGTGCTACGACCCTATCTAATGGAAGATGTTCCTGCTCATTGCAGGGGATTGGATGAGATTACCTTCATGGGTGCCTTCCAACCCAAACCACTCTGTGATTCTCCTCTCATGGCCCTGTCACACAGACCCTGAACTTCCCCACTGAATTCCAAACATCGGAGCCATCCACGCAAGCACAACCCCAGTTACCGCTGCAGGCAGAGGAAAGCACAAATCCCTCACTCGCACTTCGTGCTGATTAAAGCCATTATCTCCCTTTAAAAGCTCTGCTTCCTAACCCCACCCAGACACGCAGGTGCTTATCCTGCTCTGCCCTCGCAGAGGGGGATCCGCACCGAGATTGGGCTCGGCTGCCGCGGGGTCCCGGTACCGGGAGAACGCGCGTCTCTCGCTCCCTCTTCTCTAAAGCAACGCCCGAGCATCCCCGGCCGGGGGTCGGTCCCTCCGCCCGGCGGAGTTTCCGCTCTGTTCTCCCAGCCGCTATCCCGGACGGAGAATCTGACAGCCCACGCAGCGGGGAGCGGCTGCGGGGCGGCAACCGGGGCCGGCGGCGCTGCGGACAGAGCGGCCGCGGAGCGGGGCTGCCCGGGGACCTCCACCCTCCGACTGCCGGGCACCGGCACCGTCACCCGCGTGCCGTGCCTAACCCCGCAGCCTTCGCCCGCTCCTTCCCCGCACCCGCGAACCGGAGCTGCCCCGGGGCGGCACCTCCGCCCGTGACAGCGCGCAGGGCGCTGCCGGGCACCACCCGCATCCACCTCTCCATCCCCGCCAGCAGCCGCCACCTCGGCACGGTATCCCCGGGATAATGGTGACCGGCTGGGCCGGTAGGAACGCCGTGCCCGCCCCTCCCGTGCCCACTCACCACCACGGCGGTGACCGGCTGCCCCGGTACGAACGCCATGTCCGCCCCGCCACCGCCGCCGCCCGAACAAAAGCGCCTCGCCCGGCCCCGCCCTTCGCTCCCCGCCAGCCAATCCGACCCCGCCCTTCGCTCCCCGCCAGCCAATCCGACCCCGCCCTTCGCTCCCCGCCAGCCAATCCGACCCCGCCCTTCGCTCCCCGCCAGCCAATCCGCAGCCGCCCCGCCCACGGCGCGCCGCCCGCGCGGCCGCGTCCCGTCGGCCCCCAAGGCAAGATGGCGGCCGGGCGGTGGCGGCGGCGCGGTCGGGGCGGGCTGGGCCCGGCGGGCGGCCCGCGGTGACGGGCGCTGAGCGGGGTCCCTCGGCGCGGTGCGAGGCCTGACGGAGCGGCGGGGCTGGGCGCCGCCGTGGATGAGAGGTACGGAGGAAGGGGAGGGGCGGCGGGAGGGCCCGCGGGGCTCTCCCGTCGGCCTGAGGGCGGGCGGGCTCGTACAGCGCGTTTGCTTCACCTCAGTGTCGGTGCGAGCGAGGAGCTGCCCGAGCCCGGCGCGGAGCCATGGCCGCCGTGGTGGCCAAGCGCGAGGGGCCGCAGTTCATCAGCGAGGCGGCGGTGCGGGGCAACGCGGCCATCCTGGACTATTGCCGCACCTCGGTGTCCGCCCTGTCGGGCGCCACGGCCGGCATCCTCGGCCTCACCGGCCTGCACGGCTTCATCTTCTACTTCCTGGCCTCCGTCCTCCTCTCCGTGCTGCTGGTGCTGAAAGCCGGGCGGCGGTGGAACAAGTACTTCAAGTCGCGGAGGCCGCTGTTCACGGGGGGGCTGGTGGGAGGGCTCTTCACCTACGTCCTGTTCTGGACTTTCCTGTACGGAATGGTTCACGTGTACTGAGCAGCTCCGCGGCGGACGGAGCGGCGGGACTGTTGCCAAAAGTCACTACACCATAGGCCGGCTCACTTTCCACACTGTTGTGCGTGGCTCGTGTCGTTAATGCTGTTGGTAAATTATGTCCAAGTACAAATTAATCAGTAGCACTGTTCTATTAAAACTGAATGTGAAGCACCGCTTGGATGCCTCCTTGTTTCCTTGTTAGGGGGTAATTTCTGTCCCTAAGAGCAGGCACAGCTGTGGGGTTTGATTGATATATTCCCTGGATACACACGCCAGTTACAATCCCCTCTGGATGTGCTGCCTGTCTCTACACACAAACATTACAGCAGTAACACGGCAACCTGAAATAATTAAATTACTTAAAAATAATTTTGCTGACAAAAGGAAATAACTAAGTGGATGTAAAGGTTTGGCACAGAAACATACATGCAAATGCTCTCTTCCCTGACTGCCATCAGTAAATGGCACTGTCACTGGTCTCTAGAACAGCCACAATAGGGGATAATTCCATCACGCACCATCCAGGTAATGCCTTTCCTATAGCCCTGTTCTGTGAAAATAGTGATTCATCAATGTGCTCACATCACTATCACCAGGAGAAGGTGGTGTGACCTGAAAAAACACTTACAGAACACTCCCAGGGAGCACTGGCCTGAAGTGACACATTTTATTGCTGAACAAGAAACACAAGGAGAAAAAAAAAGTCAAAGTCAAGAAACAAGTCCTGAGAAGGACTCTGGTTATGTTTTATTAACAGCAGGGCTTGTAGGAGTTGTGTTACAGAGTCTAAAGAAAGGAAACATTTTAGTGGATCTGGGGGGCTGGACACTTGGATTCAGGAAATAGCTTTGGTCATCTCACAGGAGGATGTTTTGGCAAGTTAAAACAATGGTTTCAGCAGAGCACAGTCAGCTCTGCACATCAGGAAGAGCTGCTTGGGTGCCAGGAGTTGTGCCAGGCCCTGATGTCACATGGGGGGGTTCTTCATGTGTTTCACCATCTAGAAATTACACAACTTCTAGATGGTGAAACACAGAGTTTTAATTAACCCTAACAGTCAAAAGCCTGGTGGTAACTCTTGTGCAGTTCCCCACATGGTGACTTGTGTTTGCCTTGAAGAGAGACTTCTGACATGGAGAGAAGGTTTTGGATGAGATCAGAGCACCAAAGGTATACAGCTTATCCTAAATGAACTCCACTGTTTAATTCTATTTTCTAGCCCCATTTTTTTGCTCGCTACACAGAAGTAGAGGTGGGGACCTAGACTGGGTGGGGTTTGCTGTCAGTGGCTGGGTTCAGAGTTTGCCACTGCTAACAGGTGAATTTTAATTTAGGATGAACCTGTACCTCAGAGTAACGACTTTAAATAAGTTACAGCAGAGCTGGGTGCAGCTGCTGGTGCCATTTGTGCAGACGCTCGATGGCAGCAGCTCCCTGATGCCACCCTCAGACACTGCAGAAGGAGCCCTGTAACTTTTGGTATTCAAAGCATGCACAAAAACATTTAATCTTTATCAGGACAACTCACAGTCAGTGGTGATGGGGCAGCATGTACAGAACACAATCATATTCCTTAAGCCCTTTTCTGAGATTATTTACCTCCCCACATGAGATAAATGGACAAAATATGCTGCAAGGAGAGTGATGCTGCTGAGAGACAAGCACTTGTATTTCCTGGAGGTCACTGGTGTTGAAGTAGCAGGCAGATATGTTCTAACTTCCCTGCTGTTGGTGTATTTGGAGGAGGTTGGCCCAGCCCATGTCCCTGGCACAGCTGCCCTTCTCAGTGTGCAGCACAGCCCAGGGTGCTGTGAGAAACAGAGGCACTGAGTGTCCATCCAGCTCTGCCACCACAGAATCAGGCAGTGACACAGCAAGGACAGTCCCGAGCAAATGAAACCAGGCACTGAAGGAAGGAGGCAGAAGCTGTGCAGGTGCTTCCAGGGCCCCCCTGCCTCAGGCCCTGCAGGATCACAGCCCCTTCCCAGCCCCAAGAGCTGCTCCAATGCCACATTTCCCTGCACTTCCTGAGCAGAGCAGTCCTGCTGCTTCACAACGGATGTCACATCACCCAGGCAGGAGCTGGAGGCAGTGGCTGCCAGGGCAGCAGAGCAGGAAACAGGTTGGGTTTCAGCTTCAGCCCTTCCCAAAGTGCTCCCATCACAGCTTTTCTCCACATGGAAGCAAAGCACAGCCACAGGACAATGCTGGCTACTGGCATAAGTACAGATATATCTATCAGTGGATATAAAAACATTCATTTTTGTGCCTTCTTTGTCCTTTTATAAAAATCCTTTTATAAATCCATAGTGACAACACGTTGCAAGCTCAGGCTACCAGAGAAATCTCTGGGAAGAAAGACAGTCTTTAAAGAAGGTTTTGTCCTCTGGGAATCCTGATCATAGTAGGCCTGACCTGGGGTACATCCACCTCCCAGTGCTGGTGTGGTGCCACACCAGTGTGGATTTCCTGGAGCAGGAGTCCAGCTGGCAGAGCCACTGCTGTGCCTAGAGCTCACCGAGCTGCTCTGGGCTCTGATTCCCGTTCAGCGTAGGGCTCGACAAGGACTTCCTGGAGCTGGACCTGGGCAAACAGGCACAAGGACAGGATGAGCAGCCTGGGTTTGTTTCAGGAGGCAAAAATGTTCCCAGCCAGGCCTGTCTCACCTTACCCCAAAGGCCCCTCCACATCTCAGTTTCACGAGGCCATTGCCAGTCCAACCCTGACACAGCAGCTGCCTTTCCTCCCAGCTCATTGCAGCAAGGAATTACAGAGGAAGCCAATAACTTGGCCAAAATAATTTGGAAGAATATATTTCCCTTGAACTGTGCTCCTGTATGTCCTCCTATTTCTATCAGTCTTAACAAAAAGCCATGATTTTTAACACAAAGCCAGGCCCACTTACTTGACTTCCTCATACTTTTTGCCTCGATAAAAGTTACTCTTCTTAATCAAATATAGTAGCACCAGGTCACAAAAGAAAGCTCCCTGCAAAGGGAAAAAAACTTGTTGTTTATCTTTGAAAGGAAGAGGAAGTATTCTGAGCTCATTAGAAATGAGCATGAATGAAAGGATAACTTGTAGAAACTGTGTTTGCCTTCATTGTCCATGCATTTTCCAGAGTATGTATATGTAATATACAGCTTGTGGGGGTGTTTAGACTACTAGGTTTATTAAGAAAGAACCAGGCACTGAAGGAAGGAGGACATAGACACGCACCTGGCTGAGTAGTAAAGATTCTGCTGGAGAAGGTTTAAACCCCCCATCCTATTTGGGGTGTGGGTCCCCTGGGGTTACTTTGAGATAAAACATTCACTTACAGCTCCCATGAGTGCCAGCCCCGAGCTGATGTTGATAATGGTGGGAATGATGTTAAATTTCCCTGCCTGTAAGAACAAAGGTCATGAAGTCACCACTGAGAGAACAACCCACAAAACAAACTCAAGGGTGTGGTACTGCACTGGGGAAGCTGCTGCTGCCCCTGGGTGCGTTTTGTTCCCAGGCACAACCACAGGGGATTTGCAGTGGAGGCTGAAGGTCTCTGTGTCTTAGATCCGACTGTCCCTAACTGCATTTCTGAGCTTGCATCATCCCTGGATTAGGCTTTTTCTCTCTCTGCAGTGCTTGCACATTGAAAACAAGCCTCTGGGGCACATTTATTTCTGTTGGGGCTTTACATGAGCCTGGTTTTAAGTAGAGGAGGTGCAGGCTTAGCTGCACTACAGGTGATCTCTCTCACATGGGGATTAGCTCCACATGGATGGATGGGAAAAGCCCTTCCTACAACAAGCCAGAGAGGCTGTCCTCCTCTCAGAGCTGCCTCCCCCCACTTCCTTTCTCTGCAGGCTCTGGGACATCCTGACCTGGCTCTCACCTTGCCATTCACCATCACATCGAAGCGGATTCCGTACGCTTTAATGAGCGTCCGGTAGTCGACCCCCTCAGCATCCCGGTAATACTTGGCAAACCTGGAATACAACAGTGCTGCCTTTAATTCCACCTGCCCCTCTGAAGCCTCTCATCCCTTCAAAGAGATCTGTTCCCTCATCAAAGCCAACTTTAGCCTGCCAGGAGCACTCCCTACCTCCCTCCCTCCTCTGCAGCGCTCTGAGCTTGGCTGCAGCAGTGCCTGGCACAGGCTGGTGCCACTCACTGCCAACCTCTAGCACCTGCCAGTCCAAGCAGCCCAGCCCAGCTGTGGTACTGCATTGTGCCCTCCTCTGTACCCACCTGAAGTTGTACCCAGAAGAGATGGAGGTTTCTGCAGACTTGTTATCCAGCCGGCTAAAAGAATAGTGAGGATTACATTCAGAAGGGGCTTTATCAAGATCACAGTTCCATTCAATCTGAATTCCTATCACACCACCCTTAAAAGAGAGAGACAGGGTGAGTTGTTTAAGCTTAGTTCAGTTAAAGTGTCTTCAAATTTGTCAGACCCTTGGGCAGGCTTTCCCCAGGGGCAAGAAACAGCTGCACTTCTGGTCAAACAAGGGGCACACACTCCTGCCTGGGCTGAGTTCAGGTGTGTGACATTAATCCTGTTACTACTCTACAACCCCACTTCTCTCTGTGCTGGTATCCAGAAGTTTCTCATCCCAGGACATTAATTTCATTCCATTCTACACTTCAGTGGGGAAGACTTTTATGCCGGGGTGGAGTTACAGAGTTCTGGCTTTAAACCAATGGTGTGGTAATGTTGAAATTAAACGAAGAATCCCTGCTGGCAGAGCAGCAGTTTGGGCAGCCTTGAATAGAAATAACTGACCCAACCAGCTTTTTGAGAGGACCCCCATTCCCTGGGGTCAGGATAAATGGAACCAGCCTGACTTTAAGCATTGGTACCTCTGCAGTGCAGCCTGGGCAGGAGGCAGCTCCCTGGGCAGTGACTCCTCAGAGCCTCCCAGTGAGCAGTGAGCCAGCTGGGATCACCCACGAGCCCTGGGGACCCTCCTACCTCTGAGGCCATTTCCTGGAAGTTGCCCCCAGCCCAGCGGACGATGTTCCCCAGCACGAAGATGGGGCAGTAGGGATGCTCCTGGCTGTACCGACAGGTCTTCAGGTAGGACTCGTTGTCAGTTGCCAGCACATTCATCCTGCATGTAGGAAACAGGGAAATCCACCTTGGCTCCCTCTTTCCTTGTCTTCAGAGCCTGCAGCAGGACTGCAGAGACAAGAGGCTTCTCCAACACCCTCTGTGCACGGCAGCCTTGTCACCCTGTGAGTGTCTCTGCTGCTGGCCTGGGGAAAGCAGTCTCTCCCCCAGAAATGACCTCCTGGCCAGAAAAGGATTTGGCCAGCTGAATCTGGGCTCAAGAAAGGGCTCACACAGAACAGATTGCCAAACTGCTCCAGGGCCATCTGCTTGTCTCAAGGGAAAACAAAAGAACTCTAGAAAAGCCTATCTGAGCCCAGGACAAGAACCAGAACGTGCACATTTCTGCGCTGCTTTAGTTTGTTCACATTGCAGCAGCAAAGGCAAACATATTTGTTAAATTTTCATTTTTTGTCAGCCTTGTCCAGGCACTTTATTTTTCTGGAGGAGAGGGAATATCTATTGAGCAGGAGCAGCTCAGGAACCTGTGGCACTTACTTGGAGAACTTAAACTTGGGGAAGCGAATGGAGTTCTTGATGTAAACAGTGAAGTTTTCTGCACTGCCCAGCAGTGGTTTCCTGGAAGAGAAGGGTTTGTTCTCTGTCTTTGTCCCCGGCCCACGTGTGAAATTTTGAATTGCCATTTCAGAAGCAGCTTCATCCAATAGGTTGGATGGCACCAGGCCAGCTGTGCCACTACCCCCACAGTGCCAGCAAGGGGTTGGTGAGGAGCGTGCAGGTCCAGGGACACCCCGAGAGCTGGGAGCAGCCAGGGAGGGAAGCAGGGGGAGCAGAGGGCCAGTCCTGCCAGGAGAGCCTTGCAGAGCCCCCTCCTGCACTGATCAGCCAACATTCCAGCAAGCACCCAAGCAGAGGGACACAGGAACTGCCCTGGGTGACACACAAGCCAAGCAACTCAAGCTTGGAAATAAGACACGTACTTGGGCTTGGATCTTTTCTCCACTGGGCACCAGGCCAGTATCTCACAAGTCCCTCTGGTGCTGCCCTTGTCTTTCAAACAACGGCCAGTCTTAACCCCTGTGAGCAGACATCACAGAAAAGGTCACACCGAGCAGTCACCTCCTCTCCTTGCCCACAGGGCATGTGAAAACAGAGGATTTTCCCTCTCCTCCCTGCTGAAAGGGCCTCTCAGCTGGAACAAACGCCCTCTTGTTGTGTCTCTGAGCAGTCCAGGGTTCCCTGGCCCAGCTACCACAGAGCTGTAAGCAAGGCAGGGATCTTAAGAAAAGAGATGAAAGGAAAGAAAGGCCTTGGTGCTCTCTGTAATCAGAGATTTGGGGGTGTACCCGGGCTGAGGGCTCTGAAGACCACCAGACACAACACAGACAGGGACATGTCTTACCATTGCCAGCCACCACTGCTTCCCCTTCCAGGCAGTCCGTGTCCTTGTCACACAGGGCATCAGGAATGTTGGCACTCTGCAGAGGGGAAAAGGACACAAGTGACAAAAAGGACACCAGAGCCAGAGAAATTTCTGCTGACATGGGGCAGATTCTGTGTGAGCACTAAAACCACACAGCTGAAGTGGTAAATGGGGGTCATGCAAACATATCCCACCACCAGGAGCACCAGCATTCAGCCACACCCTCCCAGGTTTGGGTTCTGCTCAGTCTGGAGAGGGGCAGACCGAAAAAAAACCCAACATTAGTACTCGGCAAAACCAGGCAGGAGCTCATTTTGCTTTAAGATAACCCTACCTTGGATCTAAGCCACAAAGTTCTCGTGCCCAAATGTGCCCCTGTCCCGGCTGCTCGGCCACCAGAGGAGAGCAGTGCCCTGAGCAAGCCAGCTGTGCCCCCGGTGTGACGTGGAAAATCCTTCTGCTCCATGGACAAAGCTCTCCCTGCACAGCACAGCTTCCTCCCCGAGCCCCAGCCCACTCCAGACATCTCCACAGAGGATATTCCACATGCCACAAGCACCTCATGCTTTCAGGGCATGTTCTGGAAGGTGCTGGGCAACCACCCTGTGTCTGGGAGGTAATGAGAGCCTGCATGTTCAGCATTTCCAGGATGGGGCTCTTAAAAAGTCTCCTCTCCCCATAACTACCCCAAGTCACATCAAATTTGTTTTCCCGGGGCCTTTTCTAACCCTGAGCAATCACTGCCTGGTCCCATTTCCAGCTGGGCAGAAATTCAACACCACTTAAAGTCAGGAAGGCTCTGCATGATCAGCGCTTCTGGAAATTAAGACAGCTGAGCCTCCCACGTTTACAGTAATTTCCCAAGTGAACTTTTACACTACAGGAAAAAATACTTGTCTTTCATCCTTCCTTTCTTTGTTGCTCCAGAAGTGTCCTCTGTCAGTTCTTATCCCCGGTTTTGCAGGGGTCTGGGGGTCAAGGGGCTCAGTTCTTCCTACCTCAGGACACACGGCTTGTCTCTGGTTTGGGGTCACAATCAGATTTGTCATGACAAAGAAGACGCTTTCACCCTGCAATAAACAAAGAGTTAGAAAACTTGGTTTACTTTTAAAGCAGGAAGCTTTGTTCAGAAGAGAACAACCCCCTCTCCCCACAGCTTTTCAGGCTGAGATAAAACATCACCTTTTGTGTGGATATTTGTTTGGATGAATTCCCTCACACTGTGGGTGCACTCACAGCCATGAGAGCCAGCCCACGGTCCTGGGGGGAGGCAGAGCACCCCCGGCATCTCAAATAAAAAACTCACAGCAGAAAACCCCTTCCAGCACCACATTCCTGTATCCCAGCTCCTGCTAATTCACAGGGAAGACCTGGATAGATCCACTTCAGCACCCACAGGGGGTGATGCCAACCTGGGGAGGGATGACATAGTCTGCAACATCCCAAATCCTCTCCCCCAGCTCCGAGGTGTTGGTGAAGGCCACCCCTTTCAGCTTGGTGATGACAGAGCTCTGCAGGGACGTGTCTGTGTCCTGGTAGCCTTTCTTGACCACAAACACCCACCTGTGTGAACACAGCAGCGTTAGGGGAGGTCAGGGAACGAGTCAGGCAGAGAAATTCACACTGAGGTCAAATCAAACCATGCCAATGACACCAAAGCCTCTGCAACTGCTAATAAAGGCTAAACCCTTGGACACAAGCTGTGCTTGCCAACAGTGGAGGAATGTGTAATAACAGGTCATGAGGTATGAAACCAAAGCCTCCATCTGTGCTACACTCAGCAACCTCAGAAAGGGAAAGGAAGAGCAGGGCTGTGTCTTTCTCAAGATGAAAAACAAGAGAGGTTTTTGCAGGTTGCAGGGCAGAGCGTGGCTGGTTTCACAAGTGCAGAGCTCTCACTTTAGCACAGTCAGCACCAGGCTGGGAGATGGAGCCCCTGCAGCTGAGCTGGGGATCCTGGCAGAAAGCTGCAGGGAACATCCCCAGCTGGATCCAGCTCCTTTGTAAGCCAGGGTGATGGGAACAGCCCGGCTGCACCCTGGGAGAGCTGCTGCCTTGCTAAGCAATCCAGGGAAAGGCTTTGCTTCCTTCTCTCCACTGCAAGCAGCAGGAGTTCCATTTCCCTGGGTGAAAACCTCTGGCTCAAACGAAATGCTTCCAGCTCCCTCACAATACTGCTGATATCACCTGTCAGGACAAGAAGTCACCCTTGAAGAAGCTGAGGGTGCTGGGGCAGGTTGGGAGAGGAAGAGGCTGAATCTGTGGCACAGCTCCCCTTTTCAGGGCTCTCCTGCCCACAGGGGCTGAGCAGCACTGGTGGCACACAGCCTTCACCTGCCACGTGTGACAAACCTGCATATGAACACTCCCCACTGTTATAAATACATATTATAATAGATGTATTGGCTTTTCACAAATAATAAAATTGATGCTATATGTATAATGTCAAAGATACACTTTTTATTTCTGTTAGAGTAGTGAAATAGCTGATATAAGTATGCTTGTGTTAAAATGCCTGCTTGCTTGGGATAACATTCAGTGAATACATGAACTGTCAACACTTACCATGAGTACAAAGTATGGACCAAGGCCCAAAACTGTAGGTGATGATAAGAATGGATTAAAACCACAACCAAAAAACACACATGCTCCAAAAAGGCAAACCCGAGCATGAGCCATGCTAGACAATTCTTGGAACATGCAGACTAGTTTTGGGGAAAAGTTTTAATATGCATAATTTTTTATTAACATGCAACAGGCTGATGCAATAGAAATGGTATATCAAGGTTGTTTCTGAAATAGCCAGGGTGCTCTTGGTGGAATGCCAGGCACCCAGCGTTTGAACTGTTTGCTTTATTGCCATTTTCCTCCTAATGTCCATTATTAAACTTTGAAATTTTTACAGGAGAGTGACCCTTGTTTTTCACATCCACTCTGGGAACTTTCCTACTTTCCCCTGAAACAGAGATTTTTGGAATTCACTTAAGTTAACAAAATGAATTAAACAGTTATATTTTAGTTTGTAGAGTTATGTGTTGAATTTTAACCATTTACTTAAGCAAACTCTGCCATAAATACAAAAGGCCATATGACAATGCAAATTTCTGAAGCTCATTGCACAAAGAACAATGCCACAGGATGCAAAGAACCCAGAGAAAGAAGCTTTCCTGTCTTCAAGCCTATCAAGACTGACACAGATAAGCACCAAAGGACCGAAAGCAGAGAGGAAGAGTTCAAAAGTTCAACCATGAAGAAGACCACGATCTTCAGCCTCAAAAGACCACCAGAGACCCCACAGGACCACCACGGCAAACCACCAATTTAGCATGAGGTGAGGACAGGCAGGGCCAAGGGTTGAACATGCATGGCAAAGTTGTGCAATGTACTGCATATGGATTTCTAAATAAAAGCGTGGGTCAGACTGACGCTCGGGGCACAAGATTTTGGAGAGCAATCTCACTTGTGTTGAGAACACATACCCACTTCATAACTACCCCAAGTTGTGGAGTCTATTTATTTATTCTGTGTATTGCTTCACCCCTTTCCCCAAGAACGCTGATTTCCTCTCCCAGGAGGGCTCAAAAGCAGAGCCTTGCATTTTCTGCATGAATCAATGAAGCAATGGCAGCTGCACCCCAGAAATAGCCCAGAAGGGTTTGATGATCCCCACCCCAAGCCAGCCTGTGAACAGACATGCTCCTGTAAGCCCCAGGCACAAAGGAGTCACTGCAGGGACCATCAGTGAGGGTTTGCAGGAGGCAATAGATGCCAAAGGAGGAAAAGAACCCTTCCCTGTGCACTCTGTATCTCCCTTAGTCCTCAGCAATGCTCTCCACAGGATTCCTCCTGCAGGCAGCCCGTGCCAGGAGTAGGCTCTGGGATTGCACAGCTTTCCATAAATACACCCAGCATGTAAAAATGACTCTGCTATATTTAATGAGTGCAAAAACGAGGTGTGGGAAAGGTGAAGGCACCCAGAAGCACAGACAGCGAGTTAGGTGTCACAATCCAAAAAGCCTCTGAAACTCAAGAACCGACAGCACAGGCTGGATAATTCCAGGTCTGAGCCTGCAGGGACCATCCCCGTGCCCATCACACACCAGTGTGACCAGTCTGCTGCAGAACAGGGCCCAGGCTGTTCCCCAGCCAAGCTCTGGAATGAATGCAAGGCAGCTGACATTGCTGCTGCCTCAGCCCCCACAGCCCGGCTGCTGCAGCCCACTCCAGCACAGAAATCTCCCATTTTCTGCTTGCTTCCCTCCCGAGCAGGTCAAAAGCTGTGCAGAAAACACAGGTGTGCCCCGAGCCTCAGCACCAGGGCTCTTAATGCTCATTTTTCCTGAGGAGTCAAGCAGTAGGGTTTGGCGCCATTCCCACAAAATATAGAAATAAAGGCATAAATAATGCAGTACAAAGCCATAGTCACTGGGTCTATTTTTAAGCCGACCTTAATCTGAAAGGTAGAACTGAATCTAGCCATCACTAGCAGGTGACAAATCAGACATAACCTATCAGACACTAAAAATGCAGCTGTGTAAACCTGTCTGATGATCTGCATTGCAATCAGGAGGCACAGCAGGCTGTCACTGTGTGCAGAGTACCCTAATTTATCTTTATCACAGCAAAATCCATCTTTATCGCAGCAAAATCCATCTTTATCACACCAAAATCCATCTTTATCATGGCAAAACATGAAGCAGAGTGTGATTCTTACCCCACCAGGTAAGCCAGGATGGAGAGCTGCACCACTCGGTAGAGGACCCCGACCTTCTTATTCTTTGCAATGACGTATTTCTCCGTTTTATAATCGAAAAGAGACAGAAATAAAGCCTTCCAAGCCACCTGCCCCATGCTCCCAGCTCGCTCGGTGGCTGGAGCAGGCACAGCTCGCAGCACCCCCACGTGCAGGGCATGGAAACCTGACCCACCAGCCTGATCTCCTCCTCCTCCTCCTCCTCCTCCTCCTCCTCCCTCGGCTGCTCTCCGGCAGCAGCTCAGTCAGAAGGCGGCAGCTGCACTAAGTCACATCCTTCCTGAGGTGCTTTCCAGCTGGTTCACCCCTCTCCCCTTCCAGGTTTCCTTCTCTTCCCCCAGGACCTGCTCAGAATGAAATCTGTCGCAGCACAGAGCCGCGCTCCCACAGGCACAGAATGCGCTGAGCTGGACGGGATCCACAAGAAACGCCCAGCCCAACTCCCAGCCCTGCACAGACACCCCAAAAATCCCACCCTGTGCCTGGCACTGCTGTCCAAACACTCCTGGAGCTCTGGCAGGCTGTGCCCATTCCCTGGGCAGCCTGGCAGTGCCCAGCAGCCTCTGGAAGGGCAGAGGATGCTCAGCATTTTCCTGATGCCCGCCCTGCCCCTGCCTGTCACTGTCAGCAGAGAGCAGAGCTCAGCTGCAGCATCCAAGGGGACCAGGCACAGCTTTTCTCACCATTCCTTAGTGATGAAAGCCTTTCTTCAGCCTTTACATTGGGGTAAATTTTGGATTTCTTAAAAGTTTGCACGAGCAATAGGAGCCAGGGTCCTGGAATGTCGGCCAAAACACCTGTCTGGTAAAAAAACTCACTAACAAATTCTGCATGTGCCTGAGAATAAATCAATGCTTTCCAGGAACTGGGCGTGAGGAAACAAGCACAGAGGGTGAGCAGTCTGGGTTTGTGTCAGGAAACAATGTGGGCAAGATGCTCCCAGCCAGGCCTGTCTCACCTCACCCCAAATTCCCCTCCAAGCAGCAAAATCTCCATTTCATGGGGCTTCTGGAGCTGCCCCAATTCCATCCTGGGTCATGAGGGACCAAGAGCACCAGGCCAGGGCCAGTGACACAGCACCTGCCTCTGCTGCCCAGCTCTCTGCAGCAAGGAATTACAGAGGCAGCCAGGAACTGCTAAACTCATTTCAAGAAATATAATTTCCTGTAATTGACCTCTCTTTGCCAATAACAATTACTGTGCCCCTGTATCTCCTTTTATTTCTGTTAGGCAGAAAAATGAAGAAACTGCCCTGCACCAATCCCTTCCCTGGGAAAACCATTCTCAAGATGTCAGGCTTTATGAAAATTTTGTCTTACATCCTCCTTAAATTCTATATCAAATTTAAGCAGATGGATCTGGTTTTTAATGAAGTTTCTTAAAATCACAAGAGAATAACAACCAGCGTCATAAGGAATGAAGAGCTCATTTTATCCCTCATCCTAGAGCCATCCCTAGAGTTAACTCTGCAAAGGGAAAGAAACCTTTCTCCAGCACCTGCAAAACTAGAGCACAAACCTGCCTGTGGCCTCCTTGTAACCTGGTGGCTGCCAGAGCAGCTCTGCCCTGAGCCTTTGTCGTTGTTTTCCAGGTCAATTAATCTGGGAAAGGATTTACACTGTCAATTAATCTGAGAAAGGTTAAAAAAGAAAATCCCTAGAGTGAGAAATGTTCTGCTCTAGGTGAGGCCTGAAGGCATAAACCACGTTTGATCATTGAAATGAAAATAAAAAAGATAATGCAAACCTGATACTTTCTCGCGGTTTTGGAGGCACCATTAGAGGCAGAAGTGGAAAAGCTGTTTTGGAATAAAAACTTTCCTTTTACATCAAATGTGCCTCAAATACTGCTCAGCACAAGCCCAATTTTTGCTGACAATGCTTTTGCTGCAGAAGTTTAGCTTGCACTGAGCTGCAAAAACAATCTAGCTGGGACTTTGTGGCATGCTCTTATGGGGGTTGTTTTTATCACCTGGTTTTCACAGCCTTGGGTTTGGTTGGTTTTTTTTTCTTGCCTGAAAATCAAGTTTGTCAAAGTATTTGTGGATGTTCAAACAAGAGGAGTTTTGTTCATAGCAAAAACCCAGTGAAGTCTAATTGTCACCAGTTAGAGATGCAAATCATGTAGCATCTCTCAGTTCTTCTCAAGGGACAGAGGCTGAATCTTCACTATCTTCACTTCAAGGACTTTCCCTTTTTAACTTCTACATCTTGAATTTCCCAAGGAAAAAAAACAAAACCAAACAAACAAACAAACAAAAACAAAACCAGAAAACCAACCAACCAAACAAACACAAAACCAAAAAACCAAAAAACCCAAACCCAGTCCTGCTCCATTCCCACGAGGGCTGTTTGCTCAGTCTGGGAATTCTCCCAGGGAGGATTTCTCCTCCACGACTGAAACTCCTCCTTTCTCTTTTTTAACCCTTCCATTCCTGCCATGTCACACGTGTATTTAATTCCTCACACTGCTGACAGTGATTGCCTTCTCATAATTCACACATACTCCCAGGATACACGTTCCTGTCTGCCCCGAATGCTCCTCATCTACTTTTCCACTGCTCTCCCCCAACCCATGAAGGGAAAGTGCTTGAGGGAGAGGATCAGGGGAGAAGGAAAAATAGTGCACATCTAATGAAACCAAGCCATCATGCCCTGTTCTGTGAGGGAGCTGGCACTGAATCAGGTCAGAGAAATTAATAAAATGCACATAAAACACTGCTGAGAGGCTGAGTGCAAGGATAGCTGGACCAGCAGTGCTGTGTTGCAATGAATTCACCTCCTAAGGTCAGACAATAAAAGCATCACTGGGAAATAAAAGAATGCTGAATCAAACCCTGAAAGCTGAAGGGGTTTAATAAAAAGTGTATTCACATTGACCACAAATTTAAAGGTGAAACCCTGCTCTTGAATGCACCCAACAGAACAGTATTTACTTCTCTGGTAACACAAAGACATGAAATTGGTCCTGGCTTGATACCTCTGCCAGCTCTTACCTTGCTGCAAGCACTGAGGAGAATCCTTCATCCCCTTCCTTCACGGGAGGGCTGAGGAGGATCCTTCATCCCCTTCCTTCATGGAGGGACTGAGGAGGATCCTTCATCCCCTTCCTTCATGGAGGGACTGAGGAGGATCCTTCATCCCCTTCCTTTATGGAAAGACTGAGGAGGATCCTTCATCCCCTTCCTTCATGGAGGGCTGAGGAGGATCCTTCATCCCCTTCCTTTATGGAAAGACTGAGGAGGATCCTTCATCCCCATCTTTCACGGGAGGGATGAGGAGGATCCTTCATCCCCTTCCTTCATGGAGGGACTGAGGAGGATCCTTCATCTCCTTCCTTTATGGAAAGACTGAGGAGGATCCTTCATCCCCATCCTTCACAGAAGGACTGAGGAGCATCCTTCATCCCCTTCCTTTATGGAAAGACTGAGGAGGATCCTTCATCCCCTTCCTTTATGGAGGGACTGAGGAGGATCCTTCATCCCCTTCCTTCACGGGAGGGCTGAGGAGGATCCTTCATCCCCTTCCTTCACGGGAGGGCTGAGGAGGATCCTTCATCCCCTTCCTTTATGGAAAGACTGAGGAGGATCCTTCATCCCCATCCTTCATGGAGGGACTGAGGAGGATCCTTCATCCCCTTCCTTCATCTTTCTCATGGACACAGCTAGGAAGTCTCGAATGTGGCCCCCCACCTTTTCCTCCTGGAATGACCAGCTGGTCACTCCTTGCAGCCACAGCAAAACTACTCCCCCTGTCCCCCAGAGGGAAAAGTTCCAGCCTGGCACCTGAGCTCCCCTCAGCTGTGCCCAAAGCAGCGTGACCCTGCTGCTGGGCCAGCTCCCAGCTCAGCAGGGCTGATGTGTCCCAGCTGGGCTCAGCTGGATCCAGTTGTGTGCAGCTGGGGGAGCCACAGCGATCTCTTTGTGGCACTCAGCTCCTTCAGCCCGCTGTAAGAAGGACAGGAAATGTCTCTTTGGAGCTACAATTGAACTACCCTCCAAACAAAGCCAAACAGGCCCTGGAGCCCAGCAGAGCTCTGCATGGCTCATCTCTGATAGCCTTACCTTGGTGCCTTGTCAAGGCCTGACCTGGAGCAGAGACTAGAGGAGTTAAAGAATAAAGTAGGGATTTATTAAAAGGCATCCATGGATCCACCTTGGGCAGCACAAGAACCCAGCCAGGCTACACCCAAAATGAACCAAAATGGTCATAAAATGGACATGAGGTCTCTCATTTTTATAAGTTCTGCTCCATTTTCATATTGGAGTTCATTGTCCCATTCCAGCTTCAGCCCAGGCAGTCCCACCCTGCTTGTTTTTCTCTCTCCAGCCCAAGGTGTTTGTGCTCCTGGGCTGAGATTTGGATCATTTGTCCTTGGTGCCCAGCTGGAGAAGGAATTGTGTTGTCTCCCTGCTCTGTGCAGAGAGCTCACCATCCCCTAATACGAAGCTCAGAAATGCAGAGTAAAGCAGCAGAGAATGTGCAAAACATAACATCTAAGAGCTGAGGCAGCAATGCCCCGTGCTTTACAATGAAGAAGTACTGATGGCCTTCTCCTGGTGAGCTGAGCTCCCTTTCTCCTGCAAACACCCAGGTAGGTCCCTGCATCCCACAGCTCTGCACACCAACCTGGCAGCTGCTGAGCACGCCGAGGGAAACCCAAAGTTTGGGCATCTTCCTGCTGTGTGACAAAGCCATGAGCAGCTGGTGTCACCCCTGACTGAAGCAGCATCACCAAACACATCCTGTCCTCCTGTGGGAGGCACAAAACCGTGAGGAAATGCAAAGCTGGCTAAGTGAGGGGGCCCACGATGATGAAAGGAGGAAACTGTGGCTCTGCAAACCCTCTGCCACCTTTGCAGCAGGCAGAAAGAAAGGTCATGAACCGTGCTGGCAGCTCCAGGGCCTCTGGGAGATCTGCAGCAGCTCATCTCCTCCAAACCTGGCCCCAAAGTGCTGCCAGCTCCTTCACCTGGCTGGCCACAGGTGGCTCCTGACCCTGAAGGAGGCATTTCCAAATCTTCTGTCCCTCAGGGAGGTGCCACAACCATGCCACAAAGTCAGGGCCACTCAGCCAGGCTCCTGCAAAGGGCACTTTATTCAAAATGTAGATTGCAAATAAATTTAGAAGGCCAGGCTCCCATGGAAACCTCACAAAAATCCAGCTGTGGTTTGGATGAGTTGAGTCTTGGCAGTCTTGGCTAATCCCTTAAGTGCCATCCAATTACTGCAAATGTGTTTGGCATCTGCTGCAGTGATTGCAAAGAATTAAATGGTCGATGGCACTCGCCGGAAATTACAAGTCACAGCACCCTGTAATGCATTTAGGAGGAAAAAAAAACATCTAAAAAGGAAAATAGCATTACCCACTGCAAGAGCTGACCTCCTTGAGAGCCAGGAGGGACAACAAAAGGCATCCAAGTAATGAAGGAAGCTTAATTCAGAGAAGAAACTAGAAAAATAAAGGAGAGGGATTGTTTGTTGTTTTTCCACCAGGCAATATTAGTTAGACCAAAGGAGACAAGAACTCTTTTGTCTTCTGAATGAGAAATCTTTGTTTATTCTGCTTCTGCTTACAAACACACATTAGATCTGTGGGGTCTATGGTCAACCAAATATGACAGAAATAAATAAAACAACCACAAAAATAGGAGACAGAGAAAGGAGCACTACCAAGGGTCTGTCCTTGACTTTCTTTGGAATCCACACACGGGTGCCTGAGATAATTTCACTGGAAGAATGCGAGGTCTGGCCAGGCATCTTCTTTCCCCAAACCCTCCAAATTGCAATTACTGATAACCTGCAGCTGATAAATCACCCGGGTCAGTCTCTCAGATTAAAGAATTAAAGATTTCCCTGTGTTCAGTAAGGAAAGGGGAGCATCAGGACGAAATCCCTGAAAGAACTGGAGGCCTCTGCTTTAACTGCATCAGCACAAGAGTTCCACACAGAGCCCTAGATATTTTCTGCTCTGCAGTGGCAAATGTCCTTCCCCTGCTGCTGTCCCACTGTCAAAAGCTGATTTCACTAAACTCAGAGGCAGGACAAAAGGTGCAGAATTTAACTCTGGGACTTGATTTCTTCTCTGTGCTCAGCAAAACCATCTGGATGTCTCAGTTGTTGCTGTCCCCAGGGAAGCCCAGGCTGCCTGTGTGATCCTCAGTGGGAGCTTCTGCTCCTTCAGGTGGAGCTCTCTGCTGAAGATTATTTTCCCCTGATTTTTTTTTTTTTTTTTTTTTTCCCAGGGATCAGCAGAACAGCCCTTTAAGCTTTTTAAGAACAACGTGGAACAGAAACGAAAGCAACAAACCACCAGCTGCTTTCCAGCAACGCCTCAAGAACCCGGTGCTGTGCTGCCACCAAGCTGCGTCCCCTGCCCACAACCCGAGTGGCAGCTGCGACAGTGACACGGAAACCTGCGGGGCTTTACAGCTCACCCCACGAGGTGGGAATACCTGAAATAAATCGGATTTTTTACCCATGTATAGAATACATAGAATCCCAGAATGCTGGGCTTGGAAGGGACCTTAAAGATCATCTATTCCCCACCTCTCTGCCATGTGCAGGGACATGTCCCCTTATCCCAGGTTTATCCAAGCTGCCTTTGAACGCTGCCAGGCTTGGGACACCCACATCCTCCCGGTGTCCACTTTTGGGAATCCATGGTTTCCCTCTGGCTGCCCTGGCAGGGGTCAGGAACCCATGGACAGAGATCACAGACAGTGTCTCTGGACAGAGCCCCCAGAGATACTGTCTGTGATCTCTGTCCATGCAAAAGAGTTTTCAATCTTATAACATGAATTACAGGCTCTGACTGTTTGATATAAGTAATAATTAATGTGGCATGGGTGCAAAAGCAGAATTTTAGGATTCTAGATAAGGGGTTCCAAGGGGACGAGATGGAGGAAATTGGGTGTGCCTTGTCCTTTTTCTCCTTCTTCATGCCCTCCATGTTTCACTGTGGTGTTGGCATTTTTCTGTTGGTTCAGGCTGGGGACACACTGTCCAACGTAGGTGACAGATATTGGCATGTTATTGTAAATATATAGCTTTTAGGAACATAAGACCATTGTGGGCCTCTTCCGTTCCGAAACCAATTGAAGACAAGGAATGGGAGTTCTACCAAGAGTTCATTTGTCAGATTTGCATTGAAAAGGTAGAAAGGTCAGAACGAGGAAGACTTCATTGACTTCCTCATTTTGGGACCCCTCCCCATGAAAGCGACACCAACCCATTTCTAGGAACAAACCACGCATGCTCAATAGATTTTGGAGTAATTAGCATACGAGGCGAGCAATGGGATGGACCAAAACGATGAACATGTGTTTGCATTTTGTGTATTCAATATTCGTATGGATAAAAGGGCGCTGTAATCAGCTGGAAGCTGCGGTGTGTATTCGGGAGGTATCCCACACACCGTTAGAGAGTGTTTGTCCGTCACAGCTGGATATCGATACTAGATCAATATCCAGATGTTTTTAATAATTCGGGGCGGGGGGGCGTGGCCTGGGCGCGTCCCGTGGGCGTGGCCACGCCCACGGGACGCGCCCAGGCCACGCCCCCCGCCCCGCGGGCGGGGCGGCCGCTCTCGCGCGTTCTCGCGCGTTCTCGCGATACCCGTTCGAACGGGAGGCGGGCGGCCTCCGTGCGCGCCCGGCTCCGCCATGGCGCAGCGGCCGCGGCTGCTCCGCACCTACTCGCGCCGCGACGGCAACCTGCGCCGCCTGCCGCGGCCCGAGCCCTGGGTCTCGCCGCCGCAGGACCGCAGGCACCTCTTCAGCTCCAGCTCCGCCGCCTCCAGCGCCCTGTCCGCTTCCAGCGCCGACTCCAGCCTCTCGGGCGACCCCGAGTACTTGCCGCCCGCCCAGCCGCCGCTGCCCGGTCGGGGTAAGCGCGCCCGATGGGCCCAGCGGCTGCGGAGCCGCCGGAAGGAGAGCCGGGGAGCGGCGGGGAAGGACAACCGGAGGCCGGAGAAGCGGGGGCGGGCACAGGAGACCCGCGGCCGGGGAAAGGAGAACCGTGAGCCGGCGGGGAAGAAGAGGAAGTGGGGTCAGAGCAAAGAGCCCCGCACAGAGGAGCGCCGGGGGTCGCCGCCGCCTTCGCTGTCCCCGCCGCGCCGCCGGCAGGGCTCGCTCTGCGTGCCGCGGCCGCCGCTGCTGTGCAGCACCCCGCAGTGGTCCCCGCCGCCCCGCCGCGCCCCGCCGCTGCTCGGCTCCGCCGCCGACAGCCCCGCGCCCCGCCGCCGCCGCCCGCCCGTGCGCCTCAGCCCGCTCCTGCTCAACACCACCATCGAGAGCGGCTCGGGGCTCGGCCATTCCTGCCCGCCGCGCCACGGCTCGCTTGAGGGCTGCTCCGGGATGCGGCCGTCGCCCGGCGAGGAGGTGCTTGAGCGGTTCCGAGCGCCGGGCTCGGCTCGGAGCTCCGAGCCCCAGCCCGGGCTGCGGGGGTCTCGCCGTGTTCTGAGGTCGGCGGTGCGGGGATCCCGCTGGGTACAAGCTGCCCCGTCCCCGCGGAAAGCCCCAAGCACTCGGGAAGCGCTGCTGCCCGTGGAGGGTGAGCCACAGCCCCCTGCGCCCCGTGACAGTGGCACTCGTGGGGAGCCCTGTGAGGGTCCGTGTCATCTCACCAGAGAGTCAGCCAAAAGAGGCTCGAGCTGTCAGAGAGGCCTGGCCAAGTACTTCCAGCTTGTGCCAGTGGTGGTGCTGGACCCTCTAGAAGTGTCAATGACATTGAAAAGCCTGAAACGCGACAATCAGGCTGATGTTCAACCTGTCTGCCTGCAGCCGGGATCTCCCGTGGGCCGCCAAGGAATCTTGGAGAGCAAACACAAAAGGACCAAGGGTGTCCCCGGGGAGGGCAGTGCCTGCAGGAAAGCCTGTATAAGTGGCTTCAGTGCCAGCCGCTGGGGCGGGCACAGCAGGCTCCGCCCAAGAAGGCCTAAGAACAAGAGGCAGCAGCGGCCCAACAGCTCCCTTTTCAGGCTCCAGTCAAGGCAAAAACGAGCTCAGAAGGGAACTTTAGAGATGTCTGTAGGTGTCAGAGACAATGACTCTTCACTTCTTAATAACTCTTATTCTTGGGCTAGAGTTCGAGCGTCTCTGTGCTTCCATAAAAAGAAAAAAGTGACCACAGATGAGACTTTTTGCAGCAGCATCCTCTGCACCCCTTCAGGGAAATCCCAGCTTTCGGGGTCCCAAAGCATCCTGTCTGCTGGTAAAGCTCAGAGCTTCTCCCAGTACTCTTCCTCCATGGTCCTGCTGGCTCCCAGGGATTCCTCCTCTGTCCTGGAGCTGCTCCTTACAGATGCTGAGAAAGTGTTTGGAGAATGCAACCAAGATGGGCCCATTGCTTTTGAGGAATGCATTCCTTTAAATAAAATGAAAGACTGCAAGAAAATTGGAGAAGGGGTGTTTGGAGAGGTGTTCCAGATTGACAGCGAGAGAGGACCTGTGGCCTTAAAGATAATTCCCATTGAGGGGACTGAAAAAATAAATGGTGAAGCTCAGAAGACCTTTGGAGAGATTCTGCCAGAGGTAATAATTTCAAAAGAACTCAGTCTTCTGTCTGAGGGCTTTGTGAACAGAACTGTGGGGTTCATCAGCCTGTACTCTGTGCACTGTGTCCAAGGGGCCTATCCCAGGTATCTCCTGGAAGCCTGGGACAAATTCCACAAAGAAACAGGCTCAGAAAACGACCGGCCAGACTTTTTTGGGGCCCAGCAGCTCTTCATGGTGCTGGAGTTTGAGTTTGGTGGCAGGGACCTGGAGAGCATGAGGAACAGCTTCTCCTCGGTGGCATCAGCCAGGAGCATTTTGCACCAGGTCACCGCGTCCCTGGCGGTCGCAGAGCAGGAGCTGCACTTCGAGCACAGGGACCTGCACTGGGGGAACGTGCTGGTCAAAAGCACAGACGTGAAAGAGCTTCAGTATGTGCTGGATGGAGAAACCCACTCCATCCCTACAGCTGGCATCCACGTCAGCATCATCGACTACACGCTGTCCCGCCTGGAGAAGGACGGCCTCACCGTCTTCTGTGACCTCTCCACGGACCTGGAGCTCTTCCAAGGCGCTGGGGACCTCCAGTTTGACATCTACAGGCTGATGAAAGAGGAGAACTCCAACAGCTGGACTGACTACCACCCACACAGCAACGTCCTCTGGCTGCACTACCTGGCTGATAAACTTTTGAAAGCCATGAAGTACAAGACGAAGGCATCAGCTGCTAACCTGAAGAAAATCAAGATGCAGCTCAGCAAGTTTCACAAGGAAGTGCTGACCTTTGAGTCTGCCCATGATGTTCTGCACCACAGCAGCCTCTTCCAGTGAGCAAGGGTCCAAGGATTGAGCCACTGGTGCTGCCTCTCTCCTCTGCTTTTTGTATGTGTTGGCACAATTAAGTGTTTTTATGGGGTACAAATATGTTTAATACATTCACATAAATTTTCTTACATTATATTCTGCTCTAAGATATTTCCATACCTGCTGGTTTTGAGGGGTGCTGGGAGATAACAGAGCAGACTTTGGAGAAAGGAGGGGGAAAAGAGACTTCTTCACCTCAGTTAATCCTCTGAATTTCACATACATTTTCGGTCTTACATGCTTATCTTATAAGCCAGGACATTATCCACCCCTTATTCTATTTCCATCTGCATCACAATGAAACCCAGTTCTCACTTAAGGCCATGTCTCCCTGTGGTACAGAATGGGTTTCCCCATCTGTCTGCATTACCCACCAAGTGTAACCAGGTCCTTGAGCAAAAACAATCCCACGGATAGGTTTGTCTTTGCCTGAGGTGGGATTAATCTAAACATTTTTTCCTAAAATACCTTTAATATGTACCACAGGGACCTTATCTCTCTCTACTCTGTGTAAGGGTTCTGACTGGGCAGGGCCAGCTCGATTGATGGACCCTCGGGTGTTGACCATCCAGGTTGCTTTTGACAGGTAAATTTCCCAGTTTCTAAATGTTCCCCCACCAAGTGCTTTCAGGGTAGTCTTAAGGAGTCCATTGCACCGTTCAACTTTGTCAGCAGCTGGAGCATGATAGGGAATATGATATATCCATTTGATACCATGTTCTCTGGCCCAGGTGTTGATAAGGCTGTTCTTGAAATGGGTGCCGTTGTCAGACTCAATTCTCTCAGGGGTGCCATGTCTCCACAGGATTTGCTTTTCCAGGCCCAGGATGCTATTCCAGGCAGTGGCATGAGGCACAGGGGAGGTCTCCAGCCATCCAGTGGTGGCTTCCACCATGGTCAGCACGTAGCGCTTGCCTTGGCGTGTCTGGGGCAGTGTGATATAGTCAATCTGCCAGGCCTCCCCATACTTGTACTTGGACCACCGCCCACCATACCAGAGGAGCTTCACTCTCTTGGCCTGTTTGATGGCAGCACACGTCTCACAGTCATGGATAACCCTGGGAAACACTGTCCATGGTTAGATCCACCCCTCGGTCTCGTGCCCACTTGTAGGTGGCATCTCTGCCCTGATGACCTGAGGCATCTTGAGCCCATCGAGCCAGGAACAACTCCCCCTTATGGTGCCAATCTAAGTCTATCTTTGACACCTCTATTTTTGCTGCCTGATCTACCTGCTCGTTGTTTCGGTGCTCCTCATTAGCCCGACTTTTGGGGACATGGGCATCTACATAACAGGCTTTCACCGTTAGTTTTTCCACTCGAGAGGCAATGTCTTTCCATATATCAGCAGCACAGTTTGGTTTTCCTCTATGTTGCCAGTTGGCCTTCCTCCACCTTCCCAGCCAGCCCCACAGAGCATTGGCTACCATCCACAAATCGGTCTAAAGGTAGAGCTTCAGCCACTTCTCCTTTTCAGCAACGTCCAGAGCCAGCTGAACGGCCTTGAGCTCAGCGAGTTGGCTCGATCCACCTTCTCCTTCGGTAGCTTGTGTCGTGTGGGGCTCCGTACGGCTGCTTTCCACTTCTGGTTCATCCCTATGATGTGACAGGAACCATCAGTGAAAAGAGCATAGCGAGTTTCCTCTGCTGGTAGTTGGTTGTATGGTGGAGCTTCTTCAGCCCTTGTTGCTTGTACCTGCTCCTTGTCATCAGTAAGACCAAAGTTTTCACCTTCCGGCCAGTTTGTAATTATCTCCAAAATCCCAGGGCGATTCAGGTTTCCAATACGGGTGTGCTGAGTGATGAGGGCGTGATGGAGGTGGTGTACTGAGATGGCCCAAGATTTGCCAGACTCCACAGCATTTGTCCTGTGCACCTGACCTTGCCAGGGTCATTCTCATGCTGTCCATCCCTCCCAAAGAGTACCTGCAATACTGCCACTTCCCTCAGCTGTTGGATCCCTTCCTCAAGGGTCTTCCAGCACATTCTATGCTGGTGCTCCTGCATTCTCTCCCTGTGGACAAACCTTTGTCTGACACTCATTAAAAGCCACTCCCAGAGGGAAAGGGACCCTGGTTCCCTTACAAAAACCTGATTTATACCCGAGTCCTGGGTCAAGGGTCCCAAGTTCCTTGCCTCACCACCATCCACCTGCATGCCTGTACCCATAAGGTCCCAGACCCAGAGTAACCAGGTAGTATAAGCCTCATGCCCTCTTTGCACAATGTCTTTGTGCAGATTATAGAGGCTTTTGTACGTCAGGGACTCGGTGATGATCACAACCTCTGTCTCCCCTGTGGGTTGTGAGGTTCCTCCATTCCTATCCTGTCTGGGTGCTCTGCTTTCATCTCAGACCTCCTTGTTTCTACTGCTGCTGACCATGACTGCCCTTGTGGTTCAGCTGGAACCTGGACAGTTGTAACATTAGTGGGTTCCACAGCTGTGCTATTAGACTGTCCCTCCTCAAGGCAAAGGGCCGGTTTCTCACCAGCTGGGGAAATGCACTCCTTCAGCATCTCTCGTATCTCCTTAACCAGAACCCTCACCCAGTCTGGGTGGTTCCTTTCTGAGGTGGGCTGTGGGGCAGGGTCAGGCTCTGGAGCAGCATCTCCAGTCTCTGGTGTAGGTGTCAGGGTGGTTATCCAGTTAATCTTCCCTTATCTGAGTGCTAAATATAACAGGCCTATCAGCAACACCACCCATTGTATGGTATCATTAGCACTTAGAGTGGATCTTAACCCTTCAAATACTGGTGGAGCAGACCCAAAAAGATGGTTTAAAGGTTGGGAAAAAGGTTCCCCCGGTGTCATTTTCTCACAGTAGGTACCATTATTAAAGTAACCCCAAAAACATACAGTTAGTGTGTGATAGCTCTGAATCCATGTACCTGCCTTCCAGAGGATGAATTCCTCACCTTATTAACCCATAAGCCAGACTGGATAACAGCCACAGTAACCTTGGTTATAAGGACCCATGTTTAGATAAGGGCCTGCAAATGGGAGAAATACAGCCACAACCACGTGCCACCCAAACAAGGGTAAACTAGACCACATGGTGACACTTAAAGATGTTTATATCAGCACACGCACAAAAAAATTAAATTACTTAAGAACTGTTAATCCTTTTTTCCTTCTCAATGCCCTCGAGCCCTATGTTGGGGGCCAAAATCTGTCTTGGTTTGAAAAGACAGGAGTCTGTGAAGGAAAGCAAGAGCCTCCTGTGAAATGGAAAAGGTAAACCCCCCTCCCTCTGAATTACCACAATTTCAAAATTAAAAATCTCACAGGCAAAGATATGGGAATGGGAATAACAGTTCTTTACTAGGAAAAAAACCCCTAAATTTAAATAAAATAATTAGTACAAACAAAACTACTGATAGAGTCAGCAACCTGACACCCTGAGGAGTCAGGGTGTTGGTAATAGTCTAGTTAAATGGTGGCTGCTCCTTCTGGAGGGGCAGATGAAATGCTGCTGGAGCAGGGATCTGTAGAAGGGTGGAGTTTTCTCTGAAGGTCTGGTAGTAGTTGGACCTGGTCTTCTTCTAGGAATCCAGCAGAGAAGAAAGCTGCTCCTCTAGGAATCCAGGGAAGAGCTGCTCTGGTGTCTTAAAAGGTGCTGATTTTATGCAGGTGGGGATGCTTGGCTCCTCCCTCTGGGTGGAGCAGCTCACAGTGGGATTATGTAACTTTACCAGTGATATAGTGAGTCATTCAATAGTCCATTAACAAAAGATACCTCCTTGGAGGGAGACATTGGTCTTGGAAGAGGTAAGAAAACTGTCCAACCTCCAACAGATGGTAAATAGAATACATGCTTATCTTACAAGACAGGATATTTTCTTACATTTTAGTCTTAGATTATTAAAAGTTCTTTTCTTACTGTATTGTCTTTTTTACAGATTTCTTAAAGGTAAAAACTCTCCAGTTCTGGACAGTGAGGACAAGGTTAAATACTACTGGCTTGCTGGAGGCAGAGAAGAAAACCCACCCTTTGATTTAATTTTGGCAAAATTTATACCTGGAATGAAGGTGTAAAATGTAAATATATGAAGTTTCTGTAAAGGATTTTAAACCCACTAATCTGCACTAATCTTTTTTTTCTTCCCCTCTCTTAAGGACCAAGGAAGAGATAAGTGATTTTGTAAAAAATAAGACAACGTACCTTTGTTCCTGGTTTTTAATGCTTATGATGTTGTGGTCTTCTACAGTGATAGGAACTCAGATCTGTAACCTGGTGGTAGCACTGAAGCAATTTCTTCCTTTATCTACAGAAGAAAATGCCCGAGGTGATAAATGTTCTCTAGCCCTGACTGCAGGTGCCCTAAACTGGAGGCTCTTACATAAAATCCCAATTCCCTGTTCTCAAGAAGCCCTTTGCTAACATTCCTGTTTATTAAAGAAACTGGGCTAAAGACAACAATAAATCAACCTAAAGCGAAAAGTGAATTACATTTTGATCCAATGACACAGATGTATTAAGAAATTAAGAGGCAGCATCACCAAATTCATTATTACTGCAATGCTCTCCATGCAGACCAATGAATAAATGTTGAATATGTGCATCTCAAAGATTCATCTTGGACCCTCTCTTGAAGTCTCCTTTGTACAAACCCAGCAAGGAGACCCTGGGGTGGTTTTATTGTTCTACCTTCCAGATACTGCAGAAAGTGACCTGACAATCTGCAGTGCTGCAAATTATTAAGATGGAAATTGTTCTGGAATGTTCCCAGGCATCCTCTCAACCTTTTTTTTGCCTCTTCTAATTGAATAAAGTCATGCTCTGTAATTTAATGGCCTTAAAACCCACTTGGTAAGGCCTGCAGTGAATGCTTATGTGACATCAAGGAGTGTTCCTCAGTCACAATGGTGCTAATTTCATTTATGCTTTAAAAAAGGAGAGAAAAAAAAAAAAAAAGGATGGATGAAAGCACATTATTTTTTTGCCTGCCTTGGTGCTTTATTTCTGATTTGAGAACTGATTTTGGCTGTGCAAGAGGGATGGGGCTTTGGCAGGAATTAATGCCAGGAGAGGTGAGAGCCCCCAGGGGGACCTGGGGGCAGGAATGTTGGAGATTCTGAAAGCTGAAACCTCAGAATGTTTCCCTGCAAACCAATTTGCTGATTTGTGAACTTGTAATAATTTTCATTAATCAAAATGTAAAACTTCTACCTTCCCCCAAAACTGGACATTAAATTAATATGGAAACCTTTGCTTTAAACTGTGCTTGCAAGGAAGTGCAGCTGCCAGAGCTGAGCCCTCATTTCCTTTTTTAAAGACGCTCTCTGATTAAAAAAACCACAGAAAAAAATATCATGTACTAATCAGCCCTCATAAATTTTAATGGGAGGATGGTGACAAAAAAGGAATTGGAATAGTAAATTTCCCCTAATCAAGTTAAATGCCCTGAACGTGTTTTCATCTGAGTGAAAGCTTTACTTGGAACAGAGCTGGATTATATATTTTAAAGATCTCTTAGCTCTCTCTGCTAAGGAAAGAGAATTCCAGAACCCAGTTTGCCCCTTCAGAAAACACAAGTTTTTTAATACACACCACACTGAAATTGGAGCCTGAAAGGATGGTCCATCTTTTACTGAAATAAGGAAGTTTGAGCAAAGCTAAAATTATCCTAAGGGAGGGAAAGATTTTTCACATAGATCCAAAGGCTTTAGGAGAGTGAAAAGAAGAAGCCTAGTTTTGTGCAACTGATAAAACAGAAGGATTCCAAGTAGGAATTCTGGCATTTCCAGGTCAAAGTGGATTTTGTGGAGAAGCCAGCAACCCTCACTTGGAATATGCTTTCATCCGAGTGCCAAATCTCTGAAAATTTTGCCTATTTTGATGGAGAAGACAGATAAGACATGGATTACCCTGTGAATATTCTGTAACTCACCAGGGTGCTGTTAAAACATATTTTTTACTAATTCCCTGCTGGAAAAATGAGACATGAAGTGCAGGAATATGAAAATGATCTCTTGCCTTGAGAAGCTGAATGAGAGGGAAGAGCAGCTCTGTCTTCAGTGCTGAGAGAATGAAGAGCAGCTGCTCAGAATACCATTCAGAGGCAGGAAAAAAAGGGAAAATAGTAATTTCTGCCCAATTCTGCAGTTCCAGACTGCAGCAGTTAATGGTGCTGCTGGTGCCCAGCAGGAGAGGAGGCTGCCAAGGGAGAAGGAATTCTCCTTAGAGCTGAATAAAAACACTGGGACTGCTCCCATAAAACAAATTAGGTACAAATAGCCCAATAAAAGCTTAGGACTCTTGAATCAGATAAATCCAGTATTTAGGCTCTCCTCCTAACGAGTGAAATGCTCCTTCCCTTCCCTGGAGCTCCTTGCAAGGTTTGTTTAGGTAGTAAATCACTCGGTGGCTGAGCTGGGTTTCCTCTCTGAGAGCTCTGGGGCTGTTCTACAACCTCCCCCTGACTAAAATGCCCTGACTGGCACCTTCCTACAATGCAGATTTTTGGGGTAGTTTGGGAGCAGAGTTGTCCCACGGAGTCATGTCCACTCTCAGTGGCACTTCATGGTCACTTCAGGGTGGCCCCCACCGATTCCTTCCTGGGAGCAGACAGAAAAAGGGATTTATTTCATGAGAGGCCTGGAGCATCCTGGTTCTTGGAATCTGGGGGAATTACTCCCTCCAAATGCTTTCACACACGGGACAATGCAACAGCCCAATTAAGTATTCAATATTTTTTAGGCTCTGTAGGCAAATGGTTCCTTTTCAATCTCAAAGGAGACCTCTCCATGCTTTATGTGACATTTTGTCATTCAGGGGTGACTTTAAGCACTGTTCCACTTATTCAGTTCCTCTGCAACCTGCAAGGTGGATTTTCACCATGAACTGATGCCCTCTGTTAAATGCAATCTGAGTAGCTCTTTGCTGTTCATCTATTCCTACTGAAATGCCAGAATTTGGATTTTTAGAATGATAGTTTAAACCTCTGTCTGTGCTCTGGGATCTCCTGGGACAGCCCCAGAGATGTTAATGAGGGATGAATTGCAGGGAAAGTCAAAAAAACACCACTGAGGGTTTGAAGAGAACACCTTTTGCACAAAAAGGATGTTTTGTATAAACTCTAAATGCAAAATCTGGAGAGTACAACTCCCGTGACTCACTGATTGTGATTGTCAAAGGCACACAGGCAGTGCAGGTGGGCTGAGAGCAAGCACAGACCAGGTCACATTAAACCAGCCTCATTTTCCTAAGGTAGCAGGTTCAGAATATCTTTACATGAACACAAAATTCCTGACACCTCAATGGAGAATTAAAACTAAAAGACCCTCTAGTGATGAGTTCAGTTCCTAGGAAAAGGTTTATAAGCAACAACATAAAAATGATCTTCATTGTGGACAAGATCTTGGTAAAGAAACTCCAGTTCTTTACCCTTGGATTGCCACAGAACAGTAATATTATTTTTTCCCCAGTGTTGAGAAGCTTTTCTTGATTAAATATTCAAGTTCTTTGCAGAGATGATATCCCTTTTTCTACTCACCAGTAAATATCTCCTGTCTGTGGCTGATGTTCCTGGAGAAGTTCAATGATAATTAACAATTAGATGTTGTGTACAGAGGTACTCAGCAATGCTGACCAACACTCCAGAATCTCATGAATTATTCCTAGGAAATGAATGTACAACAACATCAGAATTCCTGAGGGCACTGCAGCCACAGTCATTAGTGTTCATTACTGCTCAGGGCTGAGTGTTGTCCCCACTTCTGTGTCCTCTGCTTTATGAACACCTAATTAAATATTTAATTGTGGTAAGGACTCCTAATTGCTACTAAAGCAGCAGCACATCCCAGCTTGACCAGAATTCCCAGTTTTTACCTTGCCAAGGCACTGTAATGCTCAGATTGTATCAAAATACAATTTTGCTGTTTTGGAAAATGAGGATTCTCTCAGGGTTGAATCTCATGCTTGTGAGACAGGGGACAGCTGGTCTTGAGTTAGTGAAGAGCAGATCAAGAACAGAATCAAATATAAACTTGGAGCTGAAATATTACAGGAAAAACGTTTTAAGGAAGCCTGGCAGCAAGAGCAAGAACTGCTCAGTGTTTCCATGCTGTGTCACCTGGAGCAGGCTGCACTATTTACAGAAGTTCCAGTTTCTGCTGGGAATGTTCAGAACACACAAAATCCCAAGAGTCTGAAGGAGCAGCCAGCCAAAATACACCAATATGGGCAGAGCTTTGGGGTTAAACGTGGTATTTATGTTTCCATTAGATAAACACATGATCTAGCAGTTCCAATTCTTTATCTAGAGTTTGTTTTCAAATCCAAAATGCAAAGAGAAAATAAAATCCATCTGTCCTGCCTCTGTCTTTGTAAACTCCACAGGTCACTCAGCTGACAGGGGTCTGATTGAAAATGAGGGACAGTATGTAAATAAATTAAATTTTGTATAAATAAGCTAAATTATCAGTGCTGAACTGCAGACATCAGGGTCTTCTCAGACCTTCATCTGTGTTTATTCGTGTTCACTATCTCGTGCTTGTCCAAATCTTTAGACATACAAGGCAAAACCCTTTGTAACTTGGACTGAAGGGTTTATATTTTAGATAATTTCTATCACTGGGAAAGATTTTTTTTATGTCCCTCTGATGCTGAATTAAAAATAGAATAATGAGACATTGCATGGAAGACAGATTCTATATTTGTCGTTGAAGCATTTCCCCAGCACACTAAAAAACAACATTTATTACCTACCAGAGCACAATCACGTTCTGCAGAGATCCTGCAAAGTCCTGGACACCACCAGGGAAACCAAAGATTGTCCCAAGGAGAGGTCACCTGCACCTTGACGTGGCTTTTCAGGGTGAATGAACCAGCCTAGAAAAAAATCAGAGAGGGATTTATAGCAAATGTATCACTCTTGCATTTAAAAAATATAAAATAAATCTTACTGCACGGTCTTTTCTTAAATCAGCAGGAACTGAGGGGGTTCCCAGCCTGCTCCAGAGCAGGATCCATCCCTGTCCTCACCCTGTGACAGGACAAAGCCACGAGAGGGTGCCCTGATGTGCCCAGGCTGCTGCTTTCTGCTCCCAAGCACCCTGAGCAAATTCCAGCCGAGCACCAAAGGGTTTCCTCTGGGCTGTCCAAGATGACACAATTCACTTTTATCCTGGATATTGCCACAGATCCTGTAGGATCTCTTGTTTTCTGCGTGGCCCCAAAAGCAAAGGGGACACGCAGAAAACTCCCCAGGCACATCTGTGTATGCCAAGGGCTGCACCAACAAATCCCTGCACACAGGTAAAAATCAGGATTTTACCACACTGGGACAAAAGGGACAGAATAACTTTTATTTCTTGCCTATTTTCTATGAGCAAGCCAGGAGCTCTGGCTGCAGCCTGCAGTCCTCTACCATACAGGGAGAGCACATCCAGCAGGGAGCACCAAGCAGGAATGTTTTATTTGTCACTGCTTAGGCATGGTTGGAAAATCCCCAGCACGGGGTGTTTACGCTGCCAGTGTTTTCACCTCTGTCTCCAGGCAATGGACGTAAACCCTCCCCTCTTCCCTCCAGCAGCATCAAACAGCTCCAGCAAGCAGAGCATCTCCCAACCCATCAGGCTGCACAGCCACGGGCACAGCTCAGATCCCAAATAAAAACCAACCTGTGCTCCACAAGGAGACAAGCAGCCCTTTCCCTGGAATTCTCTATATATAGCTTTGGAGAATTCGTGTCCTTTGCAGCAGTAAGGGCAATTTTTAGAACAAAACATCACATATCTACTTATATGTGGATCGTTTCCTATTATTTATTTTATTCCAGCCATCCTCGGGGACGGATCCTGTAACCAGTTTAGCAGCAGAAAAATCATTATTCACCAATCTGACAGCAGAAAAGGAGCAGCACAGCTGGCAAATTCCCTCCCTGTGACCCGTGAGAGTGGAACAGTTCAGCACAGCCCAGTTAGCTGAATTTTTTCCCACTCTTTTTCCAGATTCCATGATTCCTTCCAATTTAGTTGCTGCAGAGGTAAAGCACTGTAAGCTTGGGATGAACAAAAGCAAATGGCCCTGGCACTCTGCAGATTCATTCTTGTCCTAATGGATGAAGGTTTTCATGCAGAGGATTCCAAAATAGCAGAATTTCTTTTCTGTAATGATCGAGTCCCTGACTTTAGTGTTGGAGATGTGAAGAGCAACAAAACCAACACTGTCAGCTGGGGATGGCTCTTCTGCCCAGTGAAATAGAGACATGGTTCTCTTTGCCCAGAAAATCTAAATTTTCCAAGGATTCTTAGAAAATAATGCAACAAACCCCATGGGCACTTTCCAGCTACCTCCAGCTCTCCTCTCTGTGTGTGTTTAACATTTGACAACCATTCTCACAGACCACAAATGCTGTAACAATCCACATGCCACAAATCTCAGCTGAAAAGAAAACCAAAAAGTATTATGACAAAAGAAGAAGCAAGGAAACCCCCTTTGCAATCAGATCTAGTATCAGTTCTGTTCCACCCCAAGGCAGCCACAGCCACATTTTCTGAGCCTTTGCCCGCTCCTGTCTGGCCCAAGTCTGGGGCTTTTTTTTTTTTTTTTTTGTGCTGCAGAAACAGATGTGAGGTTGCAAAGTCCAAGTTTTCTTTTAATTTTTCCCCCCCCCCCCGAACCCATTTTAATTTTTGTTTTAATCCCAGAGCAAGAAATGAAATTTCTTGAGTACATCAAAGCCCAAAAAGCGAGAGGCAGCCCCAGGAAGAGTCCAGCTGCAAACTCCACCAGCTGCAGCCCTTCAGCCCCAGCCCTGGGCAGCTCCTGGGACTTGCAGAAAGCATCTGGACTTTGTCGGGGCCCTGGGGCTGTCACGTTTCAAAGGCTCCCTCTGCGAGCTCCAGAGGCAATGGAAAATATGTTCAGTCGCAAGAGGGGTCACAGGGAGATGGAGAGAGAGGAATCAGCTCGTGGATACAGCTCCCTGTGCTGGCTCCAGCTTCAGAGCAGCCTTTGGAAAAACAGGGAGGGGGAAACTCCCCAAAATGTGCAGCTGAAGAACGAGGAAGGTTTGATTCCACCTCTGCCCCTGAGGAAAATAGGGAGTTGGGAAGCACACAGAGCAGAGATGGAGTTTCTTCTAGGGAAATTGCAGAGAGGTGAAGTGGGGAGTGCTCAGAGCCTTCTACAGGGAGCAAGGAGCAGGCAAAGTGTGCTGGGGTGAAGGAGGGGTTGGATGCCCCAGGTTCATCTCTCAGCTGCCAGCAGCCAAGGAACTCTGGCCAAAGCACATCCAGAGGGTTTGAGCAGCCCTAGAGCTGCACTGGGAGCTGCTGGTGCCTTTCCATGGTAGGGCTGGGCCCCCAGAGTCTGTGCTTCAGGCAGAGGAAGGAAACTGCAGCTGTGCCTCCACTGCCATTTGGGAGAGGTTTTTTTGTTTAGAGCCCTGCAAAACCTCCCCCTGTGCACAGGAAAGGTTCTCAGTGGGGTTTACCTGTCAGGGGGAGAAGGGAGAGGACAGCTCACCCGTTGAGAAGTTCTTGTGGAAATGACTGAAGGGTTTCCTGACAAAACATTATCACCTGTTAAGAGTGGTCCCCAAAATTCTCTGGGGCCTCTTAACCATCATCCTTCATCCATGAGACTGCTGGGCTGGGGTATGAGTGGAAAGCTCTGGGGATGCCAAAGCCCTGCCTCACAGCAGAACGTTATTGAGGCAGATCAAAAGATAAACAAGCACTGCCAAGCTTAAAAAGAGAAGCAGGTTCAGGGAAGGGCTGAAGAGGAAGGTGATGCTGAAAGCTCTCAGTGCCCACAGCTTCCCCAAACTACCAGCAAGGTTATTTACTGAGACTCCAGACAGGGATGGCAGATGTGATCCTGCATTTCTTTACAATTTCCAAGTGTCCCTGCCACAGCAAAGCACCAAGCACAGCGATAGATTTATCATGGGCCAGATGAGCCCTCCATGCAATCTGAGCACCTTGCCAGATCTTGGGAACACTTAGGACAAAGCCATAGATGGAAAAAGCAGCTGAAGGCTTCACAAAGCAAGAAAACAACAGAAGGTGGAGCAGGAAAATCAGTTCCCCCTCAGAGTCCCAGAGCAGTGAGGCTGGAGGGGGAATTGCCCAGCATGGGGAGAAGAACCCATTGAAGTGCAGGGAATAATTTTAAAACAAAATTTTTACTGCCTATCACATGCATGCAGTGAGGATTAAGATTATGGTCTCCAAAGTAAAACCACCGAGGCTCACTCTGAGAGTGGAATTGAGACAGATCTCGGGTTGCAGGGTTTATCTCACCCAAGGGAAAGTGCTGCCAGCCCCTGTGGTCTGCAGCTTTCCTGGGATGCTCACCAGCCTTTCCCTGGCCTGGAAGGTGCATCCAGGGCAGCACCAAAAGACACTTTACCTGCATAAACTGACACGAGGCCATGGAAAACAAGAGTTAACTCCCACTGCAGTGATCAGGAATCTGGTAAGAACTGACAGTCCATGCTGATAACACCTTCTCTCCCTCGCTGAGAAAGGCAAAAGCTCTAAGAGTGCATCCCAAAACGAACATTTTCAATTAAGTACACTCACTGTATTGCTTACAGAAATTTTACATGTTATTACTGTGAAAAATGCATATTTATGACTGGCTTATCACAAATGTTACAATTAATATTATATGTTTAATGTTAGAAAGTTATGCTGTATTAATTCTCTTACGTACTGTGTTAAGTGTAGTCTTAGGTTACAACATAATGTTAAAATAGAGACTATGTATGGGGGAAGTTTTTTTTTTTAGGAATGAGATACTTGCTTTGAGGAACACCTAAATCTTCCAAAGGAGAGGAATTGATGGTTTCTTATCAGAAGAAGTGAATTTCTTCAGGCCTTGCTCAGACTCAAAGACACCAGGGGCTGAAAGGAAACAGCTGACATACAATAGACAGTTTCTTGTTTAGAATAGAATGTATGCATAACCATAAAGGATATATGAATATGCAATAATTGGTTTAAGGGTGATTCCTTTGTTCACAAAAGATGCTTTTCATGACTTAGTGTCCGAGAGGATCCGGACATCTGTAATTCTTTGCTTTTTATTGTCTTGTAATTGTCCCAACTCTAAACTTTATTACTCTAATTGTATTATTCTTTTTATGACCATTTTATTATTATTAAACTTTTAAAATTTTAAAAGCCGAGTGACTGGCGTTTTTCACATTACCGTTAAATAGAGTGAAAAGTGAGACAGTTCATTTTTATCTCTTTCCCCACGGAGTTTACAACAGCTGCCCCTCCTGCCTGAAGCAGAGTACAAGTCACAAAAAGTAACCAGGTCCTTGCAGACATTTGCAGCAAGGCAGGATGCCCATGACAAGTAACAGGAAGCAAAAACCACACAAAAAGTGTCGGCCCATCAGTCTCTCAGGGGCCACGAGCAAGATTCTGCTGCTGTTTATTACAGACACAAAACAACCCGTGAAAAACAGAAGTCCCAGAAATCCACCAGCAAAGTTTCAGGTCCAGGAAATCCACATCACCTCCTGTGCTTTTAGTGCAAAGGATTTCGTTCTGGAGGGGTGAAATGGGGATCCTGATGTGGATTCACCACGGAGCCCTGCCACAGGGTGAGGGTTTGTGCACTCACATCTCATACCAGCACAGAAGAGAACTCCACCCTCAGCAACTTTCAGGGCTCTACAACACTCTTGATTCCAAAGCACTTCGGTGCAGTCCCTTGTGACAACAGAACAGGCTGGGCCATCCTCAGCCAGGTCATTCCATGAGCATTATCCATGAGCATTATCCATGAGCATTATCCATGAGCATTATCCATGAGCATTATCATCCCTGCACAGCTCAGAGAGCTCTGCCTTCCCCACTGCCCCAGGAGCTCGCTCCCACCACTGCATCTTTAGGCATAGTAATAAGAAAGTGTCAGGCAGAGAAAAGTCGAGTTAAAAAACAGTTTCTTCCGTTAAAGTGTGTGACAACACTGAAAGCCACGGGCTGAACCACAGTCCTCCACGAGATGCACTTTGCTGCTGACAATGCTTTCAGTTCTGCCAGCTGCTGGGGGAAGAGCAGCTCCTCTGAAGGTGGAGGCAGGCTCAGAAAAGCTGTCAAAGCTCTCTGGGCTGTCCCTGCAGGGACACCATCTCTGTGCCCGGTGGCTGGGGCTGCAGCAGGGCCAGCTCCTCTGGGGCAGCTGCTCGGGGTGCTTTCTGTGCTGGCCGTCTCCAGGAGCTGGTGTCTGCAGCAGGGACACGGGAGCAGCCCCTCGTCAGCAGGAAGCTGACAAAGGGACCCAGCTTTAGAAGGGTGAAGGCTCAGGGGACACCCAGCACCCACCACTGAATGTTTTAAGCACTGCGACCTCCCCAAGTGCTGGAAAACTGGCACCCAGGAGGAATCTACACTAGAGGTTGTGTCCAAATCCACTCCTGAGCTCCTGCCCAGGCTGAACAGGGTAACTGCTCTGATTTCCACAGAGTTCCTTCCCAGCTCTACCGAGGGAAGCAAACAAAGATCTCAGGCAGAATCTGACAGCATTGCCAGAGTTAATGCCCAAATTCAGGCTCTAAAAGCCCTGTGATTTTAACAGCTGCAGGATCAACGAGCCTAAATTTTACCCTTCCTAGGAAAAGCATCACATATTTGGGCTACTGAGTCAAAAATAAAATCAGCCCTCCTTTTCCTCAGCAGCGTTTCCTGCCCGTTTCTCCCAGAGCTGAATAGGAATGGCATCTCCTTCATCCTCAGTTTGTTGCCAAACTCTGGCCAGCTCCAGACCTACACTAAATCTTTATTTTCTCAGCTCACAAGTGATGCTGCTGTGGGGAAGCAATTTTAAGTTGGCCTGCCTGGAATGCCAAAGACATAACATGCCAAGAGCAGTTTGCTGAGCAGGAAGCTAAAAGGATAGTTCAGACCTTTCTTCATGATTTAATTTACCTTCTGGATTTATTTCTGAATCACTGGTGTTTCCAGGTTCTTCCTTCAGAACTCCCACATCCTTTGCCCAATCTGCCCATTTAATTTCCTCTACTCTGGAGAGACAAAATGCAACAAGACACTGATGTCTGGAATGCAGCATCTCAAGCCAGATCTCACTGTTCTGCAGCCTCCCAGCCCAGCTCATCCTGCCAACACCACCCTGGATGGTTTGGCTGTAGCAGCAGCACCCCGAAGAGCTTTTTTTATTTTTTTGAGCAAAAATCTTCTTTAATCAAAGCTCCATGAGGTAAAATATCTTCTCCCCCTGCATATTGTCCACTGGTCTGTTTGGTTTCAAATTCTCAAGGTGGCAATGCTGGAGGATCAATTAATTCTCAAACCTCCAGCCTGGCAATCACCAACAAATTTGGATGTAGCCAGGAGTGTGTGGTTGAGTCAGTGCTGAATTTCCCTGTGGTGCTCCAGGGTTCCCAGGCTGGGACCCCACTGGGGGCTGGAGTGTGAGGGGGGAATGGTGCCTCTGTCTTACCTGAAACACCACCTCTCATCTTTCTTATTGAGCCCCACTGACATGAAGCAGCCAGATCTCCTCTTCCCACCCTGGCGCCACAGCCAGGCCTTCTCTATTTCTAGAATAGCAATTGCCCTCTGAAAGAACAAAACCCACGTCAAGAGAGAAACCAGGGCACAGACAGAGCCCAGCCCAGCCTTTCCATTGAATCTCCCCCACTCAGAAACTCCTTGCACTTGGAGAATCCCCAAAGTGCTCCTGAAGCAGCCTCGGCTCACCTGTGCACGTGGATCGTGCAGAGAGCTGTAAATACACCTAAAATGTACCTAAAATTTAGGTGTAAATACACCTAAAAATGCACTCCCAGGGTGACAACTTTATATAAAAGAAGCATTACTAGCTGAGCTTAGGAGAGATAAGCACCTCTGCCTCTGAGCCCCAGCAGGGCTTTGGGCCTCACCTGCAGCTTCCAGACGCTCTTGCTGTAGCCAGAAATATCCGTGACGGTCTCGCTCATGAGGGCGATCAGCATGTTCAGCAGCAGGATGTAGGTGAGGATCACAAACAGCAGCAGCAGCAGCATGACAAAGTACCTGAACCTGGCGTGCTCCTGGAAATCCAGGTCCCCCATGCCGATGGTGATCTTGAAGAGCTCCAGGGAGACGCTGAGCAGCCCCCCGTACATGGCGTGGCTTCCTGAGCTCTCCAGGTGAGCCAGGGACTTGTTCTGAGACACCGAGGGGGCATCGCCCATCAGCGTCACCAGAGCTGGCAGAAAAACACAAGCTGAGTCCTCAGGAAATGCTTTGAGCAGCTCAGCCCACGCAGAAGCCAGAGAGGGCTCACCTGCAGCAAAGCCGAAGAGGAAGATCATGTAAACCAGGAGGAAACGCAGCAGGTCTCTCATGATGGTCTGAAACACAAACCAGGGGAAGTGCTGTCCTTCATCTCACGTGAAATGGCCAGGACGATCCCACACATCACAAACCAGCCCTTAGGAACACTGACAGCAAGGTTGCCACCTTTTATCCAGTTTAAAAAACTGCTAATATGTGTTAATTACTTCCACAGGTAAATAATATCATTGGCAGCCTAATCTGACTCTGTTGCTCTGCTAGTATGAGTAGTTCTTTGAAACAAATAAATATCCTGCTGGGTCCCCACTATGGCTGTTTCCAAATTGTTTCACCACACACCCCCCCTCTCCTTTCCACAAATGGTGACCAGAATTTTTCCCTGGCACCTCATTTCACCCCTGCTTTGCCTCTCCAGTCCCAGGTGCCTCTGTAGCTCTGGAAACACTTCTCAGGCCGAGCTGAGCAGCTGGAGGGAGCCCACACTGGTTCCAGAGCTGTTTGGAGCTGCTTTATTGGCACTCGGGTGTCAGCTGGGATGCTCAGTGGTGCCAAATGAGCGATTTGCTGCAGCTGCCGATGAAGACACTGACCTAACCTCTTCCTGCAGCACCTGTGCTTCCACAGGACATCACTCCCAGCTCCTCAGAGCCCAGAGCCTTTCCCTGCAGGGGTTTTTCCCCAGCTCTGACCTTCTGGATCATGACGCTGTAGATGCCGGTGCGCTGGAAGCCGCGGGTGTAGTAGAGGGTGTTGACCCAGCCCAGCAGCAGGGAGAACACCATCACTGCCACGTAGTTCTCCGAGCTGGCTCCGTACAGGACCGCTGAGAGCAGCAGGGAGAACGCCTGGATGAAGCTGGAGAAGAAATAAAAGGGAGTGGCAGCAATTCACTTCAGTGAAAAGAGCCCCTGCAGAACTGCTCTGCCATCAAAACGTTGGGGGAGGCGGAGGGGAGCCCACCCAGCAAAGCCCACTGCAGCAAGAAAAGGCTCAGGACAAGAAGCAGCAGCAGTGGTGGGAAGAGAGGGGCAGAGGATGTGTTTCTCCTGCTTTCCAGCTCCGTGGCAATGCTGGGGGAACTCAGCTGCACAAAGAACCAGCTCCCAGCCGTGGCCCAGAGCCCCGGGACGTACATCAGGATCTCGATGCAGCTGTCAGAGCACATGGTCTTCAGGGACTGGCGCCTCCTCCGCAGGTACAGGCTCTGGGGAGCAAAATCAATTCACCATTCATCAGAACCAGGCCATGTGAGAGCCAGCCCTGCCCTGCCCCAGGCAAAGCTTTGCTCCATGTGCTCCTCCTTTCATCTCCAAGATCCCCAACTTCATCCCTCCCAGATGAAAAAAGCCCTTATTTATAAAGGGCAAGGATAAACAAGGGCTGAATCATGGCTCAGCCCGATGTCTTTATTAATAGCCTGCATTAAATGCCAGGGATGCATTTTAATGCCATAAATCACAGAAGTCTCTCAGAATTATTTGCTGTTGTGGAACTGTGATCCCCCTTGCCCAGCAACCTGGCTTGTGCTGGGCCTGCCACTGCCAGATCACAGGGAGTGTCTCAGAGCAGGATTCCCTCCTGCACATCCTGATGCCAGGAGAACAGATCCTGCTGCTCCATGCCAGTGATTGTTCCCTTTTTTCCCCCTGTCTTACCATGAAAGCAGACAAGAGATCCCCCTACCTGAGCAAAGATCAGATAAATGCCTCCTAACAAGATAATGATCAGTCCAGAGACCCAGAGGAAGCCTCCAGCTGTGAACTCCACCGGGAAGGAAGGCTGCAAGACAAAACCAAAACCACCCAGAGCAGTGGAGATGGGCAGAGGCAGCGATGCCAACTTTTAAACTCTGCTCCATCCCTCCAGACAAAACTACTGGACCTACCTTTACCCTTAAGGGCTGATAGTATGCAATGGCTGTGAAGATGATCATGAATGACAGGTAGGAGACAAAGCTGAAGTAGAATCTCTTGGAAGCAAACGTTTCCCACTTTTGCTGAAGCAGTTTGTTCAGTGGCTCCAAAACCACCATCTTGTAGCGGTTCTGTGGGGAAACAAGCAACCAAAATGCCAACAGGAATGGGAATTCACCAGAGGATGGTCTTTTTAAGGGCTGGAGCTACATGGATTCAACTGGGGAGTCGTTATGGGGTTATTCAGTCAGGTCTTTTAGTGTGAAAGATAACAAATATTGCCTAGAAGTCACTTCATCGAGGTATTTGAGCAAACCGAGGCTTAAGACAACAAAGGATCAAAATTTCTCACAGCCTCCAAATAACAAAATACCAAAATCTGCAAACATTCCCACGAATCACTCCTTTTTTTTCAGAGAAACCATCACCTGGGAGCCCACATTAACTTGAAGTGCAACACTTAGACAGCAACCCTGTAAACAGAGGAGAGAAAAAGCCTGTCTTTGAGCTGTGGCGAGAGCCTCACCGGGGTGTCACTGCTGTAGGCCAGGATCTCCAGCACGGAGTTCTCCTCAAAGCTGTCCAGGGAGGACAGGTCGTAGAGGGACACGTGGATGGGGCCGTAGGTCCACTCGGTGAACTTGCGGGACAGGTGCCGGTACGGGGGGTCCTTGATCTCCCTCTGGATGATGTGCCTGAAGATCTGACACAAACAGGGCCATGCTCCTGTGCTGCACGTGCAGGGGGACACCCAGAGCAGCACACAGCTGGATTTGTGCCTCATCCAGCGCCTGGATCTGGCTAAAAGCAGGGAAACGACCACAACTGTGGGAACTCAAAATGTCTCTCAGACATTTTTAGGGGTTCCAGGCCTTGGTCAGAAGCATTTTAGACCCTGGCAGGCAGCTGCAAACAGCTGTGATTTTGAGTTTGAGCCATGGAATGAGTTACCAACTTTGGAGGTGGAACAAACAGTCACAAAAGGTTAGATAGCATAGTAAAAGTAGTTACAAAACAGAGGGGAAATTTTTTTAGTATTGTACAGGGGGGTTTTAACACTTGTACAGGGGGGTTTTACTTTGTACATGGGGGTCAGAAGTTCTAAGATGGAGGAAAGTGAGCTGATCCTGTTCTTCCTCCTTCTTCCTTGCCTCCATGTTCTTGGTGATGTTGGCACTCACAGATTGGTTTAGAGTAGAAAAGCACTTTGTAATACAGGTAGTAGGTATTGGGGGAAAACTATAAACATGTAATACGTAATATATCATATAAAAGATAGCAGCAGCCCTGGGTGGGGAGAGAGAAGAAGAAGACAGCAGACAGAGAGGATCTCAGGGTGTGTGTGTGTCTCTGTCCAGGCTGCTGACCAAGCAGCCACAGCCTGAGAAGAAAATCTTTTAGATAACTCACAATAAACTGCCTTGAGACCAAACAGCAAGAGCCTGCACAGTTTTTCTTTGGAATCACGGCTTGGAGGAGGAATTTCACCACCTTTTGAGACCCCAGAGCAAGGCTGGGGCTCTCACACACAACAATCTGGCTGCCCCAGGAGCGGGACCAGTTTCAGCCCAGGGAGCAGGGACAGGGCAGGGACAGCAGCCAGCTGAGGCTCTGCAGGACACAGCTGGGTGGCTTTGTGGCACTGCCCCTGCCAGCAGCATCAGCATGGGTTGGGTGCAAGAAGCTCCAACCCCAAACCCCACAGGACACCAGCCAAGGGTGCAAATGACACCGTCCCTGCTCCTCAGCACCCCCAGGGCTGCCCTCTGGCTGTCCCTACCTCCACCTTGCCTGTCTTGGCAGCAAGCTGCAGGGGATTTAAGCCATCATAATTGACAATCTCCTCCAGTTTGCACGTGGGGTCGAGCTTCACGCCCGCCTTCAGGATCTCCACGTAGGTGGTGCTCACAAACTTGGTGTTCTCCTCGGTGTCATCTGCAATCATCACCAGGGCGTGCAGGACGGTGTTGCCCTGGGTGTCCTGCTCCTGCAGCCTGGCTTTCTGGTGGGGGTTGTTCAAAAGATAATCCACCACATCCAGCTGGTTGGTGCAGGCAGCCAAGGAGAGGGGAAGTTCACCTGAGGAGATCAGGACACAGCATTTGGAGAGGAAGCAGAAAGGGGTGAAAGAGGATTAAAGAAAGGGTGGGAAAAGCAATCCTAGAAAAGTATGTTTAGCCCAGAGTTTTATCCCTGAAGCACAGAACATGTTCAGTGTCTCTGGACTGTGAAAGGGGTTTGCAATAAACAATTACTCTGTTTCTGGAGCAGCTGAAACACCTTCCCACATCTCAAACTGGTCTCTCAGATCTGAACTAGCCAAGTCTTTGTCTGAAGCCACTCAGGATTAAAAACATAAACCCAAAGATGATGGAAATGCACAGTGAACACCCCAGATATGAAAGGATTCTGCCATTTAAATAAGTCAAGGACTTCATTAAAGGGCACTGAAGGTGGCAACAGAGGGGCAAACCCATCTAGAAGTAGTGGTATCACATACAGCATGGCAATAAGAACCCCAAAGGAACATGTTCCACAGTGACTCACCAAAATAAAAGTAAACTCCTTCTTTCTTCTTCCTGAAGAACTCCCCGTGGGCTCTGGCGTGGACATCAGCTCCGTTCTCCACCAGCAGTTTCACCATCTCCAGGCTCCTTTTCTCGATGGCGATGTGCAGGGCGGTCTGGCCTGGGGGCAGAGCAGACCTGGCACTGTGTGCCACTGCCAGGGCACAGCAGGGCCGGGGTGGGCAGGGCTGGCTGGCAGCTGGGGGCTTTCAGCAAGCCTCAAACCCATCAGAAATCCACCAGCAGGGCAGGCAATTCCCCCGCCTGGCACCAAGAGCCCACGAGAGGGCTGAGACAAGCGCGCCGCCAAGCAGAGCTCCTTGACCAGCCACAGGCCACTTCGTTTTTACAAGTGCTTTTTATACTTTCCCAAGTAAATCATCTCGCTTCTTGGGTTATTAAGCATGTGTCATTTCTGTTTTACAGACCAAGGAGGGTATAACTCAAGGCTGGAGGAGATGCAGGAGCAGAATCAGAAAGAAGAGCTCCAGTTCCCCTCTTTTTCCTTTTTCCTGCTCATCTCTCAGGAATCCTTCCTCACCTCTGTAGAAGCAGTCAGAGCACGACACGTTGACAAGTGGCCTGGGGTTCTGTGTCTTTTGGTCTATTTCCAGCAAGACTGGGATTGTGTCATTCTTCCCATTTTTTAAGTTCAGCAGGGCTTTCATTAAGCAGGTCTTCCCAGTCTTTGCATCTGGCAGGGAGAGAGGATTTGAATGGGATGTGGGTGTGCTTTGTACACAGCCGTAGTCCTTGATTCAAACATCATCATTTCAAAAAACCTTTAAAGGTTCTTTAAAAGTTCTTTAAAGGTTCTTGTTGGTATAAGAACCTTTATACCAATAAAGGTATAAAGTTTCTTATCAGTATTTTAAAATACTGGTAAGTATTTAAAGGTTTAAATACTTTAAAGGTTTAAAGTATTTTTCTTTTTTTTTTTTTTTCATTTTAAAGGTTCTTATCAGTATTTTTAGTAGTCCTGAGGAAAAAACCTTAGGATATATTTAATTAAGGTATTTATTAATTAAATATATCCACCATTCTCCACGTAAGGAAAATCAAAGAAGACAGAGGGTTGGAAAAAGCAAAGAACCACGAGCACATCCCCTTGCTCCCCCCGGGAATAACAAACCATTCCAGGAGCAGGAATTTACCTGTGTACTCGGAATTGGTGAGGAATTTGGAGTTCCTCCTTAAGTACTCCAGCAAACCATCCAGAGCCTCGGGGCTGCCCCTGACCACGGCGCTGAACAGCCGGTCCCTGTCAAAGCGATTCGGCTCCTTCTGGCTGCGGGACAAAGGCAGCGTCAGGAATTCTGGAGAAGGGAAGCTCTGGAGGGACAGCAAGGTGCCAGAGCTCTAGTGGGACAGTGGAAGGAAGGAGGGAGATGGAGGAGAGTTTGTTGAGGGGGAAAAAAAAAAAAAAACAACAAAACACTCAAATGTTTTCTTTTTGAGTCAAAGGAAAAATAGAGACAGTTATTTCCCAGAATTCTGCTAAGTGGCTGCTCTCTCCATCAGCTGGAGCTGTTCCCAGCCCCGGCCTGATGTGCAGCCCTGGCAGGGATCCAGAGCAGAGAGAGGAGCCCAGGATGGCTGCAGGACCAGAGTCAGGCCCATCCCTGGTGGGATTTAGTGGAGACTCTTTTAGTGGAGGCTTGGGAAAATCCGTGGGCTCCCACCAGCCAGGATCACTGTGGATCACCTGGATCAACCCAAATTGGTCAAATACCCCCAAGTCACTCACTTGCTGACGAGTCCTGGCCGATAATTCAGATTAACCTTGATTTTAGGAGCAAAGTCACTGCTCTCCTTCTGATAAGGTGTCTCCAAGGGTTGTGGCTCTCCTTTCCTTCCATGTCCTGACCTTTCTTCTTTTTTACTCGGGGCAGGTTTATCTTCCTGGATGCTGTCATCTGTTTCCAGCAATCCTATGAGCCTGTTCCTCTGAGCTGGGCCTGGCTGCCCGTTTGTGAACTTATCCATGGCCAGGAGAGATGGTCCTGCAGATCAGCAAAGATGTTCCCTGTGGGGGCACTAAACCTGCAAGGGATGGGGAGAACAAACACAATGTCTTCACAAACCCCGAAGGTGTTTGGACGCAAAGAAAGTTCCCAGGTTGAGCACGGGTCCCTCGAGAGGGAGATTTGGTAAAACTCTGCATGGAGGAGGAGTATTTGAATAAAGGATCAGGGTCTAAATGGGATTCCAGTAGAGGAGAAGTTTAGAAGCAGCTGATGAAGCACGGGCAAGTTGTGTGCAGCACTTCTGAACCCCCTGTGTGGGATGACCTCACCTGTTGGCAGCAGCACAGGTTCCTGACATAAAAGGCAAGGAAAGTGGCTCTTTAGGAGTCTGTGATCCTTGTTCTTGTCTCAGTGCAACCAGCACAGGCACAGGCTGGTCACCAAGTGGCCAAAAAGATAAAGGTTCACTGAGGGCTCTCTTTGGAACAGTGATAAGCTTGCCCACAGTCCTGCTGGGAAGCTTCAGGCTGTCCAGACAGGGAAACACCTGCACAAACTGTCTGACATTCCATCCTGGGGCAAAATGAGCGGGACCTCCCCAATATTCGGGGCTGCTGGTTGTCCCTGTGAGCACGGAGCTGAGCTCCCAGCTCCGGGGCAGGCACGCTCCCCCTGCCCTGCAGACCCTCACAGCCCTGGGAGCCTGCTCAGAGCACGGCTCCCCCAGAGCAGCAGCACCAGCAGAGCTCCCAGGCAGCCCCTTTCCCTCATCTGATGCTTCCTGAGCTCTGTTTTGGCTCTTTGGGGACTTCTCTCCACTTCTCTCTGGGTAGATCTGGGACCACACCCAAGGCACAGCGCCGGGAGCCGGCGTTTCACAGGGTTTGTGAGGCAGAAATTAAACATCCACATCACCAACCTGCAGCAGAGCTCTGCTCAGCAGCTCCTGCTCATTCCCAGGCACTCCCTCCAAAGGGTTACCAGGTTTCCTCTGAAGAGAAATCTCCCTTGCTGGGGCTACAGCCAGACCCCATAGCCCGCACCAGCAAAGAGGTCAATGGGCACAGCAGAAGCATTCTGGCTTAGGTTAGGGTGTGAAAAACCCAGGTCTGGGCAGAAAACAGCCACAAAACATCTTCATGCAGCTCACAGCAGGAAATCCAAGGGCTGATTTGGAGACAGAGCGTTATGATAATCCAGACACTCGGTTTAGTCTGCGCTCTAGTGACAAACATTCCTCTGCACCCACCCTTTAACCCCACCCCAGCCTTGCTTCCCTCCCCAGAACACTTACTGGTGCATTTGCCGAATCCTTTAGAAGAGTATTTGCACCTCCATAACAGTTTGCTTGTGCTTTTCTGTCTTCCTCTCCCCAAAATCATTCCTCAGCTGCAGTTTCCATCTCTCCACAGCGCTCGAGAGGGTTATTTATTGTCAGTCTTGCACGGACAGAGCGTCTGGGTTAAAAGCAAGAGCAAAATGGCCCTGTGAAAAAGGACCCTGTGGTGTGTGCACCCGCTCTGGGCATCCCTGGCAGCACAGGGAGCTCTCTGCTTGCCAGCCCAAGTTCCCCAGAGCTGAGCTCTGCCCTGAGCCCCACCAAGCCCTGCTGTCAGGAGAGCTCAGCACTTTCCAGAAGTTGCTGCAAGCTCCACCCAAGAACTGATCTGACAAGGAGCCCCAGCGGATCCTTCCGAGGGGAAGAAACCTCCCAGCAGAAACCAAGTCAAGTACCAAGAAGTGTTAACTGGCATGAAGGCAGACCCCAAATCATTTCCATCCATGGGTGAGAAGCCATGCAGGGAAGCCCATTTTCATCTCAGCAGCCTGGCAGCGTTGCAGCACGGAGCTCCTGGCTGGTCCATGAGGGAATCCAAGGTTCCTGTGAGAAGGAGCAGCCCCAGGTCTCCGTGATCGACCCAACTCTGTGGCTTTTTGCAAAGCGAAGGAGGGCTCGCACAGGAAATGACTGGCTCGATTTCTCAGCCCAGGGGAGAGCCAATGAGTGCAGTGCTCTTATATGGGAAAGCTGGCTGCGAATTGCAAATTCGGAATGCTTAACCCCTGCCTGCACACAGCGAGGCACACGAGGCTGCCCAGGACCAGCAGAAGTGCCTGGGAAGAGCTGAGGCCAAATTCTGTGTGGGGAGCCCCGGGGCCACAAAGAGTGTCCCACCAAGCACGGTCAGCTGCTCCTCAGGGGCTGGGGTGCTCAGTGAGCTCACGGGCTCTATTTCCCCTTCCCCAGGACCCCGGGACTCTGATCAGAGAACCCTGGACCCTCCTTCCTGCCCCAATGGGAGAGCCAGGGAAGCCCACCCTGCCCAAAGTCTGTACAGACCCCCAACATTTCCTGTTCTGCTCTTTTGCCTTTGGACACCACAGAATAACAAGAGCTGAACCAACATATGTGGGGTAAGAGCCTCTTGTGGAAATCTTTGCCATCTCCTGATATTCCTCCCCTCACAGCCTGCTTACCTCTGAGCTAGCCTAGGATATTTTGGGGGGCTGTGCAGGGTGGGGGGAACATCACTGGGGCACTGCCCTGAGCGCGGCACCTCCTCGGAACAAAAACTTCCCCAGACTCGGCTGTGAGCCCCCTGCCTGTAAATACACCCAAAAAAAATGCCACGGTGCCTTTTCCCTCCTCGTGGTTTTGCAGGAGATTTCAAGATTCCTGTGTTTTAAAATGAAGCGGGTCCAGCAACTACACAAAGCTGCTTTTTATTTATTTTTTTTTTCTCCGTGATGGTTTCTTAATGATGAATTAAGGCCCAGCCTATAAAGAAGAGATAAATGCAAGATCAGATCCAATCTCTGCAATCCCTTCTGATCTGGCTCACTTTGCTTTATCTCTGCTACACTTCATTTACTGTGACACCAACAAAGCTTCGAGAATTCAGCTCAAACTTACAGATTTAAATCCTTTCAGGCTTCTTCTCCAGCTGTCCTGAGAAGCATCCCAGCAGTGCAGCCAAGGGATGAAATCAGCCCCCAGGAGTGCATCCCAACATCTGCTTTGAATTTCCTGCAGGGAGGGAGGGGAATGGGCAGTTTGCTGGGAAAGGAATTTCTGCCAGCTGGGAGATCACAAAAACACAGAGCAGCCAGAGCAAAAGCAGCACTTCAACTCCACCTGCTCGCCAGCCTGAATTTGCTTTTTTCAGGTTTTTATGTGGAGGAACATTAATTCCTTATTTTACCCATAAAATGTGTCTGAGTTTGTCCTGACAGGAAGGGCGCATCCTGTGGAAATCTGGGAAGAAAGTCAAACTGCCAAGTGAAATCTCAAATCAAGTGGTATTCATTCAAGTTATATTGTGTTCTAATTTATTCATTAATAATGGATATTACCAAATCTATTCGTATATATTATATAAATTATATTATCCATTATATAGCTATATTAAAATTATAGATGAGTCATTCACAGCAGAAAAAGCAATGACTGGAACGTGCTTAAACAAAAAGAATCATGAGGGTGATGGTGTTTGGAAAAATGCAAACAAGAACATTTCCTGAAATATATATTCTGTGTTCACCTAAATTCCCATTTTTACCAAATACTGAAAAACATAATAATCCTTATTTGATACCATGTTTTCAGTATGCTGTAAACACAAGTTCAAAGTCACTTGTAATTTAGTTACAGGATTGGTCTGTGGCCACTCAGGTGTAGCAGCTCAAAATCAGATTCACAGAGGAGGAAAACTTGTACTAACAACCTGCAAGGGTGGAGAATTAAAATTCAACACGTAGGCCAGCAAAAGAAAAAAAAAATTTTTTTTTAAGGGTGTATTTTCACACTCGGGAAGATATCAGGTGTTTTTGCAAGGCCCTTTTTTATTTTTTCCGTGTAAATGTTATGTAAAAGCCATGCTGAAGTGATGAATTTGAGCAGCTTCATTTCTTAGTTACGGATGGAAATCAGCCAGTCTGAAACATAAATATTCTTAAATATAAACCCTTGCCAGAACTTGTCTGATAGCCCAGGGAACTCGATTAATCCACACAAGAGAATTTCTGGGACTGCAAGTTCCCCATCATAACATTTCCAGGCTCCCAATCTATATTCTTTAAAGGAACCACCCAGCTCTCTTATTCCTAAAATGGAAATATCTTTCTACTTGGTGCATCCCTTTCTGTAGGATCACAGCCTGCAGGAATGCTCTGCTGACAATCAGCGAGCAGCAGCAGAGGAAATCCAGATGGAAAAGAAAGAATAGAAAATATTAAAAAAATAAATAATCGGTTTGTGGAGGAACACTGACATCCTGTGGCCACCGAGGCAGCCGGAATTCCTGCTCCTTTTAAACGGCCAAATCGGGCCAAGATCGCAACAAAATCCCCTGGCTGCTGTGCACAAGGCTGCAGAAACACAGAGGGATTTATTCCCAATGTTTAATTTACCTGCCTTGACCCTCACTTTCCCCATAGGATTGTGTTGTGGGGCAGCTGCGAGAGGATAAAATCCCCAATATAATTATTTTATTTAATTATATTAGGGATATAATCAAATAACCCAGTATAATGGGTTATTTAATTTTTCTTTTTATAGGTATAAGTAGTTTATTTAAAGCACAGAAGACAAAACCCCAAAATCTTGGCTGGTTTGTCTTTTTGGGGTTCTGTTTGATTTTTTTATTTTTTAAGAGACAACAGATTAGAAATTAACTGAAGTAATAAGAAAAAAAACCTCAAAGGCCAGTCACAAAGTTTAGATTACAGCAGGATTAAAAGATGTTACCAGACTCTGTTGTAAATATGGGAGCATTAAGATTATGCTAATAGCATAGGGATTCTGGCTAAAACATATTGAATGATCATTTTAGTTATGAATAGTTGTCTCTAAGCAGAGGCACCATCATATTGCAGGAATAAAAGAAAGCATATTTTAACAGCATAAAATATTTGTATTGCCTGACATCTTACTTTGTTTTATGCTAATAACTTCGGTGTAAACACGGCATGTTATACAAATTCATCTTCACATTTCCTTGTGATTCATACACATTTCCTTCATTTGCTTAAATTGCAAGGATTTTTTTCTTCTTGTGAAGAAATCCTTGCGGTCATTTCCTGGAGCAGCCCAGGTGCCAGCGGAGGCCACAGTTCAATAGCAGAGGCTCAGGCCAAAGAGCAGAGCAGACCCCCCCTGTCACCTCCCCGGGGTCCCTGTCCCCGCAGGGCACCCCAAACCCCAGCAGCAAGGTCAGGAATGTCAGATTATTTTCAAGCTGGATGTATTTTATATTCTATCGTTATATAATTTACATATTAATTATTAAACTTATATTGTTCTATCGTATACATTGACATGAGTTTCTCGTGATCTTTCTTAGGCCCCTGACCACAGTTTCTCATGATTATTCTTACGATTAAACAGTATTTAATTACTAAACAATCATCACATTTAACAATTGTATCATTTATCGTGTACTAGCTACACAGGTGCAGTTCTAGCAAGGTACAAGGCCTTCATGTACCTAGGGTATTTATTTTTTCAGGGCCTACTAAGCTTAATTTTCCTTTTAACCCTAAATCCCCAAGATTTTAAAACCCTTTTACTATCACAGTGCCCACTCCAAACCCCAGCAGCAAGGTCAGGAATGTTGTAGGACTAGATTCTTTTTTGACTTAAAAATTGGGCAACTGTGAGGCATTTTAGAAACTCTTATTCTGTTTTTAGCCTCATTTGAAGGGTGAGACAATACAGATGTTACATACTACACAAACCTTCAGTCGAATATTTAAATTTTTCTACAACTCTATTTCCTACAGAATGTGAGTTTATTCAGTGCCCACCCCAAAGGCCAGCAGGAAGATCACTTTATTCATGTTGGTTTATTCAGTGCCTTATTCCTGTGGGACTGGGAACTGCTCAGGGACTTCAGGCAGGGAATAGCTGGGCTGGGACATTCGGAGGTCACCCTGCCCTGCCAGGGCCACCCCGAGGTTGCCCAGAACTATTTCCAAGTTTTTGCCCATGGCCTTTCAGGCCCTCCCAGGGAAGTGCCTGCACAGCCTCCTCTGGGCACCCTGCCAGGTGGTTAAACTGCAAAAAGCACAAAATCAAAACAGCAATCGCAGGAAAACTCAAACTGAGGGAAGTCTCCTGTGGCAGAGAGCAAATGTTTATAGAACTTTGCATTTCTGCTAGCTCAGCAGACAGAAAACCAAGCCCTGCTCCTAAAAAAAGAAAGAATTGATGCTGGATATAACTCTCAGACCCACATTGAACCTGCAGTGTGCAGTTTTCTGTAAGAACAGCATAAACCCCAACGTTTTGGTTTTATTCCCCATGAAGCGAACACTGGCTGGGTGATGAAACAAAAGCAGCTCCCGCAGGGTAACGAGGCCCGAGGGGGCTCCGAGCAGTTTGGGGCAGGGCAGGGCACAGGCTGGGGCCACTGCTGCAGCGCCGCTTCCAGGTGAGCAGCAGCCAGAACTCACCGGGAGAGGACACCCCCAGCACCTGGGATGTTTTTGGGCACGTATGGATATTGCACCCCCTTTAAAGCACCCACCACTGCAACCAAACTAACCCAGCCCAACCCCATCTGTCTGAGTTTCCTTCACCCACCCCACAAAAAAAACCAAACCAAACCCAGCTAACCCACACTCGAGTGTGAACTCCCCCCACCCTTTTCGGCATTAAGGATTGTGTAGAACTCAAACCAGGCAGTTGTTGCGCTGCCATTTCAGGTTTCACCATCCCTCCCACTGTGGCCCGTCCTCCCCCAGCCCGTGGCCCAGAACACCCCCACCCACGGAGCCCCTTCAGGGCAGTGCCAGGCACTGGCACCCCTCACACCCACCCCCAATTTACACACCACAGGTCCTTAACTTGCAGCAAAACCCACCCCGTGCAAAGACCACCACACCATGTTGTGGTGTCTATCCCACCTGGAAGCAGAATGCTGCTAAAATCTTAAGAAGAAAAAAACAACGTGGTATTATTAGCACTTAAGATTTTAATCCAGATCCATTTTAACCACAAGGTTGGTCCTCATCATACATGCAAAGAGGGTTAAACTGCCAAGGTAAGAAGCTAAAGCATTTCACTTAATACACCAGTTTCACCTGCTTGAACTGAGACAGACTACAGGGTGTAATGTGCAACAGAAAACTTTATTAGCATTTCAACAGACAGTTGGTTCAGCAGTTACTCAAGCTTGCATTAACTTAATATTAAGACATTGAAGAACTACAGTGCAAACACAAGTGCCACTGGCAACCCTGGTGTCACACAAGATGCACAAGAACTTAACAGCCACCCCTGAGGCGCAGCACCAGGTGCAGGGTGGATTCCTTCTGGATGTTGTAGTCAGAGAGGGTGCGCCCATCCTCCAGCTGCTTGCCAGCAAAGATCAGCCTCTGCTGGTCTGGGGGAATTCCCTCCTTATCCTGGATCTTGGCCTTGACATTTTCAATGGTGTCACTGGGCTCCACCTCAAGGGTGATGGTCTTGCCAGTCAGGGTCTTCACGAAAATCTGCATCCCACCTCTCAGGCGCAGCACCAGGTGCAGGGTGGATTCCTTCTGGATGTTGTAGTCAGAGAGGGTGCGCCCATCTTCCAGCTGCTTGCCAGCAAAAATCAGCCTCTGCTGGTCAGGAGGGATACCTTCCTTGTCCTGGATCTTGGCCTTCACATTCTCAATGGTGTCACTGGGCTC